TGCACGTCGACGTGCTACAAGGATACCAACATGGTGATTTCTGTGGGAACTCTTTTAGCAACTGCAATCAGTGCTCTGTCTCCTGTCTGGTGTCTTTGTTTCCGTCTTGGTTTACTTTGACCTCTGACTGATGAACACTCTGTATAACTATTTATTGTACCTATCCTCTTTACCTTTGTGTACCTTTCACCACATCTTGATATCAGCAACTCACATGTCATTCAGTTATCAAAATGTGCTTTCAATAATTTTCAACTCCCAACCAATACATCCCTCTCTTATCTGCATATTCCTGCTCAATTCTCCTGTTCTATTTCACCGGGAATCACCTTGTCCACCCACCCACCCATTTTATCCCTAAGTACTGTTTGTTTATGTTGTTTGGAGTGGGGATTTTTTTGTGTTTTTGGCAGTTTTCATTGTGTTTTTGTCTTTGAAGAATTATCCAGTCACATTAATATATTCTTTCTTCAGGTTTACCCTATTTTTATGATTTCATTTGGCTGTGATGAAGGTGGATCCCAAGGGTATTTTTTGGTTTACTTGTTTGGTGCTTGATGTTGGCAATACTCTCACAAGTCTGGCTCACCTATATTAGTTTCATATTTGTCAATTTTTTAGTATCAGATTTCCTGATAATTTGTGACTGCTAGCCACCTCTCAGGCTGCTGGATTATAATCAGGCAATTTTATTGACCCTGGACATCTAGCCTTGGGATTCACCCACGACAACTTGTCTGCTTCAGTTGTTCTCACACTTATTTGTATGTTTAAGAGTTCACGCTTTGGCAAGATAATATTAGTACAGTTTTCAAACTCTGGACCTTCCTCACACAACCAATTATATGTCTCCTCTCACATTACAGTATCAATATCTGCTTTTGTGTGATTACAATCCATGTATATACCTACTGTATAAGCAACATGGCAGTGGTTTCTCCCCACCAATTTTGACTAAGGCTAAGGGTAAAACTTTGAGTGATTCATAGTCAATTTATGTCTATGAGGCTGTCAGGACTTTTACCTTTTTCACTCAGTCCTCTCTGCCTACTTTTACTCAAGATGCCATTGAATTTGAGTGTTCAAGGCAAAAACAAGTTCCATCAACCGGAGTCTCACATTTCTTCTTAGGGTGGATTTTTCTTTCTTCATTTATTTACTTTTATTTTTAATCTCACTTATTCTTGTATTTTATTATGTTTCTCATTTCTATACTTAATTTTACAAGTCTTTCCTATCTGCTAAGCACTACCTAATCAAAAGACCTTAAGTTCTGAGGCTCTGATTTATCAAAGCCTCATCACGTGTTTGGGGGGGGCCTGAGGGCCGCAGGTGTTCTAACGAGGTAGGCTCTCTGCTACCACTTCTCGGGACGTATCGTCTGGAGCCTGCGGAGAGCCTACTTTGGTACGTCTCGAGGCTTGTACCTTCTTTACTCTCCTCCCAATCAGAGGCCGAGTCACCCCCGTATCATCTGATCGCTGACCTTTTTTTTTTTTTTTAAAACCCAAATGTAACTCACATAACTCTAGATCTCATAACGTTTCGCTACTTTTCTCATACCATATTCCCTTTCCTCATCACAAGAAACGGTCGACTTCCACAACAGGCAAAGAGAAGAGGACACAACACTTATATTATCTAGACGTCATAACTCAACTCTACTCAGTCTGACTCCTCTCCGTACCCACCGTCGGTATTTCTATCTTCATCCAGTCCCAGATCACCTTGGCGTCGATAATATCACCTTCTGTATACTTTTGAAGGTACAACTGGTACGCCTTCGACTCCCAACGCCCTGCCTCGACTATCTTTTCCAGAGGCTGCTTATCATTCCACTTGAAAGTCGCCCCTCCTATCCTAAAGGAGTGACCCGAAAGCTGATGATCACGATGATTCTTCGCCCATACCCGTTTGAATATGTTTAGTGTCACGGTCTTTGTTAGTGTCAATCGCTTCCCTTTCCCGTCAGTATATGCCAATAACCGTTCTGTTAAGTCGGTCGTACAATTTTCAAGCAACACGTTCTCCAAAGCTTTCACTGGGCACAACTTTGATGGTATCCGACAAAGGTGTAAGTACTGGATCTCTCCTGGTTTAGCAGTTTTAGCATCGTAAATCGCTATCTTCATGTAAGAGTGATCCGGTGAGTAAATCGCATCCCGTAATCATATCAACGTCTTATCCTTGTCATCTGATACTAATTCACCCAACCTGGCCATTCCCCAAAAGGCCATCAGTGCAATTGCTAACGCCAGGCGCTCCTTCTTACCACTGTTTTCTAGATCTAAGACTAACTCGGCCAGATGTCGCAGTTTGACAGGTTTACGTACTGTATGATTCGCCGCCTTGATTTTGGCGTCAGCTATAGATGAGGCCTTCAACAGCAACTTAGAAACCTTATCATTTTCGGACGGGAATGGTAAGTTATGGAAGAGGTGCCATGACCTTATTCCTGATATATACTTAATCAGAGTATCGGCTGTAACCTTGTGACTATCTTTCATCTGCTCTATTATCTCATCATCTTCCAAGTCGACATCATACTCTTTCCCACCCCATACGATGAACTCCCATAGTAAATCTTGACTCAAAGGTAACAGATCTTCTCGTTTCAATTTTCTCGCTTCTCCGAATCGTTCTAATTTTGCTACCGCTGTGCTATAATTTTGCAGCGTCGATTGTGACCAGCTTCCTTTTAATAATCTAGACTTTACTTGGTCTTCTCTCCAATCTACAACCCTTCTCGAGGATCATCAAAAGAAAAACATATCAACAATTTAGTTACCGAGCGCTCTCATTCAAGTAGCATTACACTTACCCTTCAACATTCTTCAAAAAGTTAATTACCTTTTTTTCATTCGTCATCATTTTCAGTGGTCTCTTCTCAGTAATTTAACTAGATCGCTCGGTAAATCAATTCTAACTTCTTTCTGGTAATCTTTTTCAACTGCTAGGCCTCTCGATAACTTGTCGGCGTCGTTCTCCCCAGAGGCCACACGCTTCGCAAAGATAGAACAGTTTAATCGTGTAAGTATTCTCTGGATCTTCTTCCACTCTTCATTGACCAGTTTATGTTTCGATTTATATTTTTTGATTGTAGACTCCGTAGTCGTGTTATCCGTATAAACCAAGAAACAACGATCGGTGGTCGGTAGCAGTTGTTTGAGCATGAGTAAGCCAATTCTCACTGCCACTGTCTCCAACCAAGCGATGTCACGCTTCTGACAGCCTTGTGTAATTCCTTCAGTTTTCCAGCCGTCTATCTCCTAGCAACACTCCGATCCCGTACCCAGTACTTGCGTTGCCAACCCATCCGATTTCTGTCGGATCGGCAACCTCTTTAAACACCAGCCTGTCGAAACCCTCTAAACTCCTCAACCACTCTTGCAACTCTTCTTTCGCCCCATCCGGAACTTCTCTTAATGCGCTATGGTTGTACCATGACTTATCCCACCAGTAAAGATTCCATAGGTAACATCGCATCATAGGGAATAAATAAATTAAGTGACTAAGTTGTCCTACAATTTTCTCAACTTCTTTCTTAGAGCATCTCCGAGATGGTTTGAGTAGGTCTCTTATTTTCTCTATCCTCTCTGTTTTCTTTTCTTCTGGTAGGCGAACTGATTTATCTTCGCCATTCCACACAAATCCTAAGTACTTTTGTTCTATGTTCCAATCACAGAATTTCTCTCCGTTGGATTGTACGCCTAAACCCTCACTCACTGATATTATGTCGATCATATTAAGTGAGTCACCTTCCAGTTTCACAAACATATTATCATCGACCCATCGAAAGACTCTTCGCACTTTAAATAATGACATGATAATCTCCTTCCATGCGTCCGCCATCCAACCGAACGTACCGCAACCGGCAACACCTCCAAAGGGTATACGCGTATCAATCCAAATATAACCTTTGAAATCTTTGATCGTAAGATATCTCCATTGGTGTATTGCTGTCGACCCTTGACGGTATGCCTTTAGCCAATCAACAATGGCTAATAGAATCTTCTTCTTTAAATTGGCTTTGAAATAGTCGTCGACGACATGGAAGTCATCCCATGTTGTTGCAAAGTCATCCTTGTCTACAAAGGAATTCACAGAAGGTATATTGTCATCTTCCAGTTCATAACGTGTTGATTTTATCCATTTCGCAGCTGCATCCAAATGTAAGTTTGCTTCTTCGTCTTCAGAGCTCTCGTCGTCTTTGACTTCTATCAACGTTTTCCTCTTTTTCTTTGATTCGACTTTCGTCCGGGGGTAAGACAGGTCATTGATCATACGTAATGAACCGTCATTGTTTGTTACACTACCCATTGGGTTAGAACGAAAGAAACCAAGGCGCTTAAAGACTTCTGTGTGAGTAAAAGGACCAAAAATCCTCCCCATCTTCCTTTCTTTGTACAAATTTTTCATTATCTTGTCCTGAACTGCTAAGGCTGACTTGTGATTATCCGGCGTGAACCATTTCAGGTCTTCCCATGTGTGGCTCGGGATGCCTTGGTCAAATCCCTCATTGAGTCCTCGCCTCACCTTTCCCCACTTGTCCATCAACCCACATGAGTTTAGCAGGGACTTCCATTCATTCAGGTTCATCTCGTTCTTCACCAAAGATGGCCAGTTCTTTAATGAATCAGGATCGTCCACTTCGTACGTCTCGTCCACTGTGTGTGTTAATGGGCAAGGCTCTTGGGTTTCGGTAGGTCTTAACACAGGACGATCATGTTGTTCATTACTTTAAATGGAACAACATATAGTTCATATTGGAAACAGAACAACAACACATTTTAATCAGTCACAACCCGTAAGTCACCCAGCCAGACTCAACATAACATTTTTTTTTTTTGGATGATAAAGAGAAATATTTGAAAGAAGTTTTTGGAAAGTAAAGTGTACGTAATGACAAGTCTCCATACATTTTTCATTGAGCATGGGAATATTTTCTCATTACAAAACTTTTTTTTTTTTTTTAATGTTGTTCTTTTACCAGCTTTAACTCACGTTGTATTAGGTCCGGTACCACTACCACTCTTATCAGCCCCTCTGCTACCGCTTGCAGCTGCTGCTTTATCAAAACTACCCGGACCTATCGCAGGACGACTACCACCTCCTTGACTAGTTCCAAAGCCTCTACCTCCCCTTTGACCGCTACCTCGGCCACCTCCACGACCTCCTCTAGGGTTCTGAAAGGATTCATTAAAGTAATTCGATTGGAAAGGTTGGTTAGAGTGAGAATAAGGTGTCGGATGGTAGTAGGAAGGTGTGTTCGTCATATTGGGGTTAAATAGGTGACTCGTGCGATCAAAGAGCGGGTTGTAGTGTCTTCCTTTAAATCCATTACCTGGTACCTTTCCCAATTGTGCAGCTCTGGTTAACGGTTGCGTTACGGGTTGATTATTAATTGACAACAGACTCCTACCCGTCAACATCTCAGCTTGAGTATCGACCAAGGCGTTATTGGAGTCCCAGGACGCGTGTTCAGGGTAAGTTTCACCGTTTATCGGGCTGATATGTTGCATTACGTTCCCAAAGGCATAAGGGTTGTCGATATATTTGTAATCACTGAAATGCTTTGCGTCTTCTTTTGCTTGGTCTGCCAACTCTTCATTTAAAGTCCCAACATCTGCCATCGAACCATCCGGTAGTCTATTCTCCCAACAATTACGACGGTGAGCTATATCATACCTCATTGCTGGCGTCCATTTACCGTAACATTTGGCTTGGATGGCTAAAACATTCTCTTTATGAATCTTCAAACGAGGAGCAATAGGTGAATCTTTTTGAGAATCTAGTATATCGTATTTTTCAGCTTGGTATTTTATCATTAAATCAAAACGAGTCGACCATTGCATAGGTGTCAGTCTGTACTCGTTTATATAGGGCAACCCAACATAAGAGACAATATTTGTTGAGCAGCTGGTCTTTGCTGATCGGGTTTTCATAAAGCGGGAATCTTGGATAATCCAAGTTGGGTCGAAAATCGAAACTGGCATGTGGACATTTTTATTTATCATGATATCGTGGAAGTACTGGGATAGGCCTGTCATGTTATTGGTCGGTAAACTTCCTATAGTCATCTTTGTATTTGTTTCAATCTTCGATTTTGACTTCTCTTTTTCTTTAACCGCATCTACTTGATTTTCTACGGTTTGTGGCTTCTCTTTATACATATAATCCATCATCCCAATATCTCTAGGTTCCGTTTCTTCTTTCTGGCACCAGAACTGATATTCCTCCCTAAAAACTCGATATTGACCGATATCTCTCTCGAAGGATTCTCTGATGTTTTGCAACCACTTGGCATGACCATGTTCAATGTGAACGGGCTCGGCCATATTTTCATCTTCAGGACCTGGTTACACGAACACATAAAACAGTAAAGGAGCCAGTCTCGTAAGTCATCACAATCTCTTTTTTTTTTTTTTTTTTATGTTCACAAAGTTTCATCAGTCTACATTGGAGGTGTTATTTAAAACTATTCCTTCCGTTCAAGAACACTTCTCTTTTTTTTTTTTTTTTTTGGATGTTATTTTTAACTCTTTCCTTTTGTTTTGAAAACGTATAACACAGGTCTTATTCACGACAAGGCCACACTGGAAATTCATACGTCATTTTGTTACTGGCCACACTGGTATTTTATTTTTGGTTTATTTTTGGTCACACTGACTACTAATCACATTCAAGCCACACTAGGATTTGGTCGATCTCAGGTATCGCTGCACCCTGGTTTCTGATCAATCGTGGATATTACGATGTTTCGTAGATACAGAATTTCCAGGATTCCAGGATTGTATCATTTGACCGAATACAGTTGAAAGAGTTGGCGGGAATGAGGAGTAGAAGGATAGTGAAAGAGAGGGGGGGGTAGTATTTAGAATAAGTAGGGGGGGGTGAGAGAAATTCAAGAAGTAGGTGAAGAATTTAAAGCGGCTGATTGTATTTTGTCCTTGGTAATCGTTGATCACAAATATAAAAAGAAATTTATAGGAAACTTATTCAAATGAATACTAACCTAATCCTGTTATGTTTCTATTATCAGCTTCACTTAAATTCATATGATCTCCATCGTTTCTTTCGGTGTCTTCATTTAAGTTTTCCGGAGGTTGATCTTTTGGGTTTCGTTTCAAGGTATCGTTCAACTTTCCTTGATTATCGTCTTGTCCTTTTCCTTGATGTTCAGTCTTCTCTCCCTCTTCTACCGTATTAGTTGATTCGTTCTTCTTCCCTTTTCTAGTTCGACTCTTGACCGACTCTTGATTTGGAGTAGGTGCTCTTGGTGGAAGGCCTTCTTGTCCTGACGGTAAGTTCGAACTAGACATAATTTGGTTGAGTTGACCGACTAGGAAATAATGACTACTGTGTTTTGGATGATTTCTTGTAATATTCTTGTATAATTTTTTCGCTTAGTTTATTCAATTCTCCAATTTGATAATATTATTGTTATACTTCTAATAATGTAAAGTGTGTTGGTATATGTATCTGGTTTCTAATCAAGAAAAATCTTTAAGAAGAAATGATGATTCTCTTACCACGTTCTTCGCGGGTATTGATTAATTCTTGATGTGAGTGAATGGAAAAGGGAATTCTTAGGAAAGAATTAGGTTTTTCTTTCCTTGAATGTTTTTGTTTCCGTTGGGGGGAATCTCATTGTGGTTTGACTCGGTACCATGTGCCGCCGGTACCGAGTTCACCTGAGCTCTGTTTGCCTTATTTCCTTTTTCATGGAATTACGCAGGTGCCGTCGTGCCTTTGGGCACCTGCTGCATACATTTAACAAACTTGATTGGTCACCTAATAAAGCTGTTGCAGGCATGCCCACATCTTCACTAGTTTGATTAAATCTATGCTACAGCGGGACAAGTTTTCTATTGTAAAAAGTGCAAAAAAGTCAAACTTGACACCCCTTAATAGATATTAATTTGATCTGAGGATGATTCAGTCTTGCTTGACAATAATCTATGATCCTGTTGTGATAGAATCAGAGAACCCACTATGGGTGTGGTAACTAGGTGATTTAGTGTAAATTTAATGCTAAAATACAGACGGGTCCACTATGGACCTGTTTTAGACCTGTGGTCTGTACGTCTGTGTCTAGCCTTGCACCCCGCTTGCTCAAATCTATGCAAGCCTACAACTTGCTTTATCATAGGACTTGATGCATCTAATTGTTCATAACTGCATTTTTTGAAACTTCAAAACTTTACACTTCAAGACTTTAAATCTCAAATTTTGGCCCTCAAAACTTTGCTCATATCATCTTTCTAATTTTGAATTAAGAGCATAACAGCTAAATCTAAATGTTAAATCAAAACCTATGTGCACTATAATTAAAATCATTGAACTTTAGTTTTTGGCTTTTAAAATGAAATAAATAAAAGTTGATAATAATAAATTTGATAATCAATGGTTGTACTTTAATGTGGTTTTCAGTGTAAAATTTGAAATGGGGTTGAAACTTTAATAAGAGATCCTGTTTGAATAATTGTTTCATCATAATTTTAAAAATATCTGAGGTCTCTATTGGTACCATAATCTGCTTACCACAGCGTTTAGCAAGTCTGGCAACAAATAGTACGGATTGTTGTGTATGTCATAATCATTGAGGTTTTGATGAATTGACAACAAGGAGTGGTGTTCGGACTTGGGAAGCTTGATAATTTATGTGATACAGCCCTTCCATTTACAAGAGTTGTGGGAATATGATATGTAGCTATTTCCAGGTGTCTTCTTGTAAGTGCTATGTGGCTTGTTTTAAATTAGGATGCTTGTGGTAACATCAAATGTTGAGTGTCTGGTGTACCCTGCCCCTACATGACCATTCTTTTGAAGTGTCTCAAAGGTGTTGGGACTGAGTTTCCTTTCTATCCACTTAGTCTGGTCCCTCCTGAAGAGGTATTCTCCAATACATGGTTCATTTTCAAGCACTGTGCAATTGTTATCCATCATGGCCTGAAAGAAGCTACACCTAAAATAGTACTGGAGTAATGACTTGCCCTCTTATTCTGGTCACAGAAAAAGAAGGTTGGCTTATTGACTTGATAAGGACTTATAAAGTGCTTGTGATGACTTGTTAAGGACTTGGAAATTACTTGTGATGCCTTTCTACTCACTGGACAATGAATGTAAATACCTGTTTGTAGATTGAAATGATCAAGGAACAAATGAACTTACAATGGTTCCTTTTCCCCAAAAACAATGATCTAATACATGTAAGAAAAGTTTGTTGAGGCCAAATCAAATCTGCTTTGCTTCTGCACTTCTGATCACCCAGCCCCCATAGTTCTTGTGTGCTTTGATATTGTATTCAAGAATCCTGAAACTCACTTCAGGTGCCTGTAAAGTTGGTGACAAAAAGTTTACGTACCTGTAGCAGAACTCACCAAATTGGTAACTCTCAAGGAGCTTATCTAGCTCTCAATCTCACTGTTCATGTACCTGGAAGTACATGGTCTAGATGGCCACTAACCAGAGTAAATATGAATGAATTTCAGGATTCACAAATGTAATGTAGACTCTAAAATACAATGAATTTTACCAGCGAGTGTGTCCGCCCTTTGCTTTGAGCACAGCCTTGATTCGGTCAGGCATGGACTCGACTAAAGCTTGAAACTTGCTCTGAGGGATTGCTTTCCACTTGGTATACAGTGCTTCACGCATTTCTTGAACTGTTCTGGGTTGGTGCTTTTCAGAAACATTTTTTTTCATGATGTTCCAGATGTTCTCAATTGGGTTAAGGTCTGGACTATTTGCAGGCCAATCTAACTTTTCAATTGAATGTTCATCCCTCCATTGTTTCGCCAATTTCCTTGTGTGTACCGGGGCTCCATCCTCCATCAAGATGAGGTCTGGTGGACAGTTAAGTGAGGTGATGAGTGGTTCAATAATCCGGCAATACACCAAATCGATAAAGTCGGCTCCAGTTCAACGTCCCACTGGCATTACTATCATTGGTAAGCGAAGCTCAGCTGTGAACGCCCCCCAGATCATTACCAAAGTCCTTCCACTCTTGAAACTTGGGGCTAAACAGTCTTGGTTGTATTTTTCACCCGGTTTGCGCCACACCCAAACCTTCTTTGCAGACTTTCCAATCTCGAATGAGGATTCGTCGGTCCAGATGACCTTCTTCCAATCGTTGTAAGTCCAATCCTTGTGTTTTCTAGCAAACTCAAGACGCTTCAGAACATGTTTGCGCTTGAGATAAGGCTTGACTATGGCAACTCAAGAGTGAAAGCCAAGTTTTCGATTCTCCGATCGAATTGTTGAATTACTGGCTTTTATGGGTAGCTTGCCAGCAATACAGGCAGCCGAAGCACGTCGGTCCTGTTGGATCACCTGCTTCAAGGTTTGCTGATCACGTTCTGAGAAAATTTTTGGTCGTCCGAGCTTTTTTGAGATTGTTGATTGGCGTCTTTTGCGGTCGTTATAGATCACTGTGTAGACAGTTGACTTGGGATGGCCGAGTTTCTTGGCAATTTGAGTGCCAGGAATCCCGAATTCATGCATATAAATGATAGATTTCTTTCGAGTGGGAGAAAGGGTGCAAGTCTTCATTTTCACAGACAATCTGGATGAGGTATGGAGGAGTGATTCAAGATACAAAGTACCCATAGACTGGGCTACACTAATACATATGAAGTCAAGGTATGTAAACTTTTTGTCACCCATTAACGGTACTCAAAGTAAAAAGGTGGTTTCTGCCTACTTCAAGTCCTAGAACCTACTTTGTTTTTTTGGTGGGGACTTTTTTTCCAAGTATGTTTTCCTCAGCTGGGTGGCTTTGAGGACCCTTTCTCTACTTTAAACATATGTACCTTTGGCTTTTGGCAAGAACTGTCTGGATCTGGTTCATGCATCCGGAAAGTTCCTATTGGGCGTGTATTCCACCTCGCAACCTTCATCCTTCTCTATCCTCCTTCATTTTACATTGGCTCACCACTTTCACCTCCAGATCATGACAATTTTTGATTTGAAATCAGTCAATTGGTTTTTGAAACGATTGATTGTTTCAACTCTCACTTTCTCAAAGACAGAATTGTGCTGAGCAGTCTCAACTCAGGCCTTTGTTTTATTGTACTTCAAACATTTCATTTCAGAGATGCCCAAAAAAGAAGAAAGAAACACACAAAAACTTTGACCAATTGATTGTTTTTAAGAACAATCAATTGTCACAACTTGCATGGGGTCACAGAGTAATCATACCAATCAACTTTCAAACCATCTATTGTTTCCAAAATCTATTGTTAGTCACAACTCTCAAGACTTTAGAATTAAGATTGTATCAGTCAAGAATTCAGGGTGTGAAGGATTTTATTGAGATTGACTAATCTGATGATACTTTTCATTAAAAGAATCAGAAACCAATTCCAATTGATCCAAATCAAATCCATCTTCAACTTGATGATCATTTGGTATATCAAATGAAAAGAATGTAATCAGACAAGATACAATACTAGAATGAGGTGGTCAGTCTAGAATTTGTTGATTTGAATGCTTGGAATGAATAGGTGAATTGATTGAAGTAGTTGAAAAGGCAGATGATTTTGTCAATGATAAAGGGTTTGCTCTGAAATTGAGTTGTGGGTGAATTTGGAGAGGGAGACCAAGGGGTTGAACCTTGCAGGATAGGATGGTGGTGATGAGCAGAAATTGAGGCCACCGGCACAGTGTTCTTTTTCCGGATGGTGCCTAGTTTTTACAAGTAGGTTTCCCTAGGTTTCCCAACTAGGCAGAAACCACCTTTTTACTTTGAGTACCGTTACTGTACATTTATGGCGTTCAAACATGCGCGAGAAATTTGCAAGTTGCGAGAAAGTTCTGTGCAAGTTCTTTTAAACATCTTGCATAGAACTTCCACAAAACTTGCAGACTTAAGAAAGTTATGTGTGAACCTAGGCTTCCCCGCTTCGAGGACTCAGTTTGCCCTCGATGAGATACATACAGCAGGGGGTTGTGAAAAAATTAATTAAGCAAGATCCGTGCAAGATTTCTTGCACGGATCTTGCACATCGGTTTTGCAAATTTCTTGCACATGTTTGAACACCATAATTAGAAAATTTATCTTGTGCAGGTCCCAAAAAGCTTGGGGCCACACTCCTAGCTTGAGTGTGAACACAACAGAGCCTCAAAAACAACTGCAGAAGACAATACATTCAATAGAACTGTCAAAAGATCTGATTCTGCCTTTGTGACTACATCTAATGCCCTATGAACTGACATCTCCTCTCCACCACAGCCATTGTGAGAACTAATGGTAACTTTTTTTTATTTTGTGTTGTGTCGAGATTTAATCCAAAACTGGCAAAAACTAAAGAAAACTCCTTTTTGACCATGAGTACCGTGAGATACAAGCCTATTGCAGGAGCCAAAACAAGGTTTAGGCCTGTGACATCGAAAAAAACCGAGTTTTGGACCACAGATTAAACTCTAGTTAAAACTCGGCGACACCCATCACCTCAAAACTTACCAATAGTTCTCACAACGGCTGTAAGCTCTCCATCTAGGTTATACCTTCATAAATCTCAGAGCTAAGCATGTGTATTGATTTTGTTTTGGGAATCTATTTGCCACTTCTCATGACTAAACAACTGCGTGTAGAGCTTTGGGGCGAGGTGAAGTGAACTCAGCAAGACTCAATAGAAGTGAAATTGTAAGGAGCCATCCGAAAACAGGGAGTTCGAGTAAGATACAATTCAAATTGTGATGCCTCAAACGGCTGACATGGAGAGTTTTCTGAAGAGCCCTCAGTACCGCTTTTGGGGTCCACCTGAGGTGTTCTGAAACATATCACATCAAATTGAACCATGCACACAAAGCAGGTTGCAAATTTATCGCGTTCTCTGATGCCCAAATGTGATGAGCTCAGACTTCATATTTGATCGACAAGTGCACAGTGGGTGACATTGCAAAAATCACATGTGAAGAAGTCGGTATTTGTAGGCAGAATGCAGACGATTTTGAGTGGATTTTGATGAGTCGGATCCTTAATGCGAACTCCGTTTACGTTGGAATGGATAGGGCGTCTGGAATCTTTATCTACGCAGAACTGGTGCCGGAAGAGCCGCTGTGTGCGCGCCAGCTTACTCGTGAAACTAAAACAATGTTACGGGAGTTCTACAAAATATGACACCTGCAAAGAAAGATATCGATGCATCTTTCGGCTGGTCGACCCTGATTGAATGATAAGGTCGTATCGACTCCGCTCTGACGTGCCTTCAGTCCAAAGATCTGTACAGTGCATATCTGCTATACCTGATCGTCATTGCCACTCTGTCGATTGGACATATGTAAGAAGGTAAGGTTGCAATATGCTTCAGCGCGGGGCTATCGATAAAATACATAGCAACTTCCTCCTTGTGATAGGAGATAAGCTCCAAAAATGACCAACGTTGGCAAATTTCTTCAATTCCGTTGGTGCTAAAAGTGATGCCTATGCGCGCTGCGACTTCTCTTTGCCACCACCTATTTCTCATACTCAACTTGACCGCACAGGGTACCAGTGTTGTCCTATCTATGAACACCACTCAAGCCTTTGTGAATATCACTGACTCATGTCAATCCAGAAACCTGAGTCCTGAGCTTTGGAAACAGTTAAATATGAATGAATACTTGAAGGGATACCCTTCTGGAGATCGTTTGTCTTTACCAGTGGGTCTCTTCCATCTGAAGTACTCCTCTTAACTGACCTAATAACCTGTAGGCATTCGCGTGTCAGGTGGGAGCTTGTAATTTTCAATGTGGAATTGGTAGTTTTTGTGATCCTTCAGACGTGAGTCTTTCCGAGTCCCTACTCTTTTCATTAACTACTTAAAGACATGTGCAGTTGTGTGCCCCCGTGGAAGGAAAAGCTTGGTACGCCTTGATAGCTGCCAAAAGGTGGAATGTCATCAACAACCAGTTATATTCAGCCATACCCTTGGCATTGAGCGTCGTCTCTGGTAAGGACAGTTCTCCATTTTCAAAATCCCGCGTCCACTCATCTGACTATTCTTCTGGCATGTAGATATCACACCATCTATGGTGAGTCAAAGTCTAAAAAATTGTGTAAGATCATAGCAGTCCTCAATATCCAATCTTTCAGGTTATGGATTTGATTCCCGACGCCTCAGAGTTTTGGACTCAATCTGCCTGTCTCACCGATTTGGTGGTAGCCTCTGTGAGCGCAATCCCAGGCGCTGTGTTTGGTGCAGATTCTATGGAGGTGACTTGGACCATCATCACAAGTGTTCTGTAAGTCTGGGCCTTGAGCGTCACACGAGAAATGGCCTACAAAGATTGAGAGCTTTTGACTTGGAGGACGGTCGACGGTGGTTGGTCCTGGGCAGAATCCAATGTACTGGTGCCCGACCCGCCCAGATACGAGATTGTAAGCCAATATCTCCAGTCTCAGGGAAATTAGTAAGATGACCAATTCTCCCTACACAAAAAGTGGGAAGATATAGTTTTTAGCTTGGATAAATTTCAAAAGCACATGCAAGAGACGCTTTCCAACTTTGCGCAACGTGTCATTCACTCAGGTATCAGTACTCCCCAGGGACTCAGTGGCATCAACATGGACGGTAGTCTATTTCTTGAGACAAATTCAGACTCAGAGGAGGCCATCCGGAAGGGCTTAACTGATGACCTGAAGTTGAGATCACTGGCTCTGATCTTCAAATTTCAAGTAAGTATGGAGTATTTTTTTTGTTTGATTAAGAAGATCGAGTTGATCGAAGTACTGACACAATGTATGAAATTACAGCATGCTTTTATTATGAGGGGAGCGGTAAGAATCATGCCTTCTCATCAAATTTGTAGTGATCTCTAACAAGAATGCTTCTCAACAGGCACCATGCATGGAAGATGGCCCTGGAGGATCCTTGGAGGGCAAAGATGTATTTTCAATGTGTGATCCAGAAAATATGTAAGATGTCTGGCCACCAAGATCAAGCTCTATCTTGCTGAGATGTTTTTGCTATATCAGCATGATGACAATAGTGATACCAAAAGATGATAAAGAAGTGGAAACAAAAATCTACAATGCTCAGCTCATGGAAACTAAGTATGATATTGTGGGTGAGAAGATCATAAGTGCAGCATGGGACTGCCAAAAGAAATATGGAACTTATGAGCCTGATTTCTCCTTTGATATGTGAGTTTTTCTTCTACTATAAATGTGCAGGGGGTATCACAAGGCTGATACAATATGAATTATGGAACCTAAAACATAGCACTGACAAGTTATCAAAGACACACACAGAGTGTGTCTTCAACATGCCTATTTGTGATTTGACCATACCAGGTTTGTCACCTTTCATCCCATCCAAAGATTTCAGAGAGATTTTTTAATTAGAATGCACCACTGCAAACTTTCTTTATAGGAATACATGAAATTTGGATGAAGACAGGAAGTATAGTCAGAGCATGCAAAAATCTTGGCAAGCCAGTAGAAGATTGATGTCATTCCTGTTATTAACTGAAACACAACAGATGGACATTTTTTACTGTATCATACAGTCTTCCATAGGTAGGGATCTCAACATTTGAACTTTGGAATCTTACGTTGTGACTTTCAAACCTTGCAAGGTTTCTTTGGCTCCTGATGTCATCACCACAGGCATATGGCACCTGTAGGTTCAGATGAGATGTCAGGATAAAAGTGCACACAATAGCTATCTGGCACTGAAACAAACTTCCAATGCAGTTTATGGACCCTGTTTTCCTCCCAAGAAGGGTAGTCATCAGGAAAAGTACTTTGTGATCAGCACCCAAGGAGTTACACTTTGTGAGACCATACACGTCTCTCTTGAGTTCTGCCCTGGTATTTCTTCAGTTCAATATGTTTTTGAGGCTTCAGAGTGAGGGAAGGTTTCATTGCAGTATTTGTAGATGAAACATTAAACCTGTCTTGGTCCTATGGGTGAAGATAGGGACAGACTTGGCAGTTCAGCAGGTATGAGATCTCACAGGAGCTCAAAAGGTACTTTTTGTGATGACTACTTTTTACAGAAGCATTTCTTGTTTATACACCACAGTCCACAGGTGCCAAAAATCTTACACCCAGAATTACCTGTGGGGATCTTGAAATTGAATGCAATAGTAATACTCAAAAGAAGGGTCCTATGAAGATATTACAACTGTAGAGAAGAGATGTATCTTTTATTCAGGAACTCCTCATGCTTCTCTTAACTCTCTATGATCATGGTATTCATAAATTATCTAGACACAAAGAACATTACAGTGGTTTCTTTTTTCCCCAAAGCCGTGATCAAGTACATGCAAGAAAAGTATGTTGAGGGCCAGGCCTAATCAAATCTGCTTGCTTCTGCACTTCTGGTCACCCAGCCTCCCTAATTCTTTTGTCACCGTGTCTGTGTAGGCTTTGCTAGTCGACGAGCGCATCCCAACTCCCTTTGAGGCAGAAAGGGTATTAGAATATCAGTGTATATATCAAATCAAAGCAAATTATTATCAAATTAAATTACATTACAAACAATTCAAGTCTGTAGTAGGGGGTCTGGGGAGAGGCTGCGCGTTACAATTGAATCAATCAAGTGGCATAACAATTACAAAATACAATTATAAAATGGTTACTACTACAGCACAATTTTTTCCTTTTCTTTCTTTTCTTTTCTTATATGGGGGTGTTGGAATGTTGAGGGTGGTGGATACTTTGGATTATACAAACAAGACAATTAGGTGATTACTGAAGCGGGAAGTTTTATGTTGCATGTTGAAGAATTTAGTGTTAGAAGCTGAACACGGAGTGCGCATTTGATTAGGCGGACCAACTTTGAAATTTAGTTTTGACTTACATTTATTGAATACTTGGACATGAATATTTCTTGCGAATTAGTTGAGTTACAGTCGGGACAGAATCCGATGTGTGTGAATTTTTTTAGTCAAGGCCTAGATTAGAGGTTACTTGGGATTTTTTAGATATATTAGTGAATTACGGGAATAAGAAATTGCTATCAAAGTATTTTATACGTTGCGGTTACGATTTTATAGAGAAGTTAGAAGTTTTGTCATATGATCAGGATGTGGAGAGTTTTTTTTTACAAAAGTTAGAAATAAGTAAAATAGAAGTTACTGTGGAAGTTTTCATTTAAGTTGGGGGAGGTGGCTCTAGAAAATAAGAAATGCAAAAGGGGCACACTCAAGTTGTTCCAATTAAAACTGGTTCTTTTTTATTATGCACTATTTTTTCTAAAACAAGTTTTTTTCTGCTACAACTGTTATTCATAAGATTTTTTTGGTTTTAATGATTTGACGGGAAAAAGAACAACAAGGGGCTAATAATGTGCTAGAAGTACAGATAAGAATAGAAATTTTTTAGAAAACAACATAAGATGATTTCAATCTTGGTTGAAGGCACGTTTTTTGCCTTTGTCGGAGGAGTTAGAAGGAGTAGTAGTAGAAGAAGGAAGGAAATGTTCGGCTACAAGTCTTTTAAAATTTCTAACAACATTCACACGAGCAGAACTTTCAGCATCAGAGTAAGGGTCATGTTCAGCCCAATGAGCATACAAAGCATCCATCATTGATTTAGTGAGACGGATAGTAGAATCAAAATTAGGAACTTTGGGTTTAGCAGTACCAACTCTTCTTAATTCTTCAACCTCATCCACCTTTTCAACAAACCAACTAGTATCAGAGTCTTTACCAAATCTTTTAACAAAAGCTGCTATAACATCATCTAAAGACATATTAATAACAGGATCATTAACAACAGGGGTCTCTACAGTAGCAGGCTTAGTAGGTTGGTTAGGAACTGGTTGGTCAGGGGGATTGTCCGGAGTCGGGGTGTCTAAGATCTCGATGGCGGGGACAGAGGCTTCGCGGGTGGTGCGTGGCGGGTTGTTAGGGGTTTTAGGAGTCTTAGGTGGAGGGGGTGGAGCTCGAGGTTTGGAAGTTGAGGCTGGTTTGGGTGGCGGAACATTAGGTTGGATGGGAGTGTTACCTCGGTTGTTCCAAATGAACAGGTCCTGGTGCCACTTCTCTTGTAACTTGATGTTACGAGGCTTGTCAGGTTTGGAATCCCAAGACCCAACTCGAATGCGACGAGCCTTATCGGTTTCGTTTGGGCAACCCGGTATGTAAGGGTTACCTTCGACGACATTAACAAGAATGTTGCCGTTGGCGTTGGTTGGTGGCGGAGTAGGCCAGTCTAAGACAAATGAAAAAAAAACAATATAAACGACACATCTAATGATGAAACTAAGAGGATAGATGAATGTTACGTACCACAACAGACCTGGCGACGAGCGCACTGATCACAGGAGTCGTGAAGTGGGCGGATCGAGGATTCAAATACGATCCAAGTGCACTCACGACCAGCTTTGAAGCAAGTAGAGAATTTGGCTGGGTGAGGTGCTGGGTTCAAGTTGATCATCTTGACTAAGAGAAGCAAGAAAGGAAGGAAATGTACAGTAAAAAAAAAGGGAACATCGTTAATATTGGGACTATATCGGTGGGTAAAGATGAGAGACAAACTTGTTGGAGTCTTTATGAAAAGATGGGTAACTCAAAGTTGGATCGAGAGGTTGGTATAGAAGTTGGAGGCTAGAAGAGGAGCGAAAGATAAGTGTAACACGCATTAAATGGCAAACATCAGCATCTAAGAGAAAGAGGCCGATCATCGATAGGATTAAGATGAGGGCTATAACGCACTATTTTAAATGAGTCAAACGAGACTGGAAAGATGAATGTGCTCTGATCACTGAATTTTGATTTGGGACAAATTCGAAGTTGGGGGAGGATGTGGTGATCAGAACACACCATCACCCTCACCTTTATATACACGAAGAAGGGTTCGAGAAGCTCAAAGTCTTACTCACTGAGAGCAGATTTCAAGCTCGAGTCAAGTTGATAGTCAACAAAGGGAGCCAAAACTTAATCATGTGTTTTTCATTTTTAGGAGATATCATATCTAGTAAAGTTAGACAAGATAACAAAGTAACTCATTTAGTTAAACAAAGCATGATAATGAGCTATAACACGGAACAAAGATTTGGGTTGAAGTAATAGATAAGATAGCAAGTTTAGAGAAGAGGAATTGAACAGAATCGAGTCCGAGAAGAGGTAATAGAAAGGTCACTTTCAGGCTCAAAGTTCCAACTAGATTAAAATTGCATCTCGAGATCAAAATTGAGTAGAACAGGTTGAAGGTAGAGGATCGAGTTTTAGGGAACATACGGAATAAACAGTTGAAAGTATCAAAAGAAGTCTCAAAATCGAAAAGGGTTGTGATAGCCTAACACTACACAAAATGTAATCTTCACCGGGCGGTAAAGAAAACTACTGCCATAGAAAAATCCTGAGGCAACAGGAAGAGAGCTAAAAATCTGAAAAAATATGGACCTTTTTCCTAGATGTTGGGGCATCATGATGAGTATTTTTTGTATTTTACAGACAGATAATGTTCGATGTACTAACAATAAAGGCTGAGAATCATCAAAAACCCACGTGTAACAATACCTGAAATTTGGCCCATGATTTTGAAGACAGGATTTTGAAATCTTCAAACATCAATAGCTTTTGCATTTCCAAATCAAATCACTCGATTTTTCGTTCATCAAAAAGGTGGGTCTTTCCTCTACATTTACCATTGAGGCATCACATCTGTAGCCGGTCTGCAAAAGATCCTACAGCGCTATTTATTCAGAACTGTTTGAACATATGTAGAGTGTTTACATGACTAGATAACACCTTACTACCTTTATGAAGTTTAAAGGAGAATGGTTCAGCTTTTGAATGAACCAAAAATGGAGTCATTTGGAGCAGAATTGCAAAAGTTATTGAAGTTTTTAGACCACAAAATATTGTCTTCATAATCATGACCCAAATTTCAGGTATTGTTACAGGTGGGTTGTTGATGATCTTTAGCCTTTATTGTTAGTACATTAACCAATATCTGTGTGTAAAATACAAAAAAATACTCATCATGACGCCCCAAAATCTAGGAACAAGGTGCATATTGTTTCAGATTTTTAGCTCTCTTCCTGTTGCGTCAGGATTTTTCTATGTCAGTAGTTTTCTTTACCACCCGGTAAAGATTACATTTTGTGTAGTGTAAAATGCGAGATACAGTATTGATGAGAGAGTTGAAAGAGGTAGTTAGAAAGAGGCTGAAATCGAATGGGTTGTAGTCACATAGCTGAAGAGACTCAGACAGGACTCACATGTTCATATAGTAATCAAGTATCAAAGTCAAATTGAAAGATAAAGGAATCTCGACTTTTAGATCCAAAGATAAGCTAGATTGAGATTGGAATTTGAGATCAAAAGTGGAATGAGTAGGTGAAGATGGTATTGAAAGGAGGGATCGGGTTTTGGGGTACAGACACTATAACGAAGTAGTTGAAGATGTGAATCTGAGCTGGAGATCGAAGAGAAGATAGACATCAGTCGTAGAAGATGATCGATACAAGGAAGCAAGTAAGAGAAGGAAATGAAAAAAAACACTTACATATTGAGTAAATGATAAATCGGCTTTGAGAACGATCGGTCGGAGGAAACACGTTGGGGTTGAGTCTTAGGGGACACGTCATGAGCTGAAAGGGCGTGAGTGAAAGGTATAAATAGGGGACTGTTCAAAGGGAAAGGAAGGGGGAGCAAAAAAATTTTGTATCCAATTTTTGTGTACGAGTTTGATTGTGTGTGTCTTAATCGAGTTAAATTCGATAAAAGTGTACTGTTCCGTGTTGATCAAAGAGAATTAGATCTATTGTGTGTTCGAGTTAGTAATTCAGCGTAAAAGTAGAAAGAGTGTTGTCAGTTTCTTTAAAAAGTGAATTCGAATATTGTGTTAGTAAAAGGCAAGAGTGACTTACATTATTGCAGCGTAAAATAGCTAAAGATTCGAGTTGTTGAGCTTTTGTTTGTTTTGAAGTTCTGTGGATGCTGAGCTTGGTTATAATCTAGTCGTCAGCTCGTAAAAAGTCGAAGTGTTAAAGATCAATTCAATAACCCGCCTCTTGATCCAAGTCGAGGCCGGGTCGAGTCAGAGTCAGCAATTCATTCCAGACCTGTACCGGGGTGTTACACCCTTGTGGAAATCAACACTCAACTCGAGTTTACATATCTCTGTACTACAAACTTGTGTAGAGTCGTGTGTAATACTGTTAGACTCCGCCAAACGCTGCGCATCCAACTGCGTGGTGTAAATTAGGTTTCGGAAAACCTTAAAAAGACGAGAAGTGAAAAGTAGAGAAGCCTCATCTCAAATTTCAAAATCATTTTTGAAGGACGAGGGCAGCTTCGCAGCACCTGTAGTTTCATCCGCTCTCACGAGTGGTGATTCTTACCCTCTCCGGCTCAGCCTACGCTACACTGCGTAGGAGTTCTACAACGGTGGCCCTAATAATAAGACAGGCATCAGACGGAGCCAGTACTTATAGATACAACTCAACTTACGCCTTTTCATCGGTTGTCAAGAACCAGGCAACTGGAATGCCGCTGCCGGTGACAGGGTGGCGTAATACAATAGTGAGTAGGGTGAAGCTTGGAAGCGGCCAGTCGGGGACACTGGAACAGACGCTGTGGGTTGAATCAAAGCATACACCGTGTCCGGGTAGTGTTCGCTTGTCGACGAGCGCGCACGACTTCCCTTTCTGCCTCAAAGGGAGTTGGTGTGCGCTCGTCGACTAGCAAAGCCTACACAGACACAGTGATAACACATCATCACCGTGGCGGCGGATTTTTTCACGTTGCCAAGGAGATAGGAAGGCAAGGGATACCCGTTCATTAGTTGTGTTGGTGAAATTATTAACAAACCAGCCTCGTTTGCGAAGTCGTTCACACCAAAGATTGACAGACGTTAAGACGTTGGAGCTCAAAAACTTGGTCTTGACTTCGAGGCAGCGGATAGCGTTGTTGACACGGTTGCGATCTATGTTGAGCGCCTCAGGGACGATGCCGAGTGCTTGGTTCTCGTCCTGGAGTAACAATCAGTGTCAATCATGTAAGGTAAGGTACAAATGGCCACCTACTGGGAAAAGGTCCGGACATGATAGCAGTCTGGTGATAGATTGCCATGTGAGGCCGGAGATTACGCGCTCGTTAAGCCAAGTGGATACGACATTGGGAAGTCGCATGTTGCGCATGTCCTCCAAGGAATAGGGGTTGTGACGCTTGTGCTCCCAAAACCACTTGAACCCCAAATCACCGGTGATGGTCTTCCTTAATATTATGTAAAATTTTGCTGGGCATTGAACACGTACAGAGCCTCCAGAACGTCAAGTGGCAAGGGTAAGAGTGGGCTTGACACGGGTGGAAGGTTTGCCATAACAGTTGCAAAGCTAGCTTTTGGTCCACTCGTGGCGGCGGATAGGGCCGCGGCGTTGGTGGGAAAGGTTGGTCTCAAAGGCAAGTTGATCAGTCGACTTCTTAGCCTGCCCGTTAAATCATTTGCCTTGATAAATCGATATTGAGGATGAGGTCATAGCAAAAATAACATCTTTCTTGATTCCAGCCTCGCGGGGCAGGCTAAGTCGTACAACCTCAGTATTGAAATGGGGTGGCTGACGAGAAGCATCACGAACGAAGCGATTAGAGATAGGATTAAAGTCAAATCCGGCTGGTGGAGGAGCCAGATGGACAAGGGGGAACGGTAGCCAATCATGGATATTGGCGGGAAAGTGGAAAGCGTCGGCGCTGGTGATTAAGGGGGAACGTGGCACTTCTGCTTCATCGTCTTCGACAACGGTGTACAGTCCAGGCCAAGACTTTGGCGTCTTGCCAGGCTTGTTTGGCCTCATTGCGGAGAAATCTTCAGTGAAAACCAAGAGCGTAGTGGAACTTGCGAAAAACTACTAAGTCTACAGCGCTGATGGTGCTAACGAGGACATCAAGGTCATCCTCGAAGCTCCCTCACAGGATCAGTGGTCAAAGCTCGACGGTTTGTGCTGTCCTTTGCGTCCAATCACCCCTCTTATACAAAACCCTTGAACTGGAATGTCCAATCTGGAGATCATGCTGCCGGATCAAGCGCAATCTGACCATTCTCCTTAGCACGGTGACGGAAATACGTGCTGAGCCGTCGGCCGCTCTGGACAAACCAAAAGGTCATCTATTGAGTGCACGTTCATGAGCGCTTCCGGTATCCTCAGCATCTCCTTCCTCAACGTGTAGCAAAGCGCCGCAGGGTTCAACCAGAGTCGGCCAAAACCCGTGCGCAATGTCCACGGATCAGCGGATCCCAATCATCCCAATTTTTACGACGCGATCATTCAAATCAAATTCCCATTTTGTCGTCTACGTCACAATTTGAAAGAACAAGATTTGAAACGCCACGATCAAACGAAAACAGGTGTGTTTTGCTGTCCGCTCAGACAGACCAAAAGTGTAAGTTCTCAAAAACCTTCTGGTGGAATAAATTCAGGCTGTTAGCAAGAAGCATGAAACCACAGACTGGTTATTTTGTAATTACAACCACAAAAAACAAATTCATTAGTCTTGTAAAATTTGAAAAAAACAAGACTTATGAAATGTGTACTGCTGAGGATAATTTTAGATAGCCCTCATACAGACAACCTCAAAATTATCTTGTTTTGTTTTGTAAATTAATTTTGCAAGCTGTGGAAGAATTTTTGAAAAATACCTGATTAAGTGGTTCTTGCTGTCACCAACCGGCTTGGGTGAAGATTTTCACATTCTTTTCTTGAAAAACTGGGGAAAATTTTAATGATAAATTAATATATATATATAAAACTATTTTGTAAAACAAGATGGTCATCAGCAAGCGATCATGACAGCAATCAACAGATTCTTGAGAAACCATTGATTCATAACTTTTTTTGTCTTTAGTGGCCATGTTTGATGCTATCTAATTATAATAAATATCAGTCTTGACAACTTTCTTTTATTTTTTACATCATCTTGTTTAAGCGTCTATTTGACAAGAAGTTTAGGCAAAAACTGTTACACAAAGATGGTTTTTTAAGGGGTAATTGAATAAATGGAAATTTGGTTGTACTCTTAATCAAACATTCAAACAAAATGGTCAACAAATATTGTATTGAATACTTGTTGACTGGTTCAACTGTCTATGAAAATTGAATTTCACTCTTGATGTTCTGAACATCACTCGATGTTCATAACATTTTCCATTACTGGGAGGGTGTCATGTGGGGTTAAATTAAAAAGTTGATTTAATTTGATGAAGTTCGGTCGGGGGGGGCAAAAAGAGTTTTCGTCTGATAAACAGTCTCAATGCTGTTTTTCAGATCAGTCGAATATATCGTGATACATATATGATTTATTTTCTTGATGGTGCATTTATCGTTGCTCATGAACAAGACCACCTTTTCAAAATCCATACATGAAAGATTTTAAAGCAAAAATAAGTTTTTGGCTTTGCTGGTCTCGCGATACATATCCGGTTTTTACAAAGTTTACCGAACGGAACAGGCTCTTGAACAGAAAAAAAAAACTCATCAGCATCAAGTTTGTTTAGATCTTCAAGACCGTTTCTTCAAATCTTAATAAGGGTACTCAAAGTAAGTATGTACGTGTACATACTTTTTGCTATATACTTTTTTTGGCGGGGAAGGCGAGGCCAAAAGTATATTTTTTTTCTTTGTCCCCGCCAAAAAAAGTATGTAGCGAAAAGTATGTAGCGCTACATACTTTGCTTTGAGTACCCTTAATATATAACTCAGATTAAAAAAAATCAACTTTAGAATGACGAGACGTCTTTCAGGTTTAGGTAAAGAGTTTTTTTCATTCTTAAGATCACGATTTACAAGGTAACGAGATAGAGAATCCAAGAGAGAGATTCTAAGTTGATGAAGAGAAACCAATCAAGAGAGAGAGATAAGTTTAATGATCATGTAGATGAGTATAAATTACATCATTCTAAGGAATACTTCTTATCTACAATTCTACCATCGTAATCTCAAAGTCAACAAACTACCCTATCCTATCCTATCCTATCCTATCCGTCACTTGTCAGTTTGTGTGTGTGTGTGTGGGTAGGTTCATTTTACATAATTGAATTACGGATAAATAGGGATAAATTCACCGCCACATTTAAAGCACATGATCTGATTTTGAATGATTGGAAAGAGAGATTTGGAAAGAAATGGGTATGTAAATATGTAAAACCGTCAGACTTAAAATGAATTGAATCAATCGAAATCGAAATCAACTTGACTTTTCGGAGAATTATTACAATTCCATAGTACTAAAGCACAGCATACATACTACTGATTCCTGAATCTAGAATCACAAACAGATCAGTTGATTCACATTTCTAGCTCCTCTACATGAAATCTAGTATGGTTGATGATGATGATGTAGCTATTAGGTAAAGAAATGGTCGGGTTTGGTTTGAATCGATTTGAGGAAAATGTCGTCAGAGTTATAGAAAGTGGTGTTATTTATGTACATATTAGTTCTCTTTTAATTTTTTTATTTAGAAGTTCGTTAAACATTTCATCACGATTTGTGATCTTGTGATTGAGTACAACACATGAGATTGATTGATGGATAGATTGATAGATAGATTGTACATATATGGAATTTGGATGGAATTCAAGTTTAGGAGGTGTTTCTTTGTTTAAAGGGTCATGAGAGAACTTGATTTGGTACTAAGTAATTGATGACCAAATTGAAAGTAAATGATGAGAATTGTGATGAATGATTTCGGAGAAGCCTTTGATGAAGAACTGACCTTGTGATTCGAAATAGATTAGTACTTTAAAGTGACGATCCAATCCTGATTACTACATAAACCATTAAAATCACATCATCTCTTGAGTCTTGACTATATAAACATTCGATTTCCATTCGGATTGGTTTCATTACCCTTGATTGATTATATCAAATCTAGATAGATACTACCTGCTTCATTCTCAATCAACTCAAACATCAATAAATCAAGTCGATCAACTTGAATGATTGCTGCTTGAATCTTAAATTTCATTCAACTTCTTTCGATAAAAAAAGAAGGAAATCAAACTCACAACACACTCAGTCTCAACAGAGTTATAACAGCCATCAATCCTCCTGATTTGAGTCTTACTTCCAAGCCAACTGATTGAAAAGCCCTTTAACTCCATTTCGGAATTTCTGACACGTTTGTAAGTTGAATTTGATGGCTACATAAATTATATCATTTTCTCAATTTACATACATACATACATAGATTCATTCATTCATTCATTCATTCATTCATATCACCTTTTTACAATCAAAGCAAAAAAGAGCGCTAGATTGATACTATAGCTTTAAGCGATTTCTTCTATCTATTGCTTAAAGAGCTTTTTTTTGAATGATCAAGTATATAGAGTTTGATTAAGAAGGTGATAAGTAAAAGTGAAATGATAGAATTTCATCATACCCCTTTGATCTTGTTACCTAATGCTCTTGACTCAATTCAAAATCTCTTCATCATCTCGTCAATTCAATTCTCAATTTCACTTTTCACTTTTCTGCTTTCTTTCCCCTCCTCTCTCTCTCTCTCTCTCTGTCTCTGTCTCTCTCTCTCTTCTTTTTTCCGTTATCTTGATGATATTGATTTGATTCACATGGTCAAACAAATTTCATGAAAATTAACTAAAGAAATTGATATATAAGAGAAGTACAAGAGATATGTACAATATCTTTTAAACTACCTAATTTGTATCATCCCCTCCTTCCCCATTAAACTCCTTCCACTCAATTTCCATCACTTCAACTTGCGCATCAACTCGGCCGTATTTCGGTTGAATGAACTTTATGTAAAGTTGTGTAGAGGTAGTCCTTTTTTTTTTCTTTTGAAGTTTCACTACCCACCATTCATGTCGATCTTATCTCAATGATGATTGGGGTTTTTTGAATTGAATTGAATTGAATTGGGATTGGATGACTGTTTTGTTTTGGTATGTAGACTTTTGATGAGATTTTCTTTGCAAAAACCCTGTCGGTTATCAGAAAATCAGAAATCAGAAATCAGAAATCCAAAGTTGAATTGATATGAAATCGAAAGAACGTTTTTGGTTTTTAAATTCTAAAAGTGATTTCCTTTAACTCCTGAATGACCATCTCACTTCATTCAGTCAATCCATCATTCATATCATCTCAATCAATCCTCACTTCTTTTCAATTCATGTTGCGGTGATTTCTGTTTAAACCTTCATTTCTTCATCTCCGCTTTGATTTCACTTCTCAAGTTAGTTCTTCTCTGAACCCCTAAAAAGTTTGATTCATCATTCATATCACCAATTTGCTTTGGGTGATCGGAGAATTACCGAAAATCATTTGATTTGCTATAAAACTACCTCGTCACTTCATCAGCTCCTCTCTATCTCGCTCTTTCTCTATCATCATCTCTGCATCTGTTTTCTTTTTATAAGGCACAAATCCATATCAATCCTATCAGAAGACATTTCATTAACGATCATCTATCATCATCTATCAAAATCAACTGTGCTTTTTTTTGGTTCTCTTGTTCCTTTGTCTCACTTATTCTTCTTATCTATCAATCAATCTCAAAACAAAATCTCAACTTAAAAAGAGAGAAACTAATCATAGATAAATTCTTTTCTTAAGATCATATTTGAACAATCCAATTTCTTCACACCCTTCAAAACAAAACCTCCGAGTTTCTTCAATTCGTTAAAAACATTCTCAATCTTCTATCATGGACGTAGAATGGTGCATCATGTGCGATAACAAAATTTATCCAAACGAGTAAGTCAACTCAACTCTCTTTTGCATTAACGCATAGAATATTTACTAATGATCATTTGACTTTAATTTTTGATCAATAGTCATTCTGAAACTTATTCAGCATATTGTTCAACTCATTGTTTCTTAACTGCTCATTTAGAAGCATCAGAATCACAAAACCAATCAAGATCTCAAACCCAATCCACATCTCAATCACAACCACAATCACAATCATCATCAAGTAAACCAGAATCGAAAAAACAATCCAACCAATATCCAAGTAGTATCAACCATTATACCATCAAACCAAACTATCCAATCAATTCTACAGGATCATCATCATCATCATCATCATCATCATCATCATCATCAAATTTAAATCGAAATGGAAATCTAAGAATCGATTCGATTTATCCAATTCATTCATCTAATTCGATCGGATTAGAAGAATCATTATCAAACCAATTCTTATGTAAACCTAATCCACATCAACCTCAACATCAAAACTCTTCACAATACATTTTATCTTCAGTTTATTCTTCTATTTCGACCACTAATGATGAAGATTTATTAGATCATCATCAGTTTGGTAATGATGATGAGATTAGAGGTAGAACTAGAGGTAGAGGTAGATCTGCGGATAGGAAAGGATTGGGAAATCGCTATCTACTTGATCAAAAGATTTGGTTGGGTGAACCGAACTTTTTGAAATCGTAATCTAGCATAGACTTTGACTGGATTGATTTCTTTTTTTTATGATTTGTTGACCATGAAAAAAAAATCATTTCTCATTTTTTTTTATCCTTGGTTTTTTCTTCTTTTTTTTCTAAAAAAAACTTTTTTTCTATCTTTTTGATTTTGATTTTGATTTTGTTGATGTTTGAAGAAGAACATGAAAGAAAACTCTTTACAACGGGTTTGATTTTTTTCTTTTTGATTTTTCATGTTGTACAACAAAAAACAAAAAACCAAAAAGACATAAGGAAACAAGAACCAGAACCCCCCCAAAAAAAAGAAGAAAGATTTTGTTTTCTATACGATTTAATAAGATATATATATGATACAAAATATACACATCAACAAAGAAAATAAATTTTATTTTGTATAGAATTAATTTCTTTCTTTATCCAAAAAAAAAAATCCATTTGATTTCCATCTTTTGGTTCGGTTCGGTTCGGTTCGGTTCGGTTCTTCCTTTTTTTTTCATGTTTTCTTTTTTTTTTACAACAAAACTTGTACTTTTTTTTTGTTCTTTTGTTTGTGCTTGATTTTGAATTTGGATTTGGATTTGGAAGGGATAGGAATGGAATGGAATGTAAGGGAATGAAAATAAAAATAAAAATAAAAATCATGGATTAAGAAAAATGAGTTTCGTTGAAAGAGTTTGGTGTGATAAGTTTTCAAGTCGGGTATTTGAATAGACTTTTGTTGAAAAAAGTCTCAATATCTGGGCAGTGGGACCAGTCCAAACCTGGCAGTGGTGGTGGTGAGAGGTAGCAGAGGCCTTTACTATTATCCTGAGTTTTATTTTTCGCGGTTTAATGAGTTCTTGTCATGAAACTTTTTGTGGCTAGTTCGCTACATTTCTCTCGATTTCTCAGGGTCTTGATGTGTTCCTTACACTTTGAAAGGGATTCTTTCATTGTGATTCAGCTTGACATGGTTCCCTTCAATGATTTGCATCGAGCTGTGGAAACATGTAGAGGACATTTCTTTTCATTGATGGCAATGTGAGTTCATGCACAACATGATGTTAGGGTACGATTTCATAAGCCGTGGTGGATCACAATGTCTTCAAAAGACTTGTCGAGACAGATTGACTACTAATTTCAGACGTAAAGAATCCTGGGACCATATCTCATTAATTACTTCTCAACAATTTGGTATCAATTACAAAACTTTCATCATCATATTCCATATATATATATATCAATAATCTCTTTAAGAAACTGTGAAATAGACAACTATAAATGATGAAAAAATCAAACCAAGAAGAAAAGGTAAAGTTGGTCAGTTAAAACTTCAGATTAGATTTTCTTTAATGATATGAATTATTGAACTTACCATCATCAAATGTTCCTCGTTGAGCCACTCCACTTAGGATCGGTTGATGGTTAGCTGCACTTAGCATACTAGAAAGCCTAAAGAATTTAAATAAATGAATATAAGAAGTTCAAACAATCAAAAAAAAGATCAGTTTGAATTTATAATGATTACGAATTAATTTTCTTTGGGCATGAACCGATTTTTTTTTTTGGCTTACCTGTAAGATCCGACTGGTAGTCCATTGGTAACCTCAACAAAACTTGTGTTATCTTTTCCTACACTTGTATCAATACCTATTATAGAAACAAAAGAGATTATTCATCATCATGAGACGGTTTTAGAGAGAGTGAGTTAGATGAACACAACGCACCTTTGAAGAAGCTAAACTTGGTAGGATTGACTGTTTTGGTCGAATTTAAGGTTGAGATCTTTTGGATCACTACATGTGCATGACCGATGACTTGTTTTGATTTAGGAGAGATTTGTTGAGGTGCTGAGAAATATCTGTTTGAAATCATTGACAAAAAAAATAAATAAAAGATAAAGAATGAAATTAGTTAAAAGTAAGATTGGGAAGTATATTTTTTTTTGTGGGAAAATGATCTGAGGAACTGACGTGTTGGTTGGGTTAGTAAACTTTCCAGTGACCATATTCTTGATTTTAAGGATTATGTTAAATGTTGTGTTAGCTTTTAAGTTTGAAAAGTTAATTGGGTGTACAAATTTACAACTTGGGAATTGATCTGGGGCAGGGATCTGTGAAAAAGCAAAGGAAAAAAAAACGAACATCAGGATTTTTATGTTAATTGAATGATGAACTGAGTGAAATACACAATCTTACCATTCCCATTGGAATTCCATTACATGAGTAATTGTGAGCCGATTGTGATCCGTTCATAAGTTTGGCACCCAGAGCTTCTTTAGAAACACAAAAGTTGATCTGTTGAAAAAAAAAACGTATAACGGATGAAAAGATTCATGGGTCAGTCTAATGAAGAACATAATCATGATGGATCTCATTCATACTTACAAAGTTGTTCGATGAGGTCAAGGAGCCTGTCATGTTACCCGTTGGACTACCATCTTGAGCTGAAGCCGATTGACGTGCGCTTCTATGCAAAGTCGTTGAATTTTGTGATGACTTTGGCTTACAGACGGTTGAGTTTCGAGATGAGTTTGAGGCAGTAAGTGCTACTTGGATGAATGGAAGAGCAAAGATGATTTGTTTTGAAAACAACATGGCTGTAGATCGTGGTATTGAGGTTTTGTGGATTCAGTGAAATTCAAGTTTATTTTGAAGGACGAGAGGAGTGAAGGGATGGTGAGTTTATATAGCTTTGATTGATGCTTGGCTGATTATCGCGCATATCCACATCACCTGCTGGTAAGCAACCTGATTGATCTCAGTACCCAAGCTTTTCTGGCAAAAGCATAGAATGTAGCAAACTGTTGAGCTTTTTGAATGTACATACAAATCAAATGCCTTAACTTCAAACTTAACTCAACTTTAAACTTCCAAATCCTACGCTGTCGCACGACAGCCTGAGCGAGCGAAGGCCTCAATGGTCTCAATGGTGGCTTTTGAGGAATACTTATTACTTACTAAGCTTTTCCTTAGAGTCATTTCGGTTTATCTTCCGTAGGAGCTCATCGGGGATGCAGCACTCGAAGCCATTCAAGTTTCAACAAAACGGAACCGCCGGCGGCATGCCAGAAAAATCTAAACTCATCCAAGTCTCACGCTGACTCTCGCACGCTTCGAGCGCATTGAAGCGTACGAGAGTCAGCGTGGGACTTAGATAAGTTAAGTCACACTCACGACTCACTCCAGCTTCTATGATTCATGAACTCCCTGCGAATGTGTGTGAAGTCGGCAACTGACGAGCACGGACACCTGTGAGGTGATCCCTGGTTATACCGCTTAGACCGTTGCAGCTTGCTCAATCAACTCAGGTCAATTCATTGGCGAGCCGCAATTCAGCAGTGATGATGAAGTCTTTGAGCTCAAAGGCTGATTCGTTAAAAGCTGACGGGGCGAAGGAGATACATAGGACATATTCCGCTCGGGGCTCATAATCCGAAACGTCTACTGTGAGGCCCCGTGAGCGGCGAGCCATCTGGCAGGGTAACGCAACTACGGAATGATCATCAGTTTTCTTCGTCGCATCCCATTCCGAGCATCTCCTTTCAGACCATTTTTAATGATGTCCTCGAGTAAAGCTAGTAAAAAATTCGAACTTGGAACTGCTCGTATCCTCAACACCGAGGACCTCGAAACTTCTCAATCGAAATGGTTAGGTTTGAAGACCATCAATTGGGTCGATGAGGAGGGCAAAGAGAGAAAGTGGGAATGGTGATTGCTTAATCAACTTATTTAGCGTTCATTGGCATTTCGTCGATTTCAACTTACATTTGCCTAGGCATTCCTGCCTGATTGCATTTATTTATTACATGGACGGGTAATCAGTACCGAGCGCAAGAAATCTCACTCGTCGCCTGATCAGATCGACGGTGAGCATTCTGCCAGATTGCATATCATGGCTCCTCGCACACCCAATTGAGATACACGATGTCCTCCTAGCTGTTGCGGTTTTCACTCTCGTCTCCCGCCCCAATCGGCCTTTGCAAGTCATCCTGGTTTTGCAATACCGTCCTCCTTTGGGTAAAGTGGTGGTTGAGTTACCGGCTGGATTGGTCGATGGAAAAGAAGCTGTAGAAGCAACTGCTTTACGAGAGTAAGTGCTTTGTTTTACTCAACGCATCATAGCAGTTCAGTGTTCTTAATCTGAACACCGATAACTTCATATTTCCCATTTTAGGTTATATGAGGAAACGGGTTATGGAAAAGGGAAAGACGGCGGGATGGCCACCGTAGAGGATGTTAACACTTTGATGGCCGTGAGCACATCATTTGTCTCATTCCCATTCTTTTCTACAGAAATTTTCTCCCGATCATTCGTGACGATAACACTTCAAGTCGTACTGACCACCATTTATATGATTGTGTAGTGTAATCCAGGAATGACAAACGAGACGATGGCTCTTGTGACAGTAAGAGTGAAGCTGGAATCCGACAACATCCCCGAACCGCAACCTGATGAAGGTCAGTTCAAGTTCCTGTTGATTTTGAGAAGAGCTTACTGAAACACCAAGAATGATAATCTAGGTGAGCATATTGTTGTCAAGTTGGTGGATTTGAAAAACTTGAAACAAACTCTTCTTGACTTTAAGTCGCAAAAAGGATATGCTGTGGATGCTCGACTCATGCATCTTGCTTGTGGTCTATCTCTGTGAGTGTTCAAGATTACCTAGTAGATCTTTGCTTCATAGAGTGGTCTGCTCATGATCATAATCGTATCGTCTATATATAGCAATGTTGATGAATAGACGATGCAGTTATCACCACTCTAAAGAATTACTCCTAGAAGTTTGTATCTCTATGTAATTAATCAGGTTGATAATTGATCACAACCATATATCAAGTAATCCTGAGAGTGACTTACTCCAATTCTGTTGTACTATGTACTGCGATTCATGCCGACATTCATCTGCTGATTGAGCGCTTACATTTCAGCATTTTTAGCTCAACGGAACGCAACTTCTCGAGCTCTGAGTTCCGAGTTGCAAGACCTTTCTCTTTTGAAAAGATTTTATTAAGTGAAACATGGTTGAGTGAATTGCGCAATGAGATCGCCAAGTAAAGCTTCGTATTTTAGAGAAGTGGGAAGAGCTCTTGGATAATGAAGGACTTTCTAGGATTGCAGCAAGTGTAAAGTGTATAAAGTAAAGATTGTAAATGTGCATTTATGTGTAGAATAGAAGATACAATGAGAATGAGACAATAGCTTTTGCACCAAGTTTTCTATCTATTGATATGATCTAGGCTGTACATGGGTATGCCAAGTACATCATGTGATTTGGGTATATCCCTCTTGATTCCAGCCTCTTGAAGGGAATCAGGGTTTGAGAATTGTAGACTGATGTAGAATTTGGAGAGTACATAATAAATAATGAGGGAAATTAACTAGATTGGTAGCCCAGCAATATTACGACACGCCTTGGTTAGTGATTGACCTTTCTTGCGAGCTGCAACAACGTCTGTGTTTAAGAATAAATAAATGATAAGTGTACTGTAAAACCCGAAGCATCAAAGAATTTGACAGCCCTTGCTTTGACTAAATTGTGGACTTACCGGGGTTTGTGCAATCGCACACAGGTAGATTGACCAAACAATCATCTGGTCGACGAGGGTTGATATAAGAGCTTTCAGTTCTAAAAGCAAAGTACAAAAGTCAAAGATTGAAGCAAGGTAGAAGAGATGAACATAAAGAGTAGCTAACTGATTTGTGTATGGGTCGTACTCAAACGTATGATGAGTTGTCTGACACTCCCATGAGCTTGTGGTAAGAAATTCAGCCGTGAAGCCGTACTTGTATTCCACTAGATCAGCATGGTAAATTGTAGGATCAAAACCATCTCCTTGCAGTTCAGCTCTGGCAATGTTCATCATCCTATCACCCAGTCTTTTTGTCAACATCGTTTGGTTTTGTATGATATGTCATTGAACTGCACCCACACTCCGTCTTCGCCACAGTAAGAGATTATATCTGGATCATTCATCGCTCCATTTGGTCCGCTGTATGTGCAAGGCTCCTATGTGATGGAAAAACGAAAAAAGAATCACAAGATATAAAATTGGTTGTTTTGTTTACCAAAGAATTTTATGGTTTGCTTACACTACCGCGGACGATAAAGGCATTCTATAGAAGGGATTACGAGTTCGTAAACATGGCAGCCTGAAATCATGACCAGATGATAATCTTCAGAAAAACGTACTTGGATCCTCCAAAGCTTGATCAACGTCTTAAGCTTGAGACTTCTCTCGAACTCTTTCTGGACGGCATTTTGATCGATAACAGGTAAACCAGTCAAGAACAATCCATCTCGGTTGATACTCGAGAGTCCTTCCGGGGTACTGATTCCTGATGTGATGACTTTTTGAGTTATATTAGAGATAGTCTCTTGAACCGCGTGCTGGGCTTCTCCAAGCATCCACGTCACGTCAGAGGACTAGAGTTAGAACATCTGGGAGCATCAGAATAGACGCTGGTGGGTTGCAATCCTCGGGAAGAATCACATACTCTTCCAAATCGGTTCTCGCCATTGCCCACGATGAGCAGAGTGTTAACCCAACTGAAGGCTGAGATTTGATAGAGCGACATGACAATACCCAACCAGGAGAGGGTACCCCATGAAAGCCAGATGGAATCTTCTATAGGACCAAAGGAGCGAAACAGCGATGAAGGGAAAGAACTGATCCAATTGCTCACTAACCCCACCCATGCAGACTGGAAGTAAGAGTATGTCAGATCATCATGGCTCGTGTCCTCTTTTAATTGGATTCTTCACTCACTATGTGCCGAGGTGTACGAGTAGGATCTTTTTCCATGTCTATCAGCTGTTACAAGAGAAATCCATCTATGATCAGACTATAAAATCGAAAGTTTATAGCGAAGAAGAGAGGCATTCAATACCATTGTAGGAAGTACAGCTGTCAATAAAATTTATTTGGAGATTTGTCAGCCTCATGTTCTTGGAGAGCTCAGCCGAGTTGATGATTTCCTACTGACCTGAAACCTCATTGAATCTTTGATGAATGCAAACATATAAAGAAACGCGTGGTGTCACATCAGCTGGGGATCTCTATTATCAAATCTCATTGAAGGAGGAATAAAACTCACGCATCACCAGCTGCCTCGTATACACTATTTACAAAATTATTCCAATTCTCGACTGCTACTAGCGCATACCAGTCTCGTCCCCTGACAGACTCGCAAATCTGAGAGTAAGAATGTTCAGGTAGATAGTCATATGGAGTATGAGTTCAAATAGCACTTTGCGGATCCAAATTTTGCAAAAGGTTGACCTGACCTGACCTGGACTGCATACTTTTCCAATGCCACAAACAAAGTCAGTTGCACCCACCCGAGTTGCATATTTCTAAGGTGCAAAATGAAAAATTTCAAAGCATGCAATGAGTATGTGGAATATTTGCGTTCAAAGGAGTGATATGGAGGGATTGTAGAAAGTTACTGACTTCAACAGTCCAGTTTTTGCCTCCGGGATAATTGTCTAGATAAGCATTCATACTGAGATTAGACCATAATGAAGGAGTGAGGGGTTGATGAAGGCATTCATTCTCCAAATCAGATTTGGTGACTTGAGTGTTGTTCGTGGTGTGATTCGTATGCGGAAAATTGATGGTATGATTGGTGTGGGAAGCATTTGTCAGGAGAGGTTTAGGGGTGTTAAGGGCGAAGAATGTAGGACGTTGGTCGGGAAAGTCGGGTCGAGGTGCCGAAGGACCAATCCCGGCGGCGAGGGAGGCAGCTGGTAGCGCCAAGGTGATTGCTACCAGCAGAATGGCCATTTTTCTAGTCAAAACTTTGTGTGGGGACGAAGTCTAAAGGGAGATGTGGATTTTGGATGAAATGTTGAATCGCAGTTTCCGAGAGGCCTCAAGAATCGTGCAACTAGTATGATTAATAGGCTTATATTCACCACCCAATTACCGTCAGGTGCAGTAGTACGGATGATTATCGACTGGAGCTTTGAATACCGCAGGATTGCGCAGAGTGGATAGGACACATCTCCAAACCGTCAGCGATAAGGCTTTGAACGGGACAAGTAGTCAAATTCTGGAGATGAAGTCTGCCTCATCCAGAAATTATGAGACGCGTCCGAAAGCCTAGATAAATCCTTTGATGTATTGTATAGCGCGCACATCAAAGCTCTCAAATACTCTGTATATCTCAGTGCTTTAAGTTGATCAAGTCTTCGGATAGAATAGGACTTGTGGATTTTATCTTACTCTTGCTGAAACACAATAGGATTTGATCGCTATTCTCTGAGACATGTCGTGATGATTGAGACGCAGTGAGACTCGCTGGAAGGAGAGTCCATAGTCAAAACGTCTTCTAAAGCTTATCGAGTCGTCACCATCTCCCGCGGTCTGGGGACGGTTGATCTCGGGGCGATACGGATTGCGCAAATTGAAACATTGAAACATGAGCTTCCTCAGCAAGATATATGTTCCATACAAAGATGGCTATCAAAACTTCTGCGATCACAGATAACGCCTGTATGGCAGAGATTGCTGAGGCTCCTACTCAACGCAAGATGTTGTGAATGGTGGACACTCTTGCCTTAAAATCCATGTTGGGCAGGAGTCTGAGCCTAACGGCCTTCAGGTTGCAAGTGTCGATTTCGTTTTGTGTAGCCACATGATGATCAAGTCGTCCGAATTGTTTAAAAGAATGTTCTCTTGATTGTGATGTCTGAAACATCTCCAGTGATTGGGAAGGAACGATCGTTCAATGATCAAGTTTCGCTTCTGTGGGCACAATTCGTGGGCTTGCGATCGAGGATGCGACCCAGAAATCGCTAGTCATGGATTCATCGGTGTTATGATTGGCGAACACGCTAGAGAAGCCCAACTGAACTAACAGGTCCCGTCGAGGCACGAATGGACTGGGACTCGAGAATGTTACCTTCGCCGGTCATCATAGTATCCTTCAGCTCGAGTCCAGATATGCCCGCGATCGGTACATAATCCTATCTTTATGACCAGAAGCTGTCTATGTGAGGTCGATCCGTAGATGGCTAGCCTAGATTGCTGGCCATCACTCTACACATTCTGTCCTCTTGATTGGGTCCTGAATGAAACTACAGTGATATCGAGTTGTGTCCCGGCCAAAAGAAGTGTTGGACTGGGTTCAGCGAGTAACTACCGCTCCAACGGCCAGGCCAGGTTGGACCAAAATTGTTTGAGTCGTAGCTGTTATTTGTGATCATCTTCGGATTGCCAGGTGGAGCGCTAGTAAAATGAAGGAGGCTGACCCATTTTTGAAAGCCTCTCCGATTTGGTCTGGGTATATGCGTACCTCGCCACAAAAACTATAAAAAGGAGCCTCCCGCGAACACTGGCAGACATTTCATCAAAGAAACTGACACCACTACTTCATAGAAACAACATCGAACCCACTTGCTCTCCTGCACTGCCACTTTAAACACACTTTCACCTAGCATCACTCGCTCGTCTGCTCATACCCAATCAAATTAAATTACTTCAAACCAACAAGATGTTCTTCCGAAAAGCCGCTTCTGCCAACCCTGCTGCTCAGTCCAACACCGTCTCCACCAACCAGATCAATGGATCGCCCTCCACCCGAGAAGACAGCTTCTCAGTCAGTAAGTACTTCAGCTGCAACTTCGAGAACGCGAAACCCGTGACTAATGCCTATGCTCGCTTCAGCCTACGATCGATGCCTTGGCATTTCGCTCATTGGGGCCGAACAAGTCTTTCGCGCTCAAGGCGCTCTCAACAAAAGCATCAAATCCACCACTCCATCGGTAGCCCCATCCACCGTAAGCTGCTCGTCCATCTTATGCTCTCCAAAATGAAACTGACCAGACCTCAATACATCATTTCGTCAGAATACCGAAAAGAGTGTGGTCATTGACGTTGCCTCTCCTCCTAAGAGAAGCAACACACTGTAAGTTTTTCTTCCCTTCACTCACTATGAGAAACAACAGACTGATTTTATTTTCGTTTTATACAGAAAATGGGGTCGATCAAAGGCTAACCCACCCAGCAATGTATAAACCCGCAGCCTTACCAGTCTTTCGCTTCTCTTTGTCACCAGGTAGCATGTCATAGCACGCTCATCTATCATGTCTACTCATACCTTACCTAATCTATGCGCGTGTACCTTTGTATTGAGTGATACCCTTATCTGTCATGCCTTTGGATTGTCAACATGCGAATAACGTAATCACATGAAGCTTTTGAAGTCATAATTTCATAGTCCCTGAACGATAACAAATCATACTATCAAACTTAGCCATCAGCTGGGGAGATCGAAACCCAACTGCCTACGAAGAAATTGCGAGTGCAGTTCCCATTTTCCCCATGAAGTCTTCTTATGAATAACCGCTATGAATCTACAAGTAAAACTTTCAGACTCCATTTCCCTTATAACACATCATCATAGCTAATTTTTTGAATTCTTGAAGAAATAAAAAAGACTGAAGATTGGCAAAATACCCAAAATGTAACGTACCTGAAGTAATCTTGGAATAAGAAGTATTGTAGGATTCAAATCTCGCCACCAAATAGCAGTTGTTATTTTCCCAAGAAAGCCCAAGCATGTACATATAAACCCGTGTGTACTTGGTCTACCAACTCCAGATGTAGAGTTCAAACAAGGGACTGAGTTCAAGCTGGCATAATCATTAGGTTTATCTACTATGTGCAGGGAGGTGCTCGCCGTAGATTAACTGAAGGTACGAGGTATGCTACGAGGTAGGTGGGTGTGAGGTCTTTGGTGAGTTTGAGGGTTATCTGCTTCTTTTGATGTTCGATAGAGGTTTCGATTTTTTTTTGGTTGTCGGCTTCCCCTCCTCGCGGTTTCGTTTCTCCTTCGAAAAGGGAGTAGCTTCATCCGTGGCCTAAGAGCCGAAGGATTTTCGGCCGCCTTGGCTTGAGGATCTCTTGAGGCTCTGGGAATGTTAGGATGAAAAGTTTTTACGTCTGGATTGCAATTTGCACCCATCGCTGTCGGGTGGCACTCAGGAGCCGTCGCGGTCGTGTCGTTGGTAAGCAAGCCTTCGGCCACCTTGAAGCTTGTCCATAGGTTTTGGATTTCGATTTGGGCTTCTTGGGCAAAGGTGGCACAAACATCAGCAAGGTTTTTTTATCTCGAAAACTCCTACGGCTATCCACGCCTTGAGGTTCGACCAGCCCTCAGTCATGAATCATCCCTGTCAGGATGCGACAAGTACTTGGGCTAGTTTTGTGCAAATCATAGTACCAACCAGCCGCCATCTTCGGATTGCAAAACGAAGTGAAGTGATATGGACGAGGCTGGCGCTACCTCGACCGCTCTCGGTGTATGCACTCGTTCGAAAAACCTATAAAGAGAGCCCTTGTAACTAATTGAAGGACCTCATCATACATCCTTCTTTACTACTTCAAACATTTAATCGCATCCTCCGCATCCACTCGCTCACTGCTCAGCCTAAACTTTTACATACAATCAATTGCTCCGTTTATTCATACCCCATCAATCTAAACTAATTCAAACCAATAAGATGTTCTTCCGAAAAGCTGCCCCCGCCAACTCTGCCGTTGATTCCAACACCCTCTCGACCAACCAGATTAACGGATCACCTTCAACCCGAGCAGACAGCTTTTCAGTTAGTAAGTAGATTAGCTGGAACTTCGAAAATGCAAAACCCGTCACTGATGCCTATTCTCGCCACAGCCTACGACCGATGCCTTGGCATTTCGCTCATTGGAGCCGAGCAAGTCTATCGTGTGCAAAGTACACTCAACTCAAGCACCCAAACCAGTACCCCATCGGTAGTCTCGACTTGCGTAAGTCGCTTTTTTATCCTACTCTATCCACAATCAAACCAAATCAAACTCATTGCAATGTCATCTCCAGAATACCGAAAAGAGTGTGATCATCGACATTGCCCCTACTCCTAAGCGAAGCAACACTCTGTTAGTCCTCCTTTCACTCACTCACTATCAGGAATAAAAGTCTCACTTCAATCCTCTATTTAATACAGAAAATGGGGTCGATCAAAGGCCAACCCGATCAACAATGTATAAGCCCACAGCTTCACTTGTGTTGTGTCTTTTCAGTACAAATCAGCCTGCCATAGCACGCTCATTATCATGTACTCGCACCCTACTTAATCTATGCGCTTGTAACTTTGTATTGAGTGATCCCTTTATCTGTCATGTCTATGCAAGTGGGTCTACCGCCCGAAGCTTTACAAAATTAATAATACCAATCATCTTCTGGACATAATTATACTATGGCTGATGAGTTAAATTCTTGAGCTCGAATTCGAAGCCAAACCTTGCAGAAGGTAAAGCAAACACCCTTTCCATTTTTTCGCGCAGTAAGAAAATGGGCTCTGGGGGGGACATCGTGAGATGTAAAAATTTCTTTTTATCTTTTGATTCAATCAGTGTACCAGCTTATACAAATCTGACTCATGAATCTCACAGGAAGTGACCATCTTTAGTAACCCTACTTGGCATCATATATAAACGACATCTGAACTTTGAATCCCATTTGGGCATCCAGATCAAATAGCCAGTGATGAATAATACTTTTAGTGGTATCACTAAACACTTCCTCCCTAATCCCTGCCAATTTTCAACAACATGTTTCAAGATGATTTTTTTCTAAATATTGTTCATTTTGATTGATAGGCCTTCATACTCATGTATATGAAATATGAGTTTTACTTTAAGTTCTAGGCTTCTTGCACACAGGTGGCATATATACATAGCCAGTTTAGTTTAGAAATCCTTACTGTCTTATATGACCTGAGATCTCAACATGCTGGATCTGGAAGACCTCCCCTAAAGCTGCAAAAAGCACAAAAAGATCATCTGTAGTGAGTTTCACCTGTTCAACTTCTACTACTAGAGCCTTAACACAAGTGATTTTTGGCACAAGATACCCATTGCAACTCCTGTTTTTATTGTGGATGACTACATTGAGTTGAAATTGACCTTTGGTACCAGTACAATCCTCATAGAACTGAACTTGTCTTTTCCAGATGGCCCTCCTAGTATTAAGCGTCAAAAACTGAAGAGACAGGGCAAATATTTCCATTTTTCTAGATAAATCTTGGAAGTTTCAAATGCTGGAGCAAGTCAATTACACATTGTTGTATAGTCATGAGTATTTCAGGAAACAGATTTCAGTAGCTTCATCCACTTGCACTGCGGCAAGGAGAGGTTCATGCAAACTCCCATCATCCATGGAGGCGGGAGTGGATAGTTGAAGTTCTACAAATGTATGTACTTACATAACTCTCAGTATGTAAGGACCCGGCACTATACACGGTGTATCTCGGGGCGGGTTTAAATGCCGGGGTGAAACAAAATTGAAGGTCAACAGCGGGTGGATCGATTGCATATCTATTTGCCACTTTCGAAAACAAGATGCCAGCGCTCCGCTATTCAGAAGACACCGAACTGTGAGCAACTCTGGTCTTGGAATCGTCAACGAGAAGACATCTACTGAAGTTGAATTATCCTCATGAACACGTTCTATTGGATAAAAGTAATGACGCCCTGCGGTACGTTTAACGTGCTCCCTTCGCTTCTACTTCATTCAGCCGGCATGATGACTACACAACTTAATGTTCTTTCTCGGTTTCGTACAGTGCTCGAGGAATAATTCCACCTCTTCCTAAAGTCGAATCTCCACCTGATAGCCCGATCCGTTCAAACAATGATGATGCAAAGGACAGGCTGGGCGCACTTCTCGACCAGGCTTCCACATCTGATGCGGTGGTAAAACTAGAGCTAGATGATTTAGATTTGGAGGATGAATTGCCCACTGATCTGATTGAAGCTTGGAGAGATTCACGACTAGAAGAGCTTGGTGGAGCAGACGCTGTGCGGCGACAAGCAAGTTTTGGTCCAGGAGTTAGACCGATTGGAAGAGAGGATTACGTACGAGAAGTAAATCGAGCAAGCGAAAAGAATCTTCCTGACTATGACTCTAATCGAGAAGGTGGCCGACGAGCTGGAACTGGTGTGGTACTTTGCTTGTGGAATAAGTGAGCTTGATTGCACGCAGCCTTCAAACCCTCTAGACGAGTAATGATTTGATCTGATTCCATGACTTTGATAGTTCACCGCAATCTCAACACCTTTTGGCTCTACTGGAGCGATTATCATCCTCATATCCGACAACTCATTGTTTATCGATTGCTGGTAGATCTTGTATAGACAATTATCCGGACGCTAATCAACCAACACTCTTATGCTACCGTCAGGGACAGTGCGCACGTCAATATGTTGGAATTGGTAGTGCGGGCAACACTCAAGGGACGCGATTCAAGGGATTGGAGACCCGGTTGGAAGATTTAGAAGCAGAACTCAAGTCGATTGGGATGCTGGATGAGGATTTAAAAGATCAAAGATCTTGCGCCTCTACTCAAGTGGTTTCTAACAATGAAAATCCAGATGAGGATGAGAGTGATGATTCAGAAAGTGCTCGAAAGTCAGCAAGAGGGTCTAGGCAGACGAAAAATATTCGAAACGGATTCAGTGCTCGACAGAGTCACACGAATGATGATGATTCGGATCTCGACATCTGATGTTGTATCCAAGTACCAAAAATGCATTCATTGAACATTGTATCCAGTTAATCGATTTATCCAGTTGTCATTCTCATGATTGGATCTTATTATGTCAATCAGGGCTTCCAGTTGTAATATCTTATCAGCAGGTCATTTTGATCACAGTGGGTCAAAGGGAAACAGGTTTCCGAATGAAAAGACTCATGAAAAGTATTTCAACGGGGCTTTCTATCTTAGTACGTGCACATCAGATTCGTTGCCGACTAGGAGTCATGTTGTTGTCCTGAAGACAGCACAATTGATGACAGAGACATGATCTTATCACTCACTCAAGTATTTTGTTGATTCTAACTTCCTGCTTGATTATTTGGGACATTTTAGGACCTTTTCTTTGGGTGCTGATGATCAACTTCATTCCCTGTCATAAGAGCTCAGGTGGAGATGGTCGGCATGTCCAGAACATGGTCGGACCTGAGGAAGTTTGGGAACGTTCCTTGGCTACTTAAAGAATGTAGTTCCCAGTCTGTTCTCGTCAAAATGAAATTTAGATACACACCGCATACGTGTGACATTCTCTCACATACAGACACCCTTCCCAATTGAGCCCAGATGGTCTCTCGGAGTCTCGATGATCTGAGGTCTGGATGATCTATGCCACCTCCGATACGAGGCTGAAGGAAGGGTATGTACCGTACCCATACAGGTGAGGGACTCCGACCTTGCTGATTCTCAATAATGGATGGATCGCGGCGGATTGAAATTTTTTTGGGTGCCCCCGAGTGGGATGTTATCATGCTCGGTTCTGGGATTGAGTTTAGCGAGATACGCTACCGGGCAGATGCTTGGTACGGTCGATTTCAGAAAGCTTGGTATGTACTTTTTGTCCGCCAAACTCGAGCAGATTGGCGTGGATCATTTGGTTGGAACATGTGAAACCAAATTGTTCGGAAAGCCAGACTCACACCCCTGGCCAACTGTGCGACTTCGGTCGCGCGCAGGAGGTTAACTTTTGGCAATTTGTGGCAAACATAAATCTTCCGTGACGTTTCTATCAGAACACGTACGTTCATAGTGACGCAGTGATCATGCTCTGGATCGATGTCGCATTCCGGCGTAACAGGCTTCCATCTTCTTTCTTCCTCATTCTCATCAGCCTCGATCAGCTGCTATTTAAAGAGATGAGCTTGTGATTTTTGAAATCAAAGTGCTTCAAAGATTCTTTTAAAGTCTTTCTTACCTTTAAAAAGTTCAATTGGAACGGTTCCCTGCTATCCACAGTATATATTCTAACGATTTCGAAAATCGAAATCAATCATTGATACGATATCTTCCCTTGGTTACCTTATATTCGAATTTCCTTTACGGATCTGCACCATCTATCTGATTCATATTTATAAGAACTCATCCAGATCTTTCGTATCTGCCCTTCTACCTTACTTCCCATCACCTCTGAAAATCCAGACTGTCGATACAAATGAAAAAGCCATCAATGGCTAGCCACGAAGATTGCAAAGAGCCTCAAACCGCGACTTCCACGGGTCCTGGCATGAGTAGCTCTCAACTCGGCTTGTTACAAATCAAAAAACCATCAATGGCTGGCCACGGAGAGTGCAAAGAGCCTCAAACCGCGACTTCATCGGGTTCTGATATGGGTAGCTCTCAACCGGGCTTTCCTCATTATCATCGAAAGGTAAATTTATTTCTTCTGTATGTCTTTTTTCTCTTACAAGTTCCCTAATTTTTTTTTCTTTAGTTTGCCAATCCGGCGCCTTTGGGTTTATCCGGTTCGTTGGTCTTTCTACCACTTTTTTTTTGGATTTTTCTGATGTGTGCTTTGCTTTGATCAGGTTTTGCGGCCACTACCTTTCTTTTATCACTTTTCAATATGCAATCAAGAGGGATCACCACTCCCAACTTGGTAGTTGGTCTTGCAATGGGATATGGTTCGTTACTCTCTCTGTCTCCTATCTATCCTCTTGTGTTTACTGATTTATTTTCTACCTCTCTCTTAGGTGGATTGGTTCAGTTGTTGGCTGGCATGTGGGAATTTGCTGCTGGTAATTACACTCCTTATCCCACTTTTCTATAAGCACACAATTGACTCACCTCCTGCAATTATCTCTACAGGTAACACTTTTGGGGCTACTGCCTTCTCTTCTTACGGTGAGTTTCTCGTCGTCTCATATGGTATATAAGGAAGCACAGCTCTGATTATCTCTTGAATCGTATTGCCGGCTTCGTAGGTGGCTTCTGGATCAGGTTCGACATTCTTGACACGTTCTGTTTGAATTCTCGTAACTGATGATCAATTCACATAGTTTTGGCCTAATCTTCTGGCCACAATCTGGAATCCTAGCTGCTTATGCTGGCGCAGATGGTGCAGCTCAACTAGATAATGCCTTGGGATTATACCTTTTCACTTGGGTTTGTTCTCTTCCCTCTCCTTTGCCCTCTGAAGTTGACGACGACTGATTTGTTGACGTTTTCGCTTGTCGCTTTTCTTTTTTAGTTTATCTTTACCGTCAGTCTGACCTTTCTTGCTGAACACCTGACACCGTACTCATTTTTTTCAACGGTTGAAGTTCATCATGCTCGTAGCTGCCCTTCGATCTTCACTAGCACTTGTCACACTGTTCTTCATTCTTGACGTCACGTTTCTGGTACTAGCAGTAAGTGTGATCGCTGAAAATCATCTTCCGTTGTTTTGTTGGTATTGATTTTTGCCATCTTGCATCTGTTTTTTTAGCTTGGTAAATTTTATCCCGAAAAAACACAAATCACCTTCACCGGAGGTGTACTTGGTACGTCAAAAGAAGGCACACTTTTCACTTTAGCGTTTACATAATCCTCATCTTTGTTTTGAATCTTTATGAACACGCAGGTATAATAACAGCCTTTATTGCTTGGTATATTGCGGCGGCCAATCTGTTGACAGCTGAAACTAGCTTCTTCACTTTACCTATTTATGATCTTAGGTATGTCCCAATCTAAGTAAGATAAAATGTGATGTTTACTTATTCCTATAATTCTTTGCATAGCCGGGATCGTCATACAAGAAGAGATTAGAGCACCTTTTTCCATTTAACGTCACTCTTGAAAAGACGCTAGATGTCGAACTGATTAACCTAGCAAGTCGATGATTAATTTTTACCTAGTTTTCGGTTGCATTGCATCTCTGGTTTCAATCTTCTTTGTTGTTTGTGGGTAAATAATCTCTTACCACACTTTGTATTTTTTTTTATCTTTTTGCTTGTTTTCCTTTTGTTCAGTTACGAAGCTTGAAGATACAGTGAATGATTAATTGTAATGAAAACTGAAAATGTTAAGCTGACGATTTTTCCGAGAGGATTCGAAGTCACGTGGTGGGCGCGGGTTTGGATTTGGGGCAGGCCCGGGCGCAGATTTCGAACTCAAAAAGGCACGCCTATAGCCGGGGCGCTGAGGCGTGCCTCTCAGCTGTGAAAGTCCCCCAAAAAGCAAAAAGAAATAAAAAACGCTCAACAACATCAAAAATAGCATCTTTGTTATTTTGTATCCATCCAATGTAGCCTCGAAGTGTGGCATTGAGCCTGGCAGCATTTTGTTGATGCCTTCACCTCAGCAGACATTAAGAATCCAGTCCATTGCTTTCCAAATCTGACACCATCCAATGGTGGGTTGGTTGAATGGTTCCGCTTGGCTGAGACTGACTTCAGCAAGGAGGATTTGACTGTTGGCATGATATGGAAGTAGTCCAGAAAGCTTATTGATGCACAACAACAATTTTTAGCCCAATCACACGGCAACTGAGTGGAATACAAGGCTTGCACAATAAAATTCAAAAAAAGTGGTACAGCTATTTATCATGCTTGATGAAATCTTATGATTGAAGTCAGAATTTGATGTACATAGCTTCCCTTTCCTCTTTGCACATCTTGTTGGTCTGATCAGATCCCATGACATTGGACAAAAATGGAGACCAATTCAGCTTTGAAGGGGTTCAAAGTCCTAATTTCACACAAGCTCAGCAAATGCCGTGGGCAAGAGTGACTTAAGGGCTTAAGGGAACCCTATCGACTGGGTTGAAATTGCTCGCCCATACTTTGACAAATGCAAACAGCCAATCGTCCATCGCAAACCAAAGTCATCACCTCGAAGCCGTCGATCAATTCAACATCCTATCATGGGTAACGGTCAGTAGTTCAAGTAAAACAAAAGGGACCGAACCCTCTCATTCTCGCTGCCGTATTCACTTTCGAGCATCATCATGACTTTCAAGCCTTACAAATTCTTTCGGCGATATGTTTTAGGTTCCATCGGTCATTTCTTCCAATACGCCATGTCTTCTGCTTCAAATCATAAGCTCAAATTTTCTCAATTTGTAGAAATCTTTTCCCCCTCAAAGGTACATGAGTCTTTTTACTCTTCTCTTGGGCTTTCCATTTTACATACTGGTTTGAAATTCTGATAGATTTTGGTTTGTTTTTGTATGACAGTCCAGTGGATTTGATGAAGAGCTCAACTGGGTCGAAAATAATTCCGTGTTACGTTCATATCTACTGGGTTAGCGTTAATCGTCGAATGATCCAAAGTGTTCGGTCTTACCTTACCGATACACATTGTAATTTGCTGTTTACCTTCCTCGTGGACTTCTTAGACTGGGTCATAACCTTTTTACTTTGGTCAGCTGCATTCATATGTGATAAGATCGATGGTTTTCGTAGACAGGTTGGCACCAATCTAATCTCAAACTCAACATACGATCAACTTTGAGATTGATTTATCATCAAACTCCAACTCAAGTTTGATATTCATGATTCGAGCATTGCGCATACTTTTACCGAACACGAACGAGTGCCGGTAGGACAACTGGCCCTTCTGTCTGTCTTTTTACCAGCTATCTCGATGGTTATTCTCAATCGTCTTCAACATCATTCTATACGTGATATTCATCATGGTCTTCTAGGTTTACTTTTGGGTCTAAGTCTTACAACTGTTGTGACCCAAGTCACGAAAATTTGTATCGGTCGACCTCGTCCTGACCTCTTAGATCGATGTAAACCTCAACTTCCTCTTCCCATGGGAACGATATGGACCAACAGCTCGATTTGTTCAACTCATACTAAATCATATCGTCTTATAGATGGATTTCGTTCTTTTCCAAGTGGTCACTCTAGTACTGCTTGGGCTGGACTTGGATTTTTATCTTTATATACTTCTGCAAAATTGAAAACTTTTGAAAAACCAGAAAGACGGGTTGTGAATCCCATCTTTTCACTTCTTCCTTTGATTCTTGCATCTTGGATATCGATATCACGAACTATGGATTACCGACATCATGTACGTCTTGTCATCTTATTTTATCCTTGATTAATTGTGAACTAGCTAATGAAGATAAGCCCATTCTTTAGTGGGAAGATGTTGTTATAGGCGGTTTGTTAGGGATGTTGATGGCTTGGTTTAGTTATCGAATGTATTATCCTTCGATCACTTCTCAAGATTCACATGAACCATTCCACTTCAGATATCATCATCCTATGCTTTCAGATTACGAACCAGTAGAAAGTAATATTGAAGATGAAGATATACCTTGATGATCAGGAGCGGTAGTATGTTAAGAGCCTCTAGACGCAAGCTCAAACCTCGATAACCTCATTTCAACTTGGATTTTATTTCATTCGCAGGGCGATCTGGTCATGAATAAATGATTTGAAGGGTAAGAGGCTCCATTAGAATATGACATACAACGTTCAGTTTCATGTCTTTTCAAGCAACTATCTCACCAAAAGATCTTTGTCTCTTTCAAAGTTTTTGTACATTGTTTTACACATCTGGATGATTTTTCAATAAACAACTTTTCTTTCGCATAGAACTTTCTTATTCCTAAATTTCTTTCTCTTTGTACCTATCAGAGAAATTTTGATAAGAATGATTCACTAGTAATTCAAGCTTTGTGTCTTTCAATTTTTATGTATCTTGTTGTAGTATACTTTCTTTTAGTCAAAACCTTACTTCTTTGGAAATTTAAAGATGCTATAGGATTTTGATAGAGACATGTCATGATAAAATGTATGATAAAATTATGATCCTCAAAGTAACTATGCATGTGTGAATAGTCTTCAAAACATGGGCTCCAAATGTCATTTTTAAGGGGAAAATGAATTGTAGCAAAATCTTAGAAGGATACCCCCCGCCAAGACGGACAAAAAAGTATGTTTCGAAAACTAGCTACATTGAGTAGCTTTGAGTACCGTAATTTCAGTGCTTGAGTAGTGGAATTATAAGGTGAAGGGATCAAGTAACATAAATCCCAATTGAGTTGAGATGCAGGGAGATATGAATCAAAGCAGTTATGTATATATATGATTCGGCAATTGGGCAAGAATGATAAAGGACAATGCGGGCGGGTGGGTTCAATATCAAGATTGAAGGGGTAACAGAAAGTGCCTACACAGACGAATAATCTGACGAAGACTTTTGGATTTTTTGTATGTACGGTATAGCTGGGGTCCGCTCTACGTCATAGCTGAAAAGATCAGCCTCCTAGAACAAGCAAAACGTTATCGGCATGAGCTGATATCAAGACTTCTGACTCGCAGGGTTTCCGTTAATGAGCTTCTGCTCAATGACGTCAATCATTTTGTCTCTTCCATGCAGAAGGGGTATCACAGTATCACCAGGCTCGAACGGAGGATAGCAGACAGAACCGCATCGACTTCATTATCGTCTCCAAGGTCAAACTTGAACACAAAGTCATCTCCAATTACATACCTTGACGTTTTTGAAGAAACTGGGTTTCAAGGATCGGCATAGATCTCCAAGAGGATGTCTTGAATGATAAGTTGATTCTTGTAGATGAGCCGCAAAAGGACATGGGTGAAACGCTCACAACAGGCTTTATAGGAAGGTATCTTGAGTTAGAGAACCAACTTCGATCACCTCCATTAAGCACGCTGAATCACATCACCATCTCGACCAATCACTCCAGTAATTCAATCCAGGAGAAAGGTGATTGACTGACCTTCACGATCACGAAGCATTTCTAACTAAAATTGTCCGGCTCGAGTGATCGTATGATGACGAAATGGATGGTATCAGGACTCGGAAGCAGACAGCCGAGGATACCAAGACTCAAGGGTATCGAATACCATAGATATCAAGGTCTGTAGATCAGCTTTTTCAAGGTGATGGAAGAAGGCATGACTGGGATATCATGACGACTATAGCTGACAAAAGTGAGACGATTGGGATTCGCATTGATTTTTGCTGAGCTTTGAAAGCTATAAATTCCACCGGTTTTAGGCAGTTTTCATTGATCCATCAACACCCTCATCAGCTAATCTACTCACAACCACTTCCAAATCTTTTTGAATCCACCTACGCTCTTGAAGAGTTGGCTACGTTGATATTTGTTTTGATTGTTCATAGCGCTCAGAAAATCCTTGCTTTTTGACCTACTACAACATAATCAGTTCAACATGCAGATCTTACACATCTCTACCGTCTCATTGTTATCATTTTCTATGTACACTTTAGCATTGCCTGCTCCTCATCCTGACGCACCAGCTGGACCGGGGGCTGATATCCTTGGTATTCCAACCTCTTTGTCTTCTAATGAAAAAACACTTGCAGCTCTTCCTGAGACCAAAGACTTGGGAACCGATAAGTCAGGAATAGATGGAAAGAAAGACGAAACAAAGGCACCAGCTGGGTTAGGAGACAATGAATTAAAGAAAAAAGATCCGCTTACGAAAGAGGACACAAAGGCACCAGCTGGGTTAGGAGGCAGTGACTCAAAGAAAAAAGATCCGCTCTCGGCAAGTGGTCCACTCGGTGCTGATGTAAAGGTACATTCTGTTCGCAAAATTGAATCATTGCAATTTTCCATCATTGGATTCAGATTTGATATCAATTCTAAACACTTCTTTGAATTTTTACTTCAATTAGACCCCAGGAGCTACTCCAGGTGAAATACCAGAACAATGTCGTCAATATATTAAAGACAGCCCACCAAAGTCTACCCCACCAAAGTCCACCCCATCAACACCGGTGCCACCAAAGGTCACCCCACCAAAGGTCACCCCACCGGTTCATGAGGCTCCCAAGACGTCGCCCCCCACTAAGACCGTAAGTTTTAAGACTCACAGTGGAAGTCGGGTTGTCGTTGTCGAGGATCTGAACTGATTTTTGAATGATCGATCTAGTCTTCTGCCGTGTCAGGAAAACTTCAAGGCACACAGGCTGTATTCACTACTGCATTCTCAAGCTCAGTTCTGGTATATGCTATCGCTGCTGTCTTCCTCTGAAGCGATTAAAGTAAGTCATTCTGACATTGTTTGATCTTGATGAGATAAAAAGAAGTAAATTGATCGAGTTAAATTTCTCATCATAGACTTATCTGGAGCAAGATAGAATTAGAAAGAATTTGTTTCTGAAACTGGAAGCTTGACTCAAGAGTGACTAAGCTCGAGAGTCCCATTGTGAACATGTGGAACTTTTCTGCTCCTTAATTCTAAAGCTTTAATATCCTTTGTATTAAAGTTTACTATAGAATTGAAGTAGTCAAATGTACTTCAATTTTTTTTAAAATCCTGTGGTCTTATCTTTCACTTCTTTGTTGTTGCTATTTGGAACTGGAATCAGAATGTAATCTTTCTTTGATAGGATTTCAATTCCAAACCAGATAACATTCTGATGGTCTCACTTGTAAAAAGTAATAAAATATAATCTGAATAAAAACATGTTCTTCAAACTTGGTGCTTTTATTCACATAGAGGAATGTGATTGGGTGCAATGGCAAAGGTGTGGGATTCACACCAATAGCACAAGGTATTGGTGTGATGTCTTAGTAAGATTATTGCCAAATTATCAGCCTTCTTTCTTCCTTGTATTTTAGGCTGTCCCAATGATGTTTGTTGTTGTAGCCACCTTCAGATCAATCCTGAACCTCTCTGATACTTTTGCCTACTATTTCTTCAACTCAGCAGTAAAGCCATGTGCAAACTACTTGAGAATCTGGAGGATATACTCAGAATTGCCTAATGACCAGTATTCAAGCCGCCTGCTGAACTATTCCTTTTCTTGCGGCCTTCTGGAAGCTCAAAGAGTTTGATCATCCTCTTTTTAAGGGATGTCTCTGATGGGCATGGTTTGGTCTGCTTGCAAAGTTATTCGAAATTGATTTTTGGTATGAAATCATTTTGATTGGATTGATGAATGGAAGGTAAAACCATATTGTGACTATTTTAAAGGTGGACAGTAACAAAAATACAGTGCAAATGTCTATTCTCACTTCATTCCTCGTGCCGTGAAGTTTTCACCCATGGGAGAGAAATCAAGCATTTCAACCATCTTCTTTTTTAATACTTCTGTTTCAATTTGATTGGAAAGACATTTTGAGATGGGTATTTGGGCGTGGAATTATCGCTTGATATGTTGGGACCTACCTTTGAGAATACGTAGCTTGTTCAGTTGCCTGACTCTGCGTATACACTTGCAAAGCAATTCTTGAGACGAATCAAATCCCAATGAAATACCTCCTCACACAAGTTTTTGACTACGAAGCTTTCTAACTTGTTAACCTCCACTGTCAGACTCAGAGTTACCTAGTCAAGTGGTTATTTTTGCAAATGGGAGTCAGTATGTGAGATAATCGTGATCGGCTGATTTGTAGCACCTTCTCACAAGATTGAACACATAACCAGTGTTGAGTATGATCAGACTCACGCGTTATGGTTCAACTTTGATGACTTCATGATCGTTGAGATGTCTTGTCTTTCGAGATGAAGCCCAGCACTTGTAAACTTCTGTTTGAAGATCTAAGTCGGTGATACTTCTAACGTGAAGTGAAGCTGACAATGAGAGCCACTGCCAAAAAAGATCCCACGCAAAACCCAAGGCATCTTTGGAGTCACTACATAATGAATAGCTTCCATCAAGAGCGAATTTGTGGTGGACGTTCTCAACCCATAGGAAATATGGAAATGGCTCAATCTCACCACAGCAATTGGCTGAGGTAATTGACTTGATATTTTGAAAGCAAATGTCTCGATATCGAATACAATGGCTTGATGATTCAGCCTTTGAAATCGTAACCCAGCAAACAAGTGATTTGAGGATCACATACGAGCGAGCTGACCCGTCAGCTTTTGTTGATATTTTAGTATCATGTAGTACGCGAACTGTGACGTAGGATGGTGGGAATGCTGTGTCTGATGTTTGTGATTGGATTCAGAGCTAGCTACACGCTGAAATGGAATCAGGCTCGTTCATAACCAATAGCGCCAAATTTAGGCGGTTCCTGAATCCGAAGACTATCTATCGTCAATTGGTAAGGTACCAAAATATTTCGGCGAATAATACAGATTCCGCTATTTCCCGCCTTCTAGGTGATGCCAAGTTAATGCTTCAGTTATATGGGCATTGGTGTAGGAAAATTGAAAAGTAGAAGTTTAGTCCATTTCTCAATTCACTGCGAAACACTGATGCCTACTGATACGCTGATATGCCGGACTATATCGATATGCCACACAGAGGAACTCACATCTTTCCGCCCTGGTGCTCTTAAGGACTGCTCGACTCAACAGCCCTTGTCTGTTATCACATCATTTCCTTCCTCACCCAATTCCTCCCTCAATTTAGCTCCTTCAAAATCATTTCTTCTTTTGAAAAATCTTGACTCTTGCTTCTCTTCTTTCTTCAACCCTACTCTCGTCAAATTTCTTTTTCGTTTACTTCTTGCATCCACTCTTGTGGTACTTTGAGAGCTATTTTTGAGACACTCTTCACTACCCCTTCCGCATATCTCTGATCTCCAGCTCCGATCGCTCCTCAGACGCGATTATACCCTACAAGTTGCGTTGTTCCCTTTCAATAGCAATTTATCTTCTTATACTGATCGATAAACCACGTGTTTCTCTTCCTCGAACATATAGATATACTACCACGAAACTTCCTCGCTCAATCAATCCGTCGCAGAAATGATGCACAACAGCAGTCACCACGTCAAAATGTACTGGTTCGCAAAGCGTGCCCCGCCCCAGATGCAAGCGGTTTCCACCAATCCGACTACATCTCTAGTCACGTCGGACACTACGCCGGCTTCCAAGTCTGACTCAGCTGATGATACAAGTTCCAACACCCCGACGAACCCTAGCAAAAATGACATCTCAGCAGCCAACAAGTCCCCTGCGTCAGATGCCCCCGATCCCCCGGCAACCTCTCAAGTCCCCAAGACTCAAGCTACACCGGTGGCTCAAAAACAGACACAGAAAGCTGATCACGTGGTTGATCCTCCCGCTTCCGCTACCTCGTCGAGCAACGTTGCGGTTCAAACCAAGGCGCCAGCACCAGCAGCTGTCTCTAACCCGGTTACCTCAAGTTCGTTGGTTCCAACGCCCACTTCCACCTTCATTCCGTTGGCGACACCCGTGGCAGTGGCAGGTACCCGCAACAGAGGTACCAACAACGTGAACTCTGTAAAGCATGGGTCTGTGATGACACAATCCTTCTCAACTCCTTTACCGGACCCGAATTCCAATTCCAACATCGGAAGCTCAGACGATCATACCAATGCTCAAGACGGATCGACTACTCCTCGAGCCAATGATACCGCCCAGATCGCTGCCATTGTAACTTTTGCACTACTTGCATTCTTTGCCCTTCTCTTCGTCATACCTTTCATTCGTCATAAACTCAAAGCAAGAGCTGAGCGCAAGATGTATGGAGATGGAGACAGTCCTGAATTTATCAATGAGTTTCAAGTTGATTTGAAACAATCAGCCTCCTCGTCAGACATCAACCACTCATACCAACATGGTATTTCGGATCAATCAGCGGCTAAAGGCATGGTTGACAGCCAATTCGACTCGCAGAGCCATCTTTATCATAACGAGGTCCTACGTGGCGACATCTCGCATCAATCTGTTTCCTCGGACGTGAATATGACGCAATGGTACCCTGAGAATCACTCAGAAGAAAGTAAAAGTGAGGACACCATCAATCTTCATGTTTCGGTCCGACTGCACCCAATTTGTCTCACTGACAATTTTCTTTTGACGCCAGGTCATCATCGCACGAGTATACTTCCTACCATGCTCTTTCAACATCGCACTCACCAAGCCCACGCCGCTTTGCAAGAAAGAGTTCACGACGATGATACCCCAACTAATTTGATTATCTACAATCCACCTGCCCAAACCAATCCGATTGATTTTGTCGTCACTCAACCTGCAAGAGCTCATCCCGGTCATGGAGTTTCTGTTGATCCAATCTTTGGTTTGATGCCTTCAAATGTTAGGGCTAGTAGTGTTTACTCTCATCAAACAATGGGTGCTATGCTAGCTGACGATGGAAGAGGTGGTCACGCTATGAGCCATGATATCCCACCACTTCCACCACTAACCGATGCTAAGATGAATTGAGTATTGGCACGAGTGATTCATCCACCTCGAAATCTCAGCACTTTTGTTCTCTACATCTTATCAAACTTCATCCTTAGATTAATTTCTATCATTTTTCATGGTCTTATTTTCACTGAACTTTACCTTCGTCATTTCTTCTGTCATATATCTTGCATAGCATGAACCAGACCTTTTTACCTGCAAATCATGTGCCCTGGATCGGTTCCTTGGATTCTTTCTCTGTGATGTCTTCATCTAAGTTGTTGTCTTTCATTTCATTTAAACAAGAGAATTAAATCTTTCATACTTACTTTAGATGTTCAATTTCTTTTGTACTCTATGGCTGAATTGGTTATAATTCTTTTATATCACTTTTAGACAATCTTGATTTTCATTTTCATTTTCTCATCCTCATTTTGTTTGAGTCATTTTATCCTATTTTCTTTTTTCAAGAACTCGTCTTTTTTGTAGTACTCTGGGATTGCTTTTTTTCTTATGACTTATCTTGTTTAGTTGATTTTGCATATATTGGGTCTTTACTCTTTAATTGAATCATTTTTCATCTCTTCTGATCTTTGAAAAATCTTTGCTGATTCCACTTTAAGAGTTCAAACTTTGATGCAAAGGACTAGTGATTTTTTTTAAAAGAAACCAAATCCTTGAGACACCCAAAAAGATGCAAGGAAAGTTTTGAGATTATCAGACTCGACAACATTTCTCTGGTTTCTTCTGAGAAGTCTGTTTTTTCAAGGCACTGATGATTTATCCACAAGGGAATAGAAACCCCATGGTATGTTTAATCAACATAATATGTAAGCCCTTCTACCTGTGCCAGGTCATCTCTAATTAGCACATGTAGCAAAAAGGCCTGCTTCAGGCGCAACATTTACCCTGCTTTAGGTGTGAACAAAGTGGAGTTTGGTACCCAAAAACAACACCAACAAAAGGCCCTGATTTTTCTCACATATCTCCACAAGTGCATTCCAGGTAAAGAGATGGACTTGGAGCTTTTCTAAAAGAAATCTGTCTGAACCTGTGAGGGTTTGGCTAGGAGTGGGGACTTTTTCAATTTGTCATATATGATGATCTTACTTAAACCATTCCCATTGATTCAAGACATTCATAACTCCTTGTCTAATCTCTCAGTCTCAAAGCAGAAGATCATCAAGCTAACAAAGCTCTGTTTTTTATATCTCTTTTGGCAAAGATTTAATCATCTGTAACTTTGAAATTAACTGAGGCTCTTGCTCCTTGCAAGAACCCAAGCAAAGGGTTTACATACCACTAAAAACAGGTTTGCCAATCTGATAAATGAGTTGTATAGGCTCAAAAACTACAACACTGAATTTCACATTTTGTTTTTAAAAAAACTTTTCTTGATTCTAAATAAAAGCAGGACATCAAATTTCCATCCCACATATAACAAGTCAAGGAATAAACCATTCCTTGAGTATAACCCAGAATAATGGAATAAGCTTTATCAAAAAAGACACGCAGTTGATCAAACCCTGATATGTAGTCTAAGAGTTCACCCACCAAAACTTGACAAATGAGCAATTATAACAAAATGCCTCTGTTGACCCCATATCTGTATTGTTTTTGGCCAAGATACAATCAACTCTCTATCTCTCTCTAATTATGTATGTCTAGTTTAGCAGGTATTCTTTTCTTATACATTCAAAGCAATATACAGTCAAACCCACACAAATGCATACCTGCGCAGCTGCATAACCCATGATAATTATGGGATGCAAAGTTAAATCTGGGAGTTTTTTCCCAGTTTCCCAGTTTGTGTTTTTGGCTGTGTTTGGAATGTTCCCATGTTCTCCCAGTTCCCCAAAATACAGCCAAAAAAAAAAACTGGGAAACTGGGAAAAACTCCCAGATTTAACATTTGTGGGATACAAAGTAGAATCCAGGCATGTGCCCGGCTTTGTGCCCGGAATTATTTTGGCAGTAAATTTTGATTTTCTGGGCAAAATTCCGGGCCCAGAATTCAAATTTACTGCCAAAAAAAATCTGGGCACGAAGCTGGGCACGTGCTTGGATTCTGCTTTGTAGCCCGTATTTGTACCCCAAATGCATAGAAAAAATCTTGAATCTTGACACTTTTTACTACCAAAATTGACAACAGAAATCCATAAGTTAACCCATCAAAATGCATGCCAAAGTTCTTTCACCCAAATTATGCAATTGCACAAGCCTGACTGTAATATGTATATGACATTACAAAATCCAAGTTTTGTTTAGAAAAATCTTATACGTACTTGGTACTGGCAGCCAAAGAAAAAAACTCCATAAAGTCTTATTTAAAGGGATTATGTATGTATGGGATTGATAAATTTTTGTCTGTTAGACTCCTGTACATATATTACGAGGTATTGGGTGGCCCGCCACCCATAGGTATCAAGTTGAGGCAATCGGTACCAGTACGGGCAAACACTACTGTGACTCATTAACTCGGATTACAATTCATCAACTCGTATTACAATTCACCCAATGATCTGACAACACTACTACATCTACTTAGCCAGCTACAACCAAATTCAACATTATCTGTTATCATCACTCGTATATTATAGTCAAGTTTAAAAGGCCCTTTATAACCATATACAAATCTACAAGAAAAAGAAATTAACTTTTCCTACTGAAAGCTTTTTTTCTTTTTTTTCTTATTTTCAATTTCTCATCATCTTAATGATTTTGATTCTCTAAATATATCTTTTGTATCTTATGTATAAAATTCAATCTAAAAAACCTCACCAAATTCAAAAACCAATAATCAAATCTTGATATATAATCCACCAAAATAAAACCCAAAATAGAACCCCCAAAAACCAAAAAAAAACCAAACCCCAAACCTTGAATTCATTCACCTAAAAAGGTGTCCCAAATTTTTTATGTTTACAGTAAATTTTACAGTCTCACAAAAGTTGTCATACTGTAAAACTACCATAAAAAACCTGCCACTTGAAACCCCCTATTGTATAGTAGGGATTGGGCAAGGTTAAATTTTGTAAAACTGAATTTAGCTGCAACTCCAACAAAGGGCCTGGCAGATCCACCGCAAATCTAGACTACTTATATCTGCATATGTATAAACAGACAAGGTTTTCAAATGGAGATGACCTGAAAATGTGTCAGATCAAAGGAGATCACGTGTCTTGAGGACGGGTGAGTGGAACACACAATAACAATTTTTGGATCATATCACAAGCAAAAAAAATGTTAATTGCAGGACTTGTGGATAGTTGTCCGTTTGATTGTATTGAAAATTATCTCTCTTGATCAATTTGGAAGTAGTTGTCCAGTTTTATTGAATTGGAGATACATGAAAATACTCTAAAATATGATTTTACAAAAATTCACTTTGCCCAATCCCTAGTAAGAGCATCTCCAATGCTCCCCAATCTGAATGACTAAAGGTTATGTTTCTGTCAGAAACGTAACTTGTATTGAAGTTTTTCAGAAAAACATCATCCAACGCCAAGGTTGAGTTTCCACATGGAACCTCCCGTGTGAACTTGGTTTTTGGGAAATGACACACTCCCATGCTCAGGTCAGCAAATTTGCTGACCTGGCCAAATATTCTGAATCCCAGTATCCCAACGACTATTGGGCCAAAAATGAAAAAATTGATACATCCGTGGACTACCTTTCTCTTTCTTTGCGTGAAGTGAGCGCAATTGATCACATGTATTGTGTGGAACACAATAGGTGTGATCAACCAGTTACGTAGATGAAGACATATGGTGACGGGGGTTCAACCTCAAATGAACCCTATGGGGGGTTGAGAAAGAAGCTCAGTTGTCCGTTGCAGGGCGCTGTCACCTGAAAAAAATTACAGCTGTCCAGCTGAGGGTAGGGCTATGACTCGGCAACGGGGCGGCAGAGCCGGCTCCGGGGCCGAGCCGGGCTCTGCCACGGCCCTGGGGGTCTCCAGAAAACTACCGGGCAGGACAGGGCCAGCTCTGGGCCGAGCCGGCCATTTTGGAGCTGTTTTTGGAGCTTGGAAGGTCCGCTCGATAACATGAATTAATCAAGCTTACAACCACCTATAAGCCTAGAACAAGAAAACAAACTAACAAAAACAAACGAGTGAAAACATAAGAAAAAGAAAAAAACAAATGAGTGTGAGAAATAATGAGTGTATAGAAAGTAGATTAGAATGAAAACAAGATAATAGATCTACTTGGATAAAACAATATCCCAAGACTTGAGACAGATCTGTGCCTCAAAGTTTTGATTAGTCATAGAAGATCGATAATCAGACATAACCCTAGAACCGGCAGAAAAGATTCGTTCGGAAGGGCCACCTGAAGCAGGAATGGCAAGCATATACTTAGCCATCCGAGCAAGGACTGGCCAATTTGATTGGTTTGTTCTCCAAAACACTAAGATATCAGTACGCTCATCCACAAGTGGGGCAAGAAGGTACTCCTTCACTTCGTCTTCAAGTTGAATAAACTTGCGTCGTTTGATGAAGTGATTTGGTCGGTCATCATCGTCATTGAGCACAGGTTCCGGGTCCACAATCTCAATCTCAGGATCTTGAGGGATTTTAAATGGGGTGGGAGATTTTTACACCGTACACTTTACACCGGATTATCCGGTGTAAAAGGAGTCAGTGTAAAAATATAATTTACACACCGTAGTTTATATTTTTACACCTATTCATTTTTTTTCATGTCGGTGCAAAAAAACAGGTGTAAAATATCAGGTGTAAAATTCTGTGAATGGCACGTGATTTGCATTTTTACACTGGGTGTTTTACACCGGGTGTGTCGGTGTAAAATATTCATGTGTAAAAGTACATATTAGGGGGGGTACCGTGGTTTTTACACCGGGTCGGTTTACACCGGTTACTTCGGTGTAAAACCCCCAATGCAATATTACCACTTTACCCCCTCAACCTTCATTTTTACACCGCCTATTTACACCGACATCGCATTGCCCTCTTTCCTCCTATTCATAAGGTTCCACCGATATCAGATGTCCCATACCTGGATAGTGAAGAACATGCCACCTTATCAATGGGTATCTCTGAGCTTGAATCCCCCATATTCGGCGAAATATCCATGCCTTCCTCCTCGATCCTTGATGGATATCCCCCTTTCCAGCTTTAAAGGATTGTACTCGTCAGAAGATCGAGCTCTGATGTTATCAGATTTATCGCATTGGTTCCCAATTTCATCATTATCACCCCAATCGACACTTCTCAACGAGGCCCTAACGTCGAAATTCCATAATAGAATGGGTCAACAGGGTTCACATCCAGCTGGAGTGTACCCTGACGATGAAGACCCATTCGAGATGCATTCCGTCCCTTCAACTATGACTTCCTGTCCATCCGATAGTAAGGACGAACGGTCCTTAATCCCCAATCGACGTACACAAGATTTGGATTATATCGAAAGCAAAGATATCCTCATTACCCGCGTTGCCAACCATCTGCTCCAGCTGTCACCTACAAAGTCATCAGTGTCTGATCTCATCACTATGACCGATACTGAGCGTAGTTCAACGGAGACGCCAGAAAGCCCGAAGCTTAAAAAGTCCAAAAAGAAGAAACATCAACAAAAAACCACTGAATCTCCTTCTCAACATACCAGATCAAAGCACGAGCGGGATCGCACGCGAAAGCACCAGCACCAAGCAAACGCAGATACCGACACCGAGATCCCACCTCGCTCGAAAAAACAAAAAACCAAAAAAAACAAGGCCAAAAAGGCAAAGAAGACACATGTCTCTGAATCAGATCATAGATCCCAATCAGATTGTGGTAGTGCAAATCCCGGACAATCTCAACTTCAACTTCAACTACCCACCAATATATCCAGCTTTACCGATTTCATCGACCACGGTTGTGAACTCGACGAGCAAATGTATCCCGTCTATCCAAACGGAAATACCGTGTTTGTCAAAGCCCCCAATAGACCAGTAACCAACTTTGGTTTTATTGGTTGGACGCATACCATGAAGACGGACAACTCCCATAAAGACTGGAAAATCTTAAGATTTAAGTGTCTGGGTGTAATTCTTTGTTCGGTTTCAACATGCCCCCTAACTGGATCACCTCCAACAGGCCGCCACATGATCTCTGAGCTGATAGAGCGGTTAGTAAGGACTTCTTCTGCGAGATAGTCTCAATGTTTTTACTAATATAATGTTCTATCCACAGCGGCGACGTGTGTCCCATCAGTGGGTGTGACGGCATTCAGGTTCACATTCCATGCAATGGCCGATGTCGAATTGACGAACACAAACCATCCAATTGGCGCCTACTACGACATCAAGGGCAGCATGATCACGTCTGGCCTTCGGCTAAAAAGGCGCCCCCGTTGGCGAAGCAAAAGTTGAAAGAGATCATCATTAACGACCCCACCACTGGGCCTTTATCATTGAAGGTATGCATAATCTTCTGTGATGATTCCTTTCTGATTTCGTATTACAAAGAAGTTAATGACTGGCTTATTATGTGGTACCAGGTTGGGCGAGCCCATGTAGGGACTGCTCCTATACGTACCGTATCTGACATTCATCCGTCGTTTGACCATGTCGACCGCCTGGGTAATTTGCGTCGTGCATTCCTGGTTCAAGAAGGTCTGATGCCGGACTCACAAGATAAGGAGGCCGGTGACAAGTGGCTCATGCAATTTATATATTGGTCCACGTAAGTAATTGGCACTTTGACTTACTTTTCCAGAATGGTTTGCTGACAATTTTGCGTCAAATCTCATTCCAGTCAAGGAATGAGAATTGTGTCGGCGTCTTTCAAAGTCGAAGACATTCATTTGACTTTCCAAAGTAACTGGATGGCACAAATTCTTGTCAATGAAGAGGACGGAATAGCTTACGAGGGAGGCCTTTTATCCGACGTTACCTACCGCTTTTTCGAAAACGGATACCTGTTGACAACTTCTATGTATCTAGAAAAGTTAGAAAGATGGGTTCCCATCCTTCTCTCGTGGATCAACGGACTTAGTCAGCATCATTACAAAGCACACTTCAAGACCCTCTTTGTCCAGATCGAACAAACATCAATGTCTGACGAACAGAAGAGTAGACTCACTGAACAAATCGTCGACTTTTCACTTGCACAGAAGTCTGGATTTATCGAAGCCTACATGGATGTGTTCAATGTCTCTCGAGAAGTTGCCCTTTCGAAGTTACACGGCTGCGAACAGCACTTTGGCCAGGCTATTACTCGACTCAGGAAAAATAGATCCATTGTCCCGTGGCAGGACGAGGTAAGTCACGTTATAATGCATCTCCCTTCACGTGTAACTCCCCACTAACCCTATCTTTGCGCTTTTAGAAAAGCTGGGTGGCAAAATGCAATGCCTTGATGGAGCCGGACAGCCCTGGAAACACCCTGGATGACAAATTCGTCGTATTATCCCGGGCATTTCCTCGTGCCAAGAGGTGGCTAGACTGGTGGCGCACCTCGGACATCCAGGCCATGCTCTTCCCTGCCAGGAAGCGCATGCCTCTGGATGATCCACCTTTGGACAACGAAACGGGCGAAGAAACTGGCGATGTGTCAAGGAAACGCAAAAAGCGAGGCCGGGATGATGGTTTACCTTCGACCACCAACGGCCAAGAATCCATGCACAGGATCTACTACCTACTTTGGTACACATAAGGTTACATAATGACACATTACAAAGCCTTTCTAACATTAACTTCCATCGCCAGCCCTGGGAAATGTAACATTATTGGCGGTATTATTCAACTTTTAGCTTTTGTCCAAAGCTTGGAAAGAGATCACCAAAACCTCAACCGAGGTATCTCTGTCGCGTATGGCTCTTCCCAGAAGAACTGGGAGGGCCTAGTCAAAGGAATGCAAATGTCCAAACCGACGAAACAAAAGTTCATCGCAAACGACGGCCGCCCTCCCGATACCACCGACGAACTTTTGGGAAATGTGTCAAAGAAGTCGAAAAGAGGACCAGGAAGACCCAAAGGCTCTCAGAATGTCATGCGCCAGCCTTTGACTACGTATCAGTCATACAAAAAAGGTACGAAGCAAGGCTCTCGCAATCGTTGTTGGCAGTCTTCGACGCTCGAGTGCCTATACACGCTTTTTGGACCCCTTTGGAGCCGACACGCTACAGTCAACGGGACTCAAGTTATTCATATCATCTATACCCACTTCACCAAACGTTCGACCCTTCAACTACAGGGTAAACCAATCCTTGGGCACCTATCTACTTATCAGAATTTGATACACACCGCCCTGCAAGGCCTTGGCACCTTTCCTGTCGACGGTTTTGCCTCTGCAGATGCGGTCATGGAAATATTACTTCGACCAGGTCGTAACTCAATTGGACCAATGTTTGAATTACCCATACTCAAAACCTCGAGATGCACGGCGAACATCAACCACAGCTCCAGCACGTTGACTTCAAGAGCCATTCTACAGGTTTTCCCCTATACTTTTACCGAAGCTGGACTGTCTTACGCACAGTTGGGTCTATTGTTGGAACGATGGGTGTCTGAAGGACTGTCCTCCAGCGACTGTGTATGCCAACGGTGTCACCCAGACGAAGAAGGTGACAGTGTTGGCGACGACGTTGTCGTATGTGAACCACGGCGCAATAACGTCGAAGGCTGTGCGATGATCAAAGAGACAATCAAAATTCATCTCGTGGACATTAAATCAGCACCAATTCATCTTTACTTCACTTTAGAAGGTGTCATGAATATGCCGGAGGGCGATGAGCGCGACGCGTATCAGGGCGAAACTAACTGGCCAGCACGGATCAAGATTGGCGAAGTTGATTATTACATGATGACCCGTGGCTTTTGGGGTGCTTTTCATTTCTGGTGCAAGGTAGTGCGGTCAGTGGAAGGAGTATTAGGTGTTTGGCATTATGACGAGGCTGAAAACCAAGGAATTGCTCGACTTCTGGACCGGGACATGACCAGCATCGGTGGTTGTCAACCGCACACCAGCTGGTGTGCTATTCGCGCATCCCTTTTGAACAAGAACGCCGTCACATTGCTGAAATCATACGAGGTCTGATGAAAGAATTTCCCCAACACCATCATTCCATCCCATTCTCGATGCTGTTGCCAGACTTTCCGGTAGGAGGTGGGTTGCCATCTGCCGAAGTCATCGCTCAGGACCTCACAGTGGCCACTGTAGTATCCGCGACATCAAATCCAATTGACCTCGCTGAGGATGATCAAGCTTGGGACAAATTGGCCTCCCTTCCGGACAACGAATGCCTGGAGGAATTATTGATACCGAAAAGCCCGATAATACCACCTACCAATCCCTTGAAAATCAAGGTGAGAATGGCGGCGCACTCATCCCAACCTCCGGTACCTATTGAACTTCCTAATCATCTCGCGGTCACCACCGAAGAGAACCTAATTCCTGGTAGGTCCAAACAATTTCTCTAGTTTGTATAATTACTGACACCTTTTTTGCTTCTTCGCCTGGTCTGCTGTCTTACCCTTGACAGTTAAAAGGAACCCTCGACGTTCGAAAAAACCTGTTCAGGATGATATACCTGTGATACCTGAAACTGTAAAACCGGTCAAAGGCGTCCGAAAACGTGTACCTAAACGTTGATGTTGATCTTAATTTCCTTTTTTTTTGGGTTGGTGAAGGAGGGGATTGGTGAACTGGTTTCTTCGTTGGAAACTTGGTTTACACGGTGGCTGTGTTTGTCTTTAAGTTTTTCCTCTCATTGTTATATGTATTTGATTTGATTTGGTAATCATGGTCACTATTTTGATTTTCTCTCATTGTTATAATTGTAATAATAAAACATGGTCACTTTTTCTATTTTGTCTCATTGTTATCATTGTAATAATAACGTATGGTCATTGGTCGCGTATCCAGATCTCATGATCTAGCATGAGAGAACCCGGTGTAAAATGCCTGCAGGATCCAATGTAAAATTGGAATTTACCTGTGGCTTTTTACACTTTTACACTGTGCATTTTACACCGGGATATTCGGTGTAAAAGGGTTTTGTGTAAAAGTCAGTTTGTGAGGTGTGAAATGCAATTTTACACCGGATAATTTACACCGAATGTGTCGGTGTAAATGTACACTGTGTAAAATTGCAATTCAGCCGTTCTTGTCAGGATTTTACACCTTTGTCTTTACACCGTTTTTTTCACACCGGCGTAGAAAAAAATTTTACGGTGTAAAATTATAAATTACGGTGTGTAATTTGTATTTTTACACTGACTCAATTTACACCGAATAATCCGGTGTAAAGGGCACAGTGTAAAAATGCACCTCCCCATTTTAAATTTACGCGCTTCCTCGGTAAAGTAATGTATGAGTTCATCTTGGCCAAATCCGAGTTCTTCTAAAGTAAAAGCAGTGACAGCAGTGAGCTTTCGGCGAGGGTCGATAATTGGTGAACATATGTAAACAGGCTTCTTCAAAGCTAATGTGGCATATCGGACTATTTTCTTGACCATAGGACGAATTGCTGCCTTCAAGTTGATACAATCAGATGAGACCCAAGCCTATGTAAAAGGATGGGTTAGAAATTGTGTAAATATGAACAAGTTAATATGGAAAGAAATACTTACTTTTTCAAGTTTTTCAACCAGCCATTGATAGTCGGGCATTGCTTGTGAGAAGGTGGGATAGCCCTCAGCTTCGATGTCCTTGATCACAACAGCGAGAGGTCGGAGAAACTTGACTAAGGAGCCGACCAAGATCCATTCGTCTTCGGTCAGGAGATAAGGCTCCAACGATTCATTGATGTTACAATAGTACTGAAGAACCTTCTTGAGTTCAAAGAAACGCTCGAGAGAGTAAAACGTTGAGGACCATCGAGTTGAAACCTCGTGGATGAGTCCGACCTTTCTAGTCTGTGATGAAGAGGCAATACATTGATCAAGGGCCTGTTTGAGCTGAGTACTCAATCGGACTCGTTTATGAAAACCGCGAATTCGAGTGAGAATTGAATGGACTTCGAGATGAGGAGTAGGTTCGATGAGAGAGTTAGTACCATCAGGAAGATCATTTCCTGGGTCTTGAGGTAGCTCAGGATCCAAAGCACTAAGGGGATCAGGCGGGGTCTTGCTGTCGAAAATAGAGACTCCAGCTTTGGCGACGAGATTGATAACGTGGGCAACACACCCATGGAGGTTCTTCTCAGGATCGAAATGAGGTATAAGTTTCTTGAGCTCGCGTCCCATGGTGAGATTGTTGGAAGCATTGTCGGCAGTGATGCAGTAAAGTTTGTTGGTGATTCCAAATTGATCCAAGGTGTGCTTCAGGAGAGAAGCCATGTTTTTACCGGTATGAGATCCATCAATTTCCTTCAAAGCTAAAACAACAGATTTCATTTCAAAATTATCGCTCAACCAGTGCGCTGTGATTCCGAGCATTGGTACACTGCTGGGTGAAGTCCAGGCATCGCAAGTGATGCTGATGAATTCTAACTCAGAGAAAAGACTAGTTAACCAATTACGAGCGAGACGGAATTCAGCAATGATGCCATCATTGATGGCGGTTTGTTTTGACAGGATAGGCGCAACAGCTGGGTTAATCCAGGATACAAGGTCGCGGAACTCCGGGGCGTCCACTAGCGATAATGGGAGCTCTCGATTGACGAGAAGACGGATCACGGCGTTGGTGAGGTTTTTCCTGTTGAGCGGTCCAAACTAAAAGAGGTGACCTTGATCAGTCAAAGTCACAAAGAGGAAATGTGAAAAGATGAGAAAAAAGTTGAGAAAAAAGATGAAACTGGGAAAAAAAGTAAAAACTTACGTTGGAATACTTCCCAGTTGCAGAGAAGGATGTGAGAGTCTGTTGGGATGTGTCGATTGGAGGTTTGATGTGGTGAGAACGGGATAGGTGGCGGGCCATCAATCTGGTACTTGAGGTCTTCAAATCGACAGCGATTTCCTCTTCACACACAACCACAGGCGCCTCTAAGTCTGAAGGCTTGTCGATAAAGCCTTTGTTGGCACGGCAGATGTTCTTGACGCTTTTGTCGGGGAAGGTTACTGTTGAAAAATACTGCCAAACCCACGAAGTTCGGTTGGTGGCAGTATTTTCTGATCCAGCTGCACTAGCCGCAGCCGAGACTGAGTCGGATGGTGTGATGGATGTTGTGCTGGAGGTGGTTGACATATTGGAGTTCGGATCGGTGACGTTGCGGCGAAGACTTCGGCGTGACATTGCGATGGAAGGTATTCAAACAGGGTATGGGTGAAAGGGTGCTGGCAAATGGGTTCGGGGCGGTACAAGGGTATGCGGTAAAAGGGCAGAAAGAGCTTCAAGACGCCTTTCACCCTTTGTTTTACAGGATTTTTCTCGGCGGCACCGGCCCCGAGTGGCTCTGACACAGAGCTTTTGTCAGTATCATCAGGTTAGGGTTACGGCCCTGGGTTCGGCAATGGCCTGCCTCTGGAAACCCTCGGGCATACTCGGGCGGGCAGGGCCAGAGCCGAGTCATAGCCCTAGCTGAGGGAAATACTGAGCTGTACATGTATTCAGATTCAGCCACATTGGAGATGCTCTAATACTCAAACCCAATTCACTTACTTCTGTTCATCTTCATTAAACCATACTCCTTACTCCTTAATTAGGACCCTGGAAAGCCCCTATGGAACCATCTGACAAAAAATGTATCAATCGGGGGTCAAGATGTTGGCTGAGGTACCGACAAAATGTGTATCAATTGGCAAATTTTCAAAAAAACGCATAAAAACATACCAACGGAAAATAGCAATTAGGGCTGCAAACCGGCCCTGGTAATGCCTGAAGGCCTTCCAAAATCAATCAGGGCCAGGCAGGGCACTCCCTGAGTCTGAAGCCTCAGGGCCAGGCAGGGCCAGGGGCTGTTTTTAGCCACAAAAACCACTAAAGAGAGTCATTATTTCATTCAAAGAAATTGTAAAAGAGTGACTTACCGTGGGATTTTTCGGAGGAAAATGATATGCGGCCCCAGTGCCCAACCCGCCCAAGGACCCCTCAGGGTGCGCTTGTGATCATCAGCACGTTAGGTTTGGCGGCCCCGGGCGCGTACTGTGAGCGCTCTGAGATGGCTCGGACAGAGTCGGCCAGGCGGGGCCGGGTCCGGGTCACAGCCCTAATAGCAATACAGCAATACAGGTACCAATTCTGTATCAAATGGCAGGTCACGGAGGTGAAACCTTGAAAAACAGCATGTTACCAGTGGAAAAGGGTCAAAACTAGGGCTGTGGCCCGGCCCCGCGAGTTTGTGGCCGCCCTTGGGGTCCAAAACCGGCCTTGAGCAACCCAAGGACCTTGGGAAAACACGCAGGGCCAACCAGGGCACGCCCTGAAAGCATGGTCACGGGGCCAAGCGGGGCTAGGCTCACATCTAGGGGCAAGAAAGACTCAAAAAAACTCAATCTAGTCTCACTTACAAGTTAAAACTTGATCTTGGCTCACTGGTAGGGGCAATAAAAACTCAAACAGGGGATAACTTTTTACTGGTATTTCCAAAACATGTGTATGAGGACTTATCTTGTATAAAAAGAGAAAACATTGTTGAGCGCCTACTTATATAATAAGAAACTCAATAACAAGAGCACACATGATTGAGCGCCTACTTAGATTATAACAAACTCTGCCTGTACTTAGATTTAGCATGTATTTAATCAAGAGCATATTTGATATTGAAAAAGAAACTAAACAAACTTTCTTGTTTGTACTTCCTTAGATAATACTAAGATAATATCTTATTCCAGGTCTTGAGGCAAACTTGGGCCTCAAGATTCATAGGAGTGAAAGAGGCCCGGTGATTGCTCATAACTCTCAATGCATTAGAAAAGGTACTCTCAGAAGGAGCGCTTGTGGCAGGTACTGCAAGCATTGCCTTCGCCATTCAAGCAAGGTTGGGCCAGTGACGTTTGTGAGTTTTCCAGTAGACAAGAGGTTGGCATCTCTCATCTTCTTGAGGTGCGGTGAGGAACTCGTTGACCTCGTCCTCAATAGGAACTGTTCTACGGCGTTTGATGAAATGTTGAGGTCGATCAAAGTCCAGGGTTTCCTCGTTTTTGACAATCTCAATGTTGGGGTCCAAAGCTGGTCTGAATTTGGCAATGTCATCAGTAAAATATTTAATTAAGTCTTCTACTCCCCAACCGAGGGATTCCATAGTCTGAGGTTGGACGGCGTTAAGTTTAAGACGGCAATTGAGGATTGCTGCACATATGTAGACTGCCTTCACTTGAGCTGCCTCTTGGTATTGGATGATCTTCTTGACCATTGGCATGAAAGAGGCTTTGAGTTCCCGGCATTTTGAATCAACCCAGGCCTAGAAACAAACAAAGACTATAATCAGCAAATTTTCATACAAAAGAAAAGAATAGTAAAGAAAACTGAAAGATTGAAATACTTACAGTTTCAAGTCGTGCCACAAGCCACTGGTAGTCTGGCATAACTAGAGAGAAAGTTGGATACAAATGGCCTTCCATCCGGTTGGTCATGGCAGCGAGAGGAGCTAAAAACTGGATAAGTTTTCAACCAAAGTCCACTTGTCATGTTCAAGTTTGAAATCTTCAAGTGCTGGATTACAATTTAACTGATACTCTAAGACGACTCAAAGTTGAATGAATTGAGAAAGTGAAGCATGGGTTGATGACCACCGAGTTGAAACCTTGTGGACTAAACCTACTTCCTGTGCCAAGACAGCACAGCTCGTGATTGCGTTGTCAAGGGAGGTTTTGAGTTAGCTACTATGTTTGATTTTTTTGTGAAAGCCATGTATTCTGGTAAGTATGCTTCTGATCTCGGCAGTGGAAGTAGGTTCAACAAATAAGGGAACTGATGATTGAAGTTGTGGTATAGCAGGATCGAAAGCATTCATTGGTTCAGATTTATCTTTTCAATCAAAAACTGCAAGTCCTGCCTTGGCCACAAGGTTGATGACATGGGCAATACATCCGTGGATACTTTGAGAGGCATTGAACTGAGGAATCATGGTTCCAAGGGCTAGGACCATGGTGGTGTTATTGGATGTGTTGTGGGCAGTGATGCAGTACAGACACTCAGAGAGGTTGAAAGAATCAAGGATATGCTTGAGGAGTGAAGCCAAGTTGGCACCGGTATGAGGTCCATCAATTGCCTTCAAAGCAAGAGTGATACCGCGTAGCTGAAAGTCGTCAGAAATCCAGTGCGCGGTCACACCAAGCATCGCGAGGTTGGTTGGGGAGGTTCACCCATCACATGTGATACTGACATGTTTGATAGAAGAGAGGAGGTTGACAATGGCTGATTGTTTGGCTTGGAAGGTGTCCAGGATTCCATCTGAGATGGCAGTCTGTTTAGATAAGATGGCAAAAGCAGCGGGTTTGATCATGTTGATGATCTCTCGAAACTCCCTACCGTCAACAAATGAGACTGGAACCTCTCAATTGACAACCAAGCGGATCAATGCATCCTTGAGGTAGGCTCGGTTGAGAGGTTGGACCTAAAATGAGATAGAGAAAGGAATAAAGATAGAAATAAAGGTAAGAAGAGATTGATAGATGTGAAAAAATATGAAAGTACTTACTTGAACTGCCTCTCCATCAATATAGAAGTCCGCAATAGAAGGTTGATTAGTTTGAACAAGGGGTTCAATATGATGTGCACGAGAGAGATGTTGTATCATCAATTTTGTGCTGCCGTTCTTGTCGACAGCAAGAGATCACGGGAGGTGTGTCGGCATTGTTGGCAGCGGTGTTGGCGTCAATCAGTCCTTGTTGGGCTTGGCAGATGTTCTTGAGGACACCGTTGACCTCTTCGGTGACAAAGTATTGCCACACCCAAGAAGATTGTGCGGTGGTCATGGTGTTGGAGTCTACTTTGGAGATGGAATCCAAGGGAGCCAGGCTGGAACTCGGAGTCGACATCATAGAACAATGTAGAGTTGAAGCAGATCTAGTGGCAGGGGTTCTAGAGACGGGGGTTGACATATGATAAGGAAATTGATCGAGATATCCCGATAACTGGAAAGTTTGTTAATTGAAGATCTACGTGATCACAACATTCATGAGAAAATTGGTTTCATAAGGGTCGGCTGCCTGGGTGGAGCAGCCAACCTGGGGCGCCCGCGGGGCTTTTGTGAATCTCATCAGGTTAGGTTTACGTGTCCCAAGGCGTGGACCGTGAGCTTCCTGGATACCCTTGGGCATAGTCGGCCGGGCAGGGCTGAGTCCGGGTCACAGCCCTAGTCAAAACTGCCCAAATTGAGGCAAAAACCGTCAGATGTTACCGACAAAATTGGTATCAAAGGGCTCAAAAAGCCACTTTTTCAAGGTATCAATCAATCAATTTTCCCCAATTTCTGGTTAGATGGTTCCATAGGAGCTTTCCGGGATCCTCCTTAATTTATCTAAACAATTCTAAAGCTACAGCCATATTCATAATTGATGAACATTTGAAAAAAAAAAAAACTTTTCAAATGATCAACGCAAATTGTAAACAGGTACAGCCCAAAACATTCACTTGTCATTTGTCGCAAGTTCATCAAAACTGCAAACGGCTGTATATAAGTCTTCTTTTTTTTTCAAAACCAAAAAATAAAATTTCACAAACAAATCACACACAAAGACAAAGACATAACAAATCATAGAATTTGATTTTTTTTTTCTTTTCAACACTCCCACCACCACCCACAACCTTCCATCTTCATCTTCTCTTTTTTGAATCGTTTTCCCACACAACTTCTTCAAAAAAAACCCAAATTTCAGAAAAAAAACCAAAAAAACACTCCCAGAAAAAAAAAAATTCATAGAAAAGAAAAAAGTAATATTCAAATAAACTCAAACTTTCTCTTTTGTTTTTGTTATGCGTTTTTTTTTTCTTCCCTTTCGTCTCGTTTTACTCTTCTAATCTTGATTAAACCTTTGTAAAGTTTTATCTTTAACTTGTTCCATAAATCCTTTTTTACTATCATCATACATTCCAACTGGTGTACCTAAAAAAAACCCACACACACACACACCAAAACCCAATATGATATCAGAAATTAAGCTCCCTTCTACTCTGTTTGTATTCAGAAACTCAGCGGGAAAAAAAAGACCCATCACATACCAGTCGAAGCACCAAGTCCAACTCCTTTTGTATATTGTGAAGCCGAAACCGGTTCGACTCGTCCTCCCGTTCCATTTCCTAATCCTTCACCTTTTGACCATCCCATCTTAGCCAACATCTGTTCAAAAAGACAAACCAGATCCAAGAACCAAAACCAAATTAAATCACATCATCATCGATTAGATTTGGAAAAACCAAAGAGAAAATCGATTCAAAAAATCATTTTTTCTTACCTGACTACCCACATTACTAGCTTGGATTCCATCTTTATCAACCGAAACAGGTGTTTCGATCGGTAAAGGAGCAGGTTCATACCTAGCCTTCTTAGCTTCATGTAGATCTGAACTATTACTAATCGGTACATCAGGTTGACCAAAGGCTTCACGTCGGGCTGCTGCTCGATCGGTATACTTGGTTCCATTACTACCTTCTCCAAGATCACTACCACTTGCTGCTCTTTTGGTCGCTGTGGATTTCATACTGGCTTGTTTACGTAATCGTCCTGCTTTTCTGGCCGTTTCACTTTCTAAATTGGTCTGTTGATTTGTAAATCAGTATCAGTTTCGAGAAGGAGAAAAATGGTGTTCAAGAAAAATCAATTTGATGAATTTTTTCAATTGATGAAGTTCGGTTTTCATAGTCGATTGTTATTCAAAGTGACCAATGTGAATTTTGCAAAAAGAAGATAATAATATTTGATATGAAAAGTACGTCAATAAATTTATTCCTTCTCGTGATGATGATAATGAAAAAAAGTTTTTTGCAAAAAAAAGCCGATATAAGAAATCAAGAGCACCTTATGTAAATTAGATAATTCATTATGTCTTGCTAAATCCTCTGTTGATTTAAATTGACGTTGACAAAGTAAACAGGTAAGTCGAATCATATCGCTGAAATCATCTTCATTGCTGTTGTTGTTGTTGTTGTTGTTGTTGGTCTCATGATTCTGTAAGTTTCAAATCAATTAATTTTTCAATGAGTTTTTTTTCATTTCGGTCATTCAAGAGTTAAGTCAAAATTCAGTTTATCAATTTGAAGTGTGTTTAAATCTAAGCTCAAAGTAAGTAAATGATATTAATCAATGAAGTTTAAATCGAAACTTGATATGAGCTTTCTTTGAGAGATCTTCACATGTTCATATCTTGAAAATGAGAGATAGAGACCTTCGTCTAAAACACATAAGATAAATAAAAAAAACTCATAGAGATGTTTTCTCACAGGGTTCTCAGGGTTAGTGACCGGTTCTGAACTGTCTTCAGTGCTTGAAGGATCTTGAATCTTCTTGGAGTTCCATTTTTCAATATTTGCTGCCATCTAGAATACATAGAGGGGAGGACGATCAGTCTTGTTGATATTAAACTCAAGTAAGATCTGATTCAATAAAATCCACTAACCTTCTTGCTCGCGATTAATTCGGTACCTTTCTTTTTATCAGTCTTGGTTTCTGAAGCTTTTTGATGTTGCATGGTCAAAAATGTGAATATGAATAAACTGAAACTAAAAAAATTGATGATTCATATATTCTAAAACATTGAATAGTAAGACAGACCCTTTGCTTGTGTTTGATCAGTATGATTAACTTGAGAATCTTGCTTTGATGGTTCGGAAGACTTGTTTTCCGGATTTGTTGATTCACGACTTTCAACATTGTTTTGATCGACCGACGAAGAGACTTGCTGTTGGTCCTGAGAGAGAGAATCATTTGTAGGATTTAAATTGTTAGATGAGTTTGTGATTTTGACTGTCTCTGACTTGGAGCCGGACTGATCATTGTCAATTGACGACAAAAGTTCTTTCATATCTGCATCTTCATCTCTTGTAGAAGTCAGCTTGCCATCATGTGATTCTTGAGTTTTCTTAATACCATTGTGATCATCTGTCGCCTCTCCATTGGACCCTGCAGGAACGAAGACGGCTGAATAAGCTTTATCATCCCAGTAAGCTAATTCTTGTCCTCCAGGGCCTTGAAATGACCAATCAGAAGGAGTATAAACTGGATGAAATGAATGTTCATGAGCAAAAGTCACAGTCAAAACTCGAGATCGAATCTGAAAGCCACGAGGGAATAAACTCGTGTTCAAAAGAAGGGAAAGAGCTTTGACGGCGATCTGAAAAGAGATCGGTTGTTAGTTACAGGATCTAATTTGATAGGGATCGATTGTTCTGAGTAGAAGACACGCAAACCTGAACGTCAGAAAATTGAACAAAAGCGTAACCCCAGCTGCCACGAGTAAGTCGGTCTTTGATCAACATCACCTTTCTGATCGAGTCAGGAAGAACGGTTTGAGATGGATCAGGTATGTGCTGTAGGTGAGTAGCAATCTCTTGTTCGGTGGTGATTGGATCAAGTCCTCTCAATAAGAGTATAGAAGTCGGAGTGCCACCAATATCACGAGCCCCATCATTGAGAGCTGAAGGAGTAGGATCGATAGCTCCATTATAAGAATGATTACCTCCTGATTGTTCTTCATTCAAATCAACCACCGGTGGGGATCTTCGAACGCCTTCTCTTTCTCTATGTCTAATTTCATAAGGTATCTTTTCTTTTTGACTATAATCAATCTTGATTTGTAAGCCATCACCAGATCGATCAAAAGGAGAACCTTCGGGCTCTTTCCAAGTGACGAGTGGAAAGCAAGGCTCGACAAAGGAGCGCGCATCGTCTACAGTAGCAAAACGAGCGAATCCATAACGCTTACTGAGACCAGTGTTACGGTCATAAATGATGGTGACAGTATCGACTTCAGCACCATACTGTTCTAAAAAGGTACGCAAGGTGGCTTCATCAGTATGGATCGGTAAACCCATAAAGATGACAGATTGGGTAGGCGCTGATTTCTCTTTAGGTGGACCATGATTGAACTGGGTGTTTAAATCGTAGATCTTGTGGTGGTGATTCTCATGATGCCAACTTTTGTGACGGTCTTCATGAGGAGCGAAGCCTTGAGAATGGTACGAGGGCGAGGTGTTTGAGTTGATTGATGATGGACCACTTCTTGATAGAGGATGAGCATAAGGGTGAGGGTGGGATATATAACGCGGAGGACGCTGATGATGAGGTACAAACTGTTGAAGTTCATGAGTATAAGTGATTGAAAGGATCAAATGAAATGATGATGATGATGATGAACTATGTGAGTTTGATGACATACTTCTTGAGACCTTCGAGGATTATGTGGGTCATCATAAGACCTTCTAGAATCTGCAAAAGGAGCCGTAGGAATAGGTCGATCTGAAGGATCACGTTCATCATAATCCTGTCTTCGATCAAAGCTTCTAGGAGGACCGACATAAGGAGGACGAGATTGACGATCAGATGAAGGAAACCTAGGATCAATTTGAGTTCTACCATCATATTGATGATGATTAGAATGTCTACGAGGATCATGATAAGGTCTTTCTTCCGATCTAGGTTGAGGTCTTTCTTGATAATCTTCTGATCGATCCCATTCAGCAGAACGAGGTGTTCTAATATGATCTGAAGAATGACGATTATACATTTTGAAGGTCACTAGAGGTGAGAATGGATTTTGAAGTGATGATGATTGATGAATAATCAAGGTTCAAGTGATGATGAGTTTGAGTGAATGAATTCAATCGATCGATCGATAGCTTGGATGACTGAATATAGTAAAACTAAAGTAAAGTAGTAATGGTAAAGTGATGGTAAACTAATGATAAAGTCTTGTAATCAAGTTTGAGTACTTCTTTTGATGAGAAAGTGGGAACAATCAAACTCAAAATGGTAATCAGTCAATCAAATTTTAGAAAAATCCAGAAGGAAATCTCAATTCACATAACAACTACTAAATATTAAGACCCTTAAGAAAACACCATTCTCTGAGACTGCGCAGTCACTTTCTTTCCTTGGAACTTGACCTTTCATGACTGAGCGAGAACAAAATCTAAAATTATGACACGAGTAACAGAGAAGCTCAACTGCGAGCATATCGATTGGTCCTCAGACCCACTCGTCTGCTCAAGTATGTCGATCCACACACTACATCATCATCCGCTGCTGCTCACGAGACCAAACTATGATATTGAAAAAAATGTGATCAAAATCAAAGAGATAACCTGAACTAAAAGAGAGCACGAGAGAGAGAGAGAGAGCTCAATGAAAAATGTATCCTAACTTCAATTCACCAGTATAAAATTCCTCAGTTCATCTTCTCAAAATCAATTGATTCTTCATCCCACTTCCTTAATATATTTCTAGCACTAGCATATAATCCAAATGATTTTGAAAAGATTGATGGAAGATGAGCAAAGTAAACGCTCATCATCAATCCTATTCTTGAAAAAATGTACCATGAAACCAAATGTAAAGAATCTAAATAAGATAAATATGATGGGTTTTTAAATAACTCAGACACCTTTACCCAAACCAAAAATTATATTTTTTCAAAGTAAACCTTTTTTTGATCAGTTACCCCAAGTTAAAAAGGGGGTATAAAATTAATCCAACCAAAAGAAAAGAAAAACTCACAATTTATTTAGCTATAACTACCTACATCTCAAAAACTCAATCAAACTGTTTTCCCTTAACCAAAACTGAAGAAAAAATTCATCTTTAATTTTTGTATGTAATTCATTCATTCATTCAAGATTTTCTTCTTGGTTTATTCAAGAAACAAACAAACAAAATATTCAAATTCAAAAACTAATCCACGGTTTTGAGTTTCAACAAAAAAAAAGATTAAGTAGACCAATCAATATCACGACACTCCTTATACGCTTTTCCCAAAGCCCAAATAGTCCTAAACAACCCCACCAAAAAAAACAACAGAATCATCATCAATCAATCCATCCCAAAAAAAAAGAAAAAAAACCGCTCAATTCTTTCCAAGAAAGAAAGAAAAAAAAACTTACCAAGCAAACTTATAATTAGGATACATCACCGAAGTAGTTTTATTAAAAAGACCTTCAATTTCTTCTTGTTCCCATTCACCATTCCTCAATTGTCTTTGCAGTATCAATTTACATGCTTTTTTAATGATTTCTTGATGTGGATATTTAACTGAAATCAATCCTAAAATCACCCATGAAGTTTGAACAACTTGTGATCTTTTTTCATGTATATAAATCCCAAGTTCACATGACTTTTTTTCACACACACACACACATACACACAAATCAAAGTATTAGAATTTCGAGTATTTTTTTGGGGGGGAAGCGAAGGGAAGGGGAAAAGACTGACTTTGAAACTTTCACCCCAACCACCATCTTCCATTTGTCTATCAACAAGAAACTCACATGCTTTTTGAACGGTTTGACTGTTTTCATAAGTTTCTGAATTTAATGAAAGTGATTCAAGTGCAAACATAGTAGCATATGTAAAACTAAAAAAACAAACAAGAAAACCAAACACTGATCAGGAAAAGAAACTGATTTTTGAAAGTTCAGTATTGGATAATGTCGATTAAACTTACCAAACTGCCCAAGATCCATACCAAGATCCATCTTGTCTTTGTTCTTTACGAATAAATTCAATGGCAGATTTTCTAGCAAGACTATGTTTGTGAAAAGAAAATCATCATCATCAATTCAAGTCAAATTTCAACCCCGATCTTCGTCCCGCCCTCCCACCAAAAAAACAAATGATCAATCAAAGAAAATCACCAGCATCTTACCTAATCTCTTCTGATCGATAATCCTTATAATATTTATTAAACACACTTAAAGCCGTCGTACAAGCCGTTGTACATTCAACATAACACATCCTATGAAGATTTTGATTTAAACCCAAAGTTCAATTTTAGTTTTACATCTTCGCATTTCCAAAAGCCTACCCAAAAGAAAAAAAAATGAGATTTACTCTACCATTGTATTTGAAAAGACTTCAGCAGGACTAAGCCATTCTAACCATTTCGGACCACGAATCAATTCATAAGATCCATATCCACCATTAGAGTTTTGTAAACTTAAGATCACATCGACTGCCCAACACAATCTTTCCTTAGAAACCAATTTAGGTGTATACCTAATTGATTGAATCAAATCATCCTTCAGTTCAGCTCAAGAGTCTTTCAAAGTTCTAGAAAAAGAAAACGAAGAAAAACTGACTCTAATTCTTCTTGTAAATAAAGAACAGATTTTAAGGCTTCTGCCGTACAATCACTAACAGTATATCCCTGTGCTTTAGTACTAAAAGGCCAAGCTCCTTTAGTAGTATGACGATAAGCCGATCCATAATACTATATCGAATCATTTCATTCTTCAGAAACTCTATCAACACATGATCATGAAGTATGTCTTCTTTTGGTTCTTCCTATTGACTTACTTTTGGGTTTTCTACAATTTGACATCGGTCTAACCAACCAAGAGCTTTATTGACTGTTTCTTGAGTAGATTGATCATTTGAATTTGCTAGATTAGATTCAACTAATGCTTGGGTAATAAAACTTAAATCCCATAATTGAGATCCATTAGTAGCTAAGAGCATCATTCCTTTTCTAAATACGAACGAAAAAAACAAATCAAGTTAAATTTCGACCGACTTTCTAAATAGCTCTTATAATTTTTCACTCTCATTCTGTATAAATCAAAATCTTCAAAAGACTTACTGTGTCATCCATAGAAATTGATGTAAACTGGCTTGATGTAATTTAAACGTTTCACTATCTGATCCATCACGATCCCAAGAAATTAATAAATTCATCATTTTATTAACTGGTGCAAGAGCCTGATAATTGGTATTCTCATCCTCCATTTTACATAAATCATAAACTCTATCCTGAAAGATCGTCAAGTAATAGGAAACGTGATGAATTGAACAAAAGAAACAAAGTCAGATAATTTTTCTCTTCAATTCAATTTATCATCATCATGACTTACAAGTCCAGAGTTTCGAAGTCTTTTAGGACAAACCGATTCCCAAACCCCAAGAACTTTAAAAAGTCCATCAGCAATCGGATGATGAGGAGTATATAAATCTTCTTTTGAAATTAAATTTCGACAGTTTAACCAATCAATCGATTCATAATCTTTAACATATAATTCTTCTCTTAAAGATTTCAATAATGGATTTAATTCGATCTTTAACCTTTTACCCCAAAGATAACTCATGGCTAAATAAACTTGTCGACTATGTACCCACCATCTCCATGGATGTAAAGGTAAGAATTCAGGTAAAAGCCAAAATTCAGGTGGGATCGGATTGATACCTTCCCAACTGAAAATCAATGAAGAAAAAAAAATCAGTTTAGATTTCATTAGATGATTATATTTAAATTTCTTACTCGTATACATTTAAGAGTGAAAGCCATAGTTTTCCCCATGTAGGTATTCCAGTTGCGCCACCTATCATTCAAATCATATCATGATATCAGCTCAAAGAATAGATTAAACGAATCAAATAAGATGAAGATCATTTACCTAATGCGTGTAATGTTCCACGAGCTCTTACTAGCATTGGAGCTTCTGCATCAACACCAAGTAATCGACATGCAACATAATTGAGAGCAGTTCCAAAGACGGTAGATTGACCAGCAACATGTCTTTATGGGATGTACAAATACCAATGTCAGCAAATGTATATCCCAGTATGCCAATCGGATCTGATTTTGAACACGTGTTGGAAAAAACTGGTTAAAGGCTTACAATCCCCAACCTTGATCACGTGGGCTCTTACCGCAACGTTGCTCGTTTGCAAGATACCGAGCTAGTTCTTTGGTGACTTCTTCTGAAAATGGTGTTTTGGTAATATAACATGCTATCACCAAACCTGATGCAAAACGTGACCAAATAAATGTGATTTGATTAGAAGATTTGAATAGCAACAAAATTATTTGATCACTATAAATTTACCTGGAATTAGAAATAGAGGACCTTTTGAACCATCCAGCGTTTGTGAGACCGAGCAGTGGTCAGTGTGAGATCAAGCTGAACATGAAACCTTCAAAATCGCCCACCTCCATACTCTCCACTACATATTGTATATAAGATGAGTTAATTAGTGATCTTTATAAGTTTGAAATCTTGTTTTTTTGATTTAGAAATTGATGACTGACCTCCAATGTCCATCTGGACTTTGAAGTTTTTTCAAAAATTCCAGTCCATTCTGTGCTGCTTTCAATGGATTACCTTCAGGATCGGGTAAAGCTGGTCCTTTCTGGATTCGAACTTTTCAGTTAATCAACTCAATCAATCGATCGATCGATTCAAAGCAATACCACCTACAGAGTGAATCGATAACCAATATTTGCTTTCGAATGATTGTGGTCCAAGTATTCTATCAATCGAATGATCGTATTGCCAATCAACTTTACCATCGTCACTTGTATCGACATGCCATCGAGTCAAATCAGTTGATCCTAATGGACCAGGGCTAGGGCTTTGAGTAGCAGTGGTCATAATTCGACTTGAGTGAATTGGCAATGCGTTCAATACTGGGACGAAAGGAAGCCTATCGTACCAGCACTACAATCTTTATCTGATTTCTAATAGAATTTAAACGATAGGAGGCATTCGAACTTCAAAGGGGCGTTGGGGTCCGGAGGATCAGCCGTCACTTTACTTCAAAAAGGTGCTTCCAATATCAAACTTCAAACTGAGTTTTGTCCATCTTATACAGGTTGTGTCAAAAACGCTAAAGAGCAGCTTACATAGCAGGCTTGTCTTGAAAAGTTCTTTTCTTCTCAAAAAACCTTCAAGCATTCATCGACAAGTCTTTCTCCTTCTTTCTCTCAAGAAAATCCCACTATATCCCTATTCCCTTGACTTCGTATCGCTTCTTAGGCTCTTCACAACACACTTTTCATAAACTTTTCCAACATATACAACTTACCCAGATTAGTAAGAATGCTGAAATAATTATGTATGTATCATGTGCACCAATCCCATTAAAGATATTTAATCCAATCCAAACATTCGACTTCTCGCACTGCATAATTCTGACCGCGGGGGATTTCGAACGCGTCATATGTACGTACATTTACTACTGATGTCTTGAGAAAATCCAACTGATGAAGTTGTACGAACCGCTTCTGACCCTTTGGATTGCATACATACATATGTACATACATCACTCATAATTATTAACCGTCGTTCGCTGATTGCGGACAAACTCAAGAAATCTAAACCGCTTAAACTCCTAATACGATTGTAAACTTTCTTCAACTTTTACCCCTCCTTTTCCTTATCTTTTCAACTGTACTTATGTATGATGTAGGTAGCCAATCACACAGCGGTAAATCCTCTTATGTATCTATGTGATTCTCAAGTGAAAAAAGAACGTGCTGAGGTTTTTCTTTTAGAAAGCTTGATGGTGATTTTGGAATCAGTTGATATGATCAAGAATATCAAAGAGTGTTTTTTTTTGCTTTGTTTGTTACGCAAAATCATCCGATTGTTGATGTTTTCTTTGAGAACTAACAAAAAAAAAACCCAGAGCTGATCACACAATAAGATTCGAATCTATGATCATTGATTGAGAAAGTGGTCTAAAAATGGAAAACTCTTGAGATCCACATCTCCTCCAAGAGTCAAGAGTCAAGAACGTGTACAAACACACAGCATCAGGATTTTTTGAAAAAGTGTACTGTGTCAAGGCGGAAAGAAATCATTTTTTTTGGTCAGGTTTCTTCAATCAATCACTTTTCTCATCAACTCACAAATTGAAAAAAAAAACTTTCCCACACTTGTTTGCCGACTAAAAATCACAGCAGACCAAGAACAAGCCGGCTGCCGCGCGTCAAAAGAAAACACACACACACACACACCAGCACACACCTTATCATTCATCCATCAGTTTGAAATCAGATCATCAAATAACGTTAAGATACATATTTGATCAACTATATCGTCTCTGTACCCTTCACAGCGGCTTCAATCTTACTGGTTTTCTAAAAGGATGTAAGCCGAGGAATAGGTTGGTTTTCTAGATTTAGAAGAATCCTATGAAGTAGATTTAAAGGAAGAGTGTGTAAGATCAACTTTCAGGTATCTTGTTTAAACAAAGAACACATCCAAGGTTTCTTTCCTCAATTCTACACGATTAAAATTTTCTTAAAATTTCTATTTATTTGAAAATTAACCATTTCTCTTTGATGAGTTAAACTTTCATTTCTTTAGAATTTCAATTTTCTATAATAGAGATTTGTTTCGGTTCAAAGTTTGGTCAATTATTTCGAGAAAAGAAACAAAGAAAGAAAGAAAATAGAACACAAAAATAAACTCAGATTAGAATTTTCTTTGAATTGCTTGATAGTTTTACAACAAGAAAGACGTTCGTCTACCTATTTGAAAGAATTCCCTTATAAACTACAAACAAATTCACTAGTTTGTCTGATTTACATCTCGTTGTAATACCGCAATCTCTTTTCTAGAAGCTCTAAATCTTTCTCTTGTTTTTTTTTATTTTACATTAACCCTTCATCCGATTCTCAATTCATCTTTGCTTGATATCTTTAATCTCTTGTGTGTATTACTATTACTAAACCCAAAGCACTTTAACTTTTATGTCTTCTTTTAATCCTAATCCTGATTATGGATTTGGTTTGGATTATCTAGTAGATGATTTAAATGATTATCAACAATCAAGAGGAACCGGAAGAAGTTATCAATCATATGATCCATTTACTTATCCACTTTATCAAACTCCAACTCAACTTTCTAATAGTCATCATAATCACAATCCTACATCAATTTCTCAAACTCATTCAATCCAATCAACTTCATATCATTCTCAGCTATCAACCCATTCAATTCCATCTACAGCTTATTCTGATGCTTATAATCTAAATTCAAATCATCAAACCGGTTGGAACATTCCAAATTCCAATCCAAATCCTTCAAGACTTCAATCAACTTCCAATTTATATATCGGTAGTCCTAGTCTTTCTCCTCCTAATCATCAAATCTTGGATCAAAGATTTGAAAGAAACCCTAGTAGTCCTACGATCCATTCCAATCATCATCCAAATCAGACTCCTCGTATCACAAATCAAATTAGATCTAATTCTATCAATCGAGGTGGTTCGGGCCGTAGATTTGCACCTGCTAATAAGATTTGTGAAACTTGTGGACTTGGGTTTACAAGGAATGAAAGATTAAGATGTTAGTCAAGCTTTTTTTTCATTTTTTTCCTAAACTTAACCATGAACTTCACTGAGTCTGAATAGATTTCATCTCATTTTGTTTACCTTTTTTGTTTACAGATCATGTTGAACGTGTACATCTTCAAGTCGAACCTGATCATGCTTGTGAATTAGAAGGTTGTAATAGAGCTTTCAGACAGAGATCAGATTTACTAAGACATCAACGTACCGTTCATAGTTCTCAATCTTAGGATTTAATCACTAAAAATATCCATCTCTAAATCCTTAACTTATATCAAACGAGAGATGATGAATTCTTTTACATATCATTTGCTTTTGATGATTACCTCTTACATTTCTTTTAATTGATTTTCTTTCATTTTCATTTTCTATCACTCTTGGATTACTATGTAAACTTTTGCTTATCTCTTTTTCTTGATGTTCTTATTTGCTTGAGTGATGGACAAATGGATCATTGTTTTTTTAAAATATTTTATGAACAAAGTTCACTTATGATTTTTTATTCAAAATCTCTAGATCAAAACATATAATACACATTCAAATCTCATGTAATTATAGTACCTTTATCATTCGAATCAAGTTTTTTAAATTATATATTCATCTCAGTAATCAAATTTGTATATATTTTCTTTTAATAAATTATATATATATGGATCTAAATAATGTGATGATCTTGAAGTCATCATCATCAGAGCATTTATTTCTTTTTAAAGGTGAGGAAAAAAAACGTTTAAACTTGAAGAAAAAGTAAAAATGTTAGTAAAGTCTTTCTTACCAGAAACAAAAAAGATTGCTGTGATAAAAATGTATTACATGAAGTCTTACATAGAAACAAAAAATCCCTCATCGTCCAAACAGATGATCAAAATTATTCTTTCCAGAATATATTGATACTTAAAGGCTCATCCATACTAGTTGTACCACTGCTATCAGATTCCAAAAAGAATCCTAAAACTCAAATCGAACAAATGAATGCACGACAGCTTGTGAAATTCTGTGAAGAGGGCTCAAGTTCTTTTAATGCATGCAAGGAGAGCCCATGTGGTTTCTATGAGGCTTCTCTACCTTTTCCATTCAATGTCCTTCATCTGGACCAATCAACCAGAAACTCTTCCCAAACCATGTGTCACAGTCCACTAAGCTCATATTCAATCCAACCATACATCCCAAAACAAAAACATTTTTCAAACAAACCACACAAATCCACATCCGATGACTCCTTCCCTTCCCTTCCCTTCCCTTCCCTCCTGCCCTCTCAAAGTCAAAAACCTTAAGCCTTTTCAAGTTCTCTCTCTGTTGCTACAAAAAAATGAAGAATTATATTTAATAATCATTCAAAAAAGAAACCCTGTATGACAAACAAAAAGAAAAAAAGAAAAAAAAAAGGATGCATATATCAAACAAACCAAAAAGATTCTTGCATTTAAAAAGTCCTCTTCTTTCTCATTCCTCTTTCAATCAAAAAAACCCGTCTCATGTTAAAATTAAATTCAACAAAAAAAAACAATATAAAAAAATCAAACAGTATGTAGAGAGAGAGAGAGAGAGAGAGAGAGAGAGAGAGAAAGATAGTATAAATAAATAAACGAATGATGATAAAGAAAAAAATTAATGAAGATATGTAATATAACAAACACAAAGAATTTGAGAATTGCAAAAAAGAAAAACAAACAAGAAGTCTTTGAGATCTTCTTCATTAAATCTATAAACACCTATCTACTCCCCCTTCTTACTTTTCTTCTTCTTCTTCTACAACTTCTTCCAAACTGTTTCCAGGATCAGCCGGTCCTGGTGCCGCTGCCGCTCCTGCTGCGGGTGACGTAACCTCAACTTCAACCCCACCAGAAGCTTTCAGTAACCTAGCAGTAGTAGCACCAATACTTGAATCATCAGGTACTTTAAACTATTCGAAAACCAAAAAGCAAACTCATCAGTTCAAAAGTAAAAATCAGAAATTTCAATCAAATCCATAAACAAACCCCTTCAGCAGCCATATCTTTAAAGATCTCAGAATCCGCTCCACTCTTCATCATAGCCAACATCTTAGCCGCCGCATTTCCCACATCAGATTGACCATTGATGATGGTAACTCTTTCTCTTCTAGCTCGAACAGGTGGTCGACTTGGTGTACCTCCTCTGATCTTGGCTAAGATATCTTCCAAGACTGGATCTGCATCATCTGCTTCTTTGGTGGCTTTTCGATTGGCTTCAGCCTAGTTATTCATAACAAAACAAGGTTAGGTTTTTTTGGATTATCAAAATTAGATTGAGAAATGAAAAAAACAAAACAATTACCTCTAGTCGTTTCTGACGAGCAGTACGTGCTTCATTCCATTTCCGATTCTCATCCCTCGCTTTCTATATCCCAAAAAATCAAAACACAATCAACTTGATGAACAAAAAAGGACGAAAAAGACAAAAGAAAACCACACGAACCCGATAAGAAGTAACAAAAGTTTTAAAGATTCCAAAGAAAGACATTGAATTCATTTGTTTACGTTCATCAATCTCTTCACCAAAGAAAGTTAAAACTTCAGTATAAGAAGTTTTAGCCAAGGTAATCTTATCTTTCAAAACAGCTAATTTGTTAACTGCTTCTCTCACAAACTTTGGCATTCTTTGTCTATAGCCATCATTGGTTGAAATATTATCTAAATCAAATTTATTATATAGAGCTGTTCTTGTTTTTTCGATTTCTGATTTAAGTTCTGTAAAATCTTTAACTAATGCTTGTAAATCAACTAAATTTTATCCCAATCAATGTAAATCATCATCAGTTTCTTTCATCTTTTTTTTTTGTTCAAAGGTTTGGTGAGAAAAAGGGACTTGCTTCTACATGCATTAGCAGGTTCAGCCAACTCATCAAGAAAACCAGCAAGTTCAGGAAAAGATTGTGAAACGGTCTTTTCAACAAAATGTAATAAAGTGAAATCTCCAGATTGAGCCATTGCACCATCTTCATCTGGTGTAGCTTTTGTATCAACCAACTAAAAAAAATCAAAAGAAAATCAAAAAAAAAGAAAATCAAAAAAATGAAAACAAAAAACTTGTCAAAAAATGATCAACGATCAAATCAATTTAAACAAGAAGAAAACACATACCCGATTAATACTGCTCACTCGGAACCCAAACGCACCACCTTGGAAATTATTTCCATTCAAGAAATTACCCAACATCAAAACCAACTATTGATGAAAATCGTTCAAACCCATCACACATCAATTAAGTAAATCCAAATCATCATGATCATGTGAAAAAAACTCACATTGAGAAGTCCAGAGAAATGTTGAGCTTCTTGTAAAGCACCAGTAGCAACATTAAACTTGGTAGCATTCTAATCAAACCGAAATTACATTTGAGTGTTTCGATTTCGATTTTTTGAAAAATCAAGATTCCACTTACTTGATCTAAGATTCCAAATGCTTCATCAAATCTTGATCTACATAACATCCCATCTATCCTTAGCGTTAAATTATCAAATTTAATTAATTCCACCAAGAACCGATCAGCTGCATGTAATAATGATAAATCTTCTTCTGATGAAGTTTGATGTCTGTTCAATAATCCAACCTAAACAAAAAAAAGGATACCAAAGCTCATCAATGACTGTTTTAATGGCAAAAGGACTTCTTTTTTTTGGTTGCTTTTTTTGGTTGCTTTGTTTCGTTGCTTTTTTTTGAGGGGTGGTTTACTTACTTGAGTAGGATCCGGTACAACTCCACTCAACTCCGTCAAAAAAGTTTGAGTACAAAAATCTTCATCAAACCTTCTAATCTTATCAATCACAGATGCCACTCTTGCTCCCATATCCGGTTCGGCTCCCGGTTTCAATAAGATCATTTCTAATCCACCAAAAAAAAAACCACACCAATCAGTTTAACCTTTCTTCTGATGATGATGATAGAGATCCTTACCTATTCTTTGTCTTACTCTTGGATCCAAAACACTCTTTAAAGCTTCTTTCTTCTTCATACCTAAACTCTCGCACAAAAAAAAACCAAACCAAACCAAATCAATCTTTCTCTGTTTGATACCTTTTTTGAATCCAAAGAAAAAGAGAATTCAACTGACCACCTAAAGCTTTAACCTGTTTAGCCCTAAAATCCTTTTCAATCTCAACAAACACTCCATCCTGTTTCAACATCTCAGTCAATTTAACTTCATCAATAAAGTTATGTGCCCAAACTGTGTTTTGAATCGAATCTTTCGAAATCTTTTCCCATTGAAGTTGTTTTAATTTTTGACTTGCAAACACCTGTAATTCTTTTCGGTTCTTAACACTCATCATCCCATTCGGTGCTAATGGTACCCGCATCCCTGGTGCTGGTGGTGCTCCTGGCGCTCTTGGTGCTGGTGGCGCTCCTGGTGCTTTAGGTGGGGGTGGTGCTCCTGGTGCCGGTGGTGGTGGTGGTGCTGCTGGGGCTTTTGGTATCTGTTGAAGTTGAAGATCTAATGGTGGACCTGAAGGAGGAGGGGGAGGAGGAGGAGGAGGAGGTGGTGGTGGTGGAGGAGGAGGTGGAGGAGGAGGAGGAGGCGGCGGAGGAGGTGGAGGAGCAGCAGACGCAGGAACGGGAAGGGTACCCTTGAGAAGAGGAGCATTAAGTTTAATAGTAGCCACCGAACCACGTTCAGAAGCATCAATCAAAAGGTCTAGTGTACTAGATCGATCGTCGTGAGGAAGTAACGGGGTAGGATTCGAAAGTCGTCGAGTCGATTTCTGAAGTCTAAGGATCTCTAAATCAGGTGGTAAGTTTTGAATCGAATTCGTACTACTGCTAGGCACCATCATCGTTTGTTCTGAATAAGCCGAAGCTGTATCTGGTTCATCATCTGTGGTCACATATTTCATCGTCGAACCAGAAGCAGAACGTAATTGATGCATCTTTAATTCACCAAGATACAAGGCTGGTTTACGTCCGACTTGAGAGGGTATCATCGCTCGTGGATTCTGATGATCTTTAGGAAGTGGGTATCCTTTTGGTTTGGTGGGTTTGTTCTTCTTTGCTACAGGTGAATCAGGTGGTGTTAAACCAAATTCACTTCCACTATCATCACCATCCGAAGGAAGTTGACGTGAGCCTCGATGCGCTTTCCTCGTACTTCGAGAACGGTCAATGGTGATCGTTGGTGTGATGGGTTCATTGGCCTGATGTCGTTCAACCGCATCATCATCTGGATCAGCAAATCTTCCTTTATCAATCGACTCTTTAGTAGAATGAAGACCACGTTGGGTTGATAAAGTTGTGTCACTTTCGATCCTCATTTTACTCTTATCACTTTCAACATTCACCAGATCGGTAGTTCTACCTTCTAAAGTTAAAATCGCTTTTTCTCTTTGAAGTTTTTTATTCATGATATCCATTAATTCTCTTCTATCAAGTATCCCTTTATCATCTTGAACGACTTCTAAATTCTTAGATTCTTTTAACATTGTAAACAATTCTCGAATTTGTAATTCTTGTTGTGACACTTCTGATCTATGTTGTTTTTCCATCTCTTTGATTCTTGATTGTAATGCTTCAGTAGCCGTACGTGAGATATTTAATGCATGTTCCATTTCATCATTTGATTGTTTTAATTCAGTCACCTTGCCATCTTGATTTGCTAATAATTCTTCTTCCAACATATCCTTATCACGCTTTAACCTTTCGATTTGCCTTCGTGCTTCTTGTAAATCAGTCACACTACTCTGTAATTGATCTTGATCCGCAAACCGTGATAGGACAGCGGCCACGCTCACACCAAGCATCGAAGTGAAATCTCCACCTCCACCATCATCCAAAGCCTTACTATCTAATACCACAGAAGTGACTAATTGATCTATTAACTGATAAAACCGAATCTGATTCTCTCCTTCTTCTTTAATCAACAATAAATGTTGAAGAATCGAAACAAAGAATTCCTTTGCACGTGAGTTACCTAAATTATCCAGAATAGTATTAAATAATTCCAACGGATTGGTCATATCATTCAACAATCGATGATTATAAGTTTCAAGTAATTCTTCCTCATCTTGTACTGTCTCAAGTTCGATTTGATTCAGTTGTCTTTCGATCGAGTTATGTTGAAACTTTCTTAATTTATCAATGATTCGCTTGAGACCTGAGCTATTCATTTGACTTCGTAAGTGAACACGGACCGTCACATCTTCAGGAATGCTAATGATCGAGGTGATCAAGAATAAGTTTGCGAGTGCGTATTCATTCAAAGCACCTTCAATACCTATCGGACTCGTTGGCGTGAGCGTAGAACCGCTATGTGGCGTATCAGGAGATATTGAACTGTTAGAGAGAAGGCTGTTATGTGGATTATGACCTCGTAAACTACGAATCTCTTCACTTGCACCCACCAAACTTCCCATCTTGCCTCGTCCATCAATCACTTGCTCAAACGATGAAAACCACGCATCAAACCGGGCAGAGGTTTCTCCAATTAACTTGCCACTCAAATTCCGCATATTAGCCAATTGATCAAGTCCTTTGAGGACATGAGAATGCCCTTTGGGACGATCCCAATGACATAAGAACGTCAAGATATCTGCTACTGTTTTTCGTGTCGGAAGATGAGGTGAGATTAAAGAGAACAGAATCTGATAAATCGAGTCTGGATGGAGGATAGCATCGTTGGCGCCTTGCTTTGAGTTCAATAAGATCTTCAAACATTTCAATGTCTCGTATTCCGTAATCAAGTCTGATTCTTTTCGGATTTGACCAGGTGCATTGATCTTATCCAGTGAGTTAGTCAACACAATCTGACCCTTGAGGTGAATGAATTCTTGTAGCCACCTATATCATGAATGATAAAGCGCAACAGGATTAATCATTGAAAGTATTAGAATAGTAAGATTAGATCTGCAAATAAAACTGAACTAACCCGATCTCGTAAGTCCTTAAAGCGACTGCTAATGCAGCCACAACTCGGTGATCCGCCGACCTTTCCATAAATTTCTTAATATACCATTCAGGTTCTTCTCTCTTCCCACTCCGGTTACCGCCAGGATGTCGCCACATACCATGACCGGAAGATCTAGCTAATTTGTTTGTAGCATGGTGATGAGAATTAGGACCACCAGGTGAAGGCATCAAGTCTTGAGTTGATCGCTTGGAAGGTGATGTTTCGGGATTATGTCGTCTTTGTCTTGCAGAATGCCATTCTAGATTGATAGAGATATGAAAATGATTGTCAGGATCGGTATAAGTAAATTCAGCCATGATGTTTTGCTATGATGAAATGCATATATTGTTGAAATCGTTGAAAGATAGTCTGATATTGACTAGCACGATTAAAAGTTCTCAAGGTAAAATAAGTCAAGAATGAAAGTCATCCTTCGAACATGGTCATTCTTTAGTTAACACAATCAGCGCCTTTCAGAGACGTTGAAAACAATGCACACAAAGGCATGCGATGATGCCAGAATATAACCACGCCGAAGAAAAGGGTGATTGAATCAATTCACGAACCAGTATACCGATCATTATAGATCAACGTCCATTTCTTTTCTAATGAAAAATTCAGCATGTCTTGTTTCGCACTAGGTGGTAAAGCTTGATGTCATGAATGGTGAAGTTTTGAAGGGAATTTTTGAAATCATTGAATTTCAAAGACAAAGGCGAGCAAATGAGAAGAATTGAGATAACACGGGTATAAAGGGACAAACCCAAACAAACAATCAGGTGAGATTAGATGAGTCTGAAATCGCTTGAATGGCATGACAAAGCTTTTCAAATACGTACAAGCCAATTCACGACGTTTCATCATATCTGCAAACATTTCTTCTACTACCAATTCAGCTGTACCATCTCTTGGTCTCAGCAGTTCGAACTTATCACTATTGATATCAGGTTGTGGCCAACGAGATCGATCTATAGGTGAATGTTCTGAATCGTATTGTTCAGATGAACGCCGTCGACGCATACGAACACCCGGTACGGGAGGTGGAGGCATATCGGAAGAATATTGATCGGATGGATTAGAAGAAGTTGAGGAAATTTGTCGAGGTCGGCTCCGGAGCCAAGGATGGTTACTGCTATTACTGGCGGTAGAATCTTGCTAGAGATGAATTTGAGAAATGAGAAATGAGGATTAGTAAACAGATTCCAATCGCCAAGGGAGTTTCAAATGCCTAGGCCAAAGATGAGAAGCGGATGGAAATTGATTGATTGAGAGGGTAAAGTGACAACGGTATCGAAGTTGATGATGGGAAGCAGCTTTTCTCACTGCAGATCACCAAGATGGGTTTTCGGCTGGGATAGGCCCAGAAGGAAACTTTCAAACTCACTCTAGTCGGCCTACTTGAAGTTGAAGCTGTAGAAACGGTTCTGATTGAAGAACTGTACCGGTCATCTTCAGTGGAATCATTGGTCCTTCGTAAATCAGTTTGAGTGATATATCTTGAATTTTGAATTGCATCACGTCTAAAACCATCAGTTTGAATTTGATGATCTGAATCAGTCATGTTGTTGTTGTTGTTGTTGTGATTGATAGGATTAGATGATTTTTGTTTTGAACGAGGTTTTGGAGTGATTTGAGCGATTGTTTTATAGTTGAGATTGATTTCAGGTGTAAGAGGTGAAGCAGGACGAGAGATTGGAGTGCGAGAAGGAAGAAGACTTGATTGAATGTCGAGTGGATCATAAGGGATAGCTGAGAAATCGAGACTAGATGAATGACGATTTGATTTCTTATGTCGACTGAACATGTTGAGACTGAGTGCATGTGGATTGGATTGGATTGGCTTGAAGAATCGAAAGAAAGTGAAGGAAATGAAGGCTTGAAGTAGTAAATCAATAAATGGTAATCAACTCAATTATCAAAATCAATTTCACTAATCAGTAAAACCTCGATTTCTTAAGATTTCCATTCCATTTACCCCACTCTCACTCTCACTCTCACTCTCACTCTCACTCTCACTCTCACTCTCAATCAATCCTCAACTTCATCATCAGCATTCATCTTGTACCCTCAAATTCATTCTAATTCAACAAAATCAATCTCTTTCAAAAATCAATCAACCATCCACATCTGAGCCTGGTGTGATGACATAACTCAACTAGAACTAAAATTCAAACCTACAATTCAACTGAACTTTTGATCCAGAATGCCTTGGGTTTACAACAATCAAAGATCTCAGTATAACATTTGACCTTCAAGTGATCAAGCTATGCAGACGGGTCTTGATACCTCAGTCAGATCATAAGATCTTGGCTAAACCACAATCCAATCCAATCAGCTGTGGTTTTCTGGTGCATGTTTACAAGAAAAAAACACTCAAGGGTAGAATATCTGCAAATTAAACTACACTAAAGGTCTATATTACAAATCAGATATCTAGGAAGACTCATAACCTTGAAAATATCAATACCTGTCACAGGATTTAGACAAATCTTAACACAAGAAAATTCAAAGAGAAAGAAAAATATTGGGATGATCATAGGCCTTTATATATATTTACAAAAAAGGCAAAGGAAAAGTACTCAAAAAAATATATTAGTCAATAAGAGGTCAATCAGACACAAAATGAAAAAAAAATGAAACAACAAAGAAATGGATTAAGTTTTAGAAGTTGTGACAGATTGGATTGAAGAGGATCATTTGAGGTTTTCTGCGGAAGAAGATGACTTTCAATACAAGTAAATAACTTGAAAAGAGAATAGATGTCATAAAAAGAAATCATAAATAAGAAACAAAACAGAAGGATTATTTGGGGAGATTCTATTATGATGAATGATGATTGAAGTGGATCTAAAACTTATTTAATTTGTAGAATTGCATACTTGATAATAAGATCCTATACTATGATTTTGTAATTCTCATCAATTGGGTTTTTCAAAACCATAAAATATTTTTTGGAATATGTTTAACTTTTTAACCACACACACTATACAAGAAAGGTATATGAAACTCACACATATGGCAAAACCAAAAAACCAAAAACAGTGGACATTTTTTTTCTTTGATCCCTGCCAATTCTAAAAGATATTTCTTGTTACATAATACTAGATGCAAAGAAGGTAAAGTGTGAAACCATGTAGTAGAATCGACTGTTCCATAAGCACATTCTTTGGATTTCTTTCTCTATAACATCACAGACGGCTAATGTTAATGTTATACATCAAGTGTCAATGACAAGTAGTTATTTCTTACATACATTCGATCCCTTCAACTTGGTCTATAATGATGAATGAGCCTAAAGTGTGTTGGATGAAACTCAGATGCTTCTGTGCCATAATATGATTACAATGCATAACATCAATGCTGATGTTGGAAAATCCTTATTTTTAATTTGAACAGTTTTAGTTTCTCAGAAGTATCTCAAATTGATCTGCTTATCTACAATAATTAGACATTGATGACTTTTGGTCTGGTGAAGAATTGTTTCTTTCATCATTGAAATTTGGTTGGAAGTTACTGAAGAGAAATTTGAGCTTCTGTTGTGGACTGAATCAAAAAACCCATCTTAGAAGACCCCCAGCTTATCATATGCTATATCTTTTCACAACACATACGTTTGATCATGTAGTGTGAAACATACCCAAAAACATTCACAAGGGGTGCTTTTTCACCTGATATGTATGACAGTGTTAAGTATGCATTCAAGGTGATTTTACATCAAAGGTCATCACACCTTATATATCTATCAAAAATCTCCTGTCAACTATTACGCATATGAAGTGAGTCTTCTGATAAAACTAAGGTTGTGTCAAATTCCAAATTACTTGCTTCCTTTTAATTATACTTTGTAAGAAACTTTTTCCAGAATATCTAGTATTTGCTTAACGATTAATTTTCAACTATGAGGACAAAAAAGAAGGTCAATGTTTACATAAAGCCAAGCTTGGATAAATTAATGGAAAGGAGATTTGATTTACTTTGGTTTGGTTGAGTCTTCACTATCTGAATCAGTACAACCACGTGCTAATAACTGGTTCCATTTTTCACTCAGATTTGAGATTTGTTGACCTAGAAAACCCAAAGAGATTGTTAGTTTCAAGAATCGGTTGGATCAATGAAAAATTCAAGAATTTACAAACCTTGTGAACAGTCTAAGATATCAAGAGGTAAATGAGAGCTTGCAAATCGACTAGGCTGAAGTCTTGCCTCATTCACTAGCCTGAGTTCAGGTTTGTGCTTTAAGGTTTCGGATGGGTTAAGTAATTCTTCGTATGAGAAAAGGTATGGTTCACTATAAGAGCTGAGTGGGTTGAAATCGACAAGTTTGAGTTTAGGAGTGAGGGTTCCGTTAAGTGGAAGGGTTCGGGTGGGATTGGTCATATACACATCGAAGCTGACTATCAAGTAAAAAAAGATGATGAGAAAGAAATGGTAAGTGATGGGAACTTGGTTAAGAAGCAGTCTGGAGAGGTCAGCTCAAAAGTCTGGATCACTCACAATCAGAGAGCTTGAATTTAGGCATGATGATGGATTGGTAAAAGGATAAGATTCGTGAGACGATGGCTTCTTGAGCCTCAACAGGTTGAAGGAAATCGAAATGAGTGGAAGAGCGTGAAGAGATTGCTATCGAAGAAAGTTTGATGAACTGATTGATAAGCTTATGCACTGTCTAGGATCTTGTGTTTGTTTCGATATTAACAAATGATACTCACCGATCAGTGTGCGGTCCTTGACGAAGCATCTGAATTCGTGGGCTGGGTTCAGGTTGAACCATTCACGTAACACAAGCACGAAAGGGAATGTGTCGTTACAATACTTCTCTTTAACAAGATTCAGATCGTGAGCTATACAATCACTAGTCTTGAGGAGTGTGTATATGTCATTGGGACAGCGGCAACGCAAGAGACCATCGCCCGAAGGTAACATGAATGCAGAATCCTGGCGAGTAGATTTCCAAGTAAGAAGACGGTCTATCAGTATTTGTGTATACTACAGCAATCCGGAGTTTGGAACTGTTGGCTTCAAGCTTTGTAAATGAAAGCGGACTTGGGGTGCGGACCAATTTAGTTTTGGGAATACCGAGCCATCGTGCAGTTGAATAGCATGTCGAATAGTTTGATTGAGTTCAGGAAAATCGTATTTTTTCCTACTATTCGAAGACTTCGTTTGCTTATGTTGATCCGATGTTGAAGGAGAACCGATAAGAGGATCAGGCTTGGAAATAACCTCCTCTTCACCACTGCTGACACTTTCTTCAGATTCACTCAGTTGGCTCCGATATTGTTGCTCTTCATCGTCCAAGGGCAAAAAGAACCCGTCAAGGTCATCACTGAGGTATTCAAGCACCTTGGGAGATAGTGGAATGATTGTAGATTTGAACGTATATGATTCAAAGGCTGGGTACCAGTTTTGGAGCGAACAGGATTCTAGAACATCCTTGGTGAGTTCGGGAAATGTGACTTCCGATGTCTCGTCAGGTATGCCAGTATCATCGGTAACATTTTTCAAAACCTCGATGTGAACCATTCGAGTAGCGTGTGCAAAGTAAAAGGAGAGATTCGAGCTGAATACGAAGATAAAAAAATGCGAAAGGCTGATCAAAAATTTGGCCGGTCTCTTGGGCTTGAACTGGCCGGAGTTTTCTTGGGTCAGACCTGTTTTGCCCCATAAAGCATACCTCTGTATGCGCATACATTCTTTATGACACTCGAGAAAAAAGTGTTGTGAGCTGTTGTGAGCTTCACCGTATCGCGACAATCCATGTCGTGAGTCGTGACGTCGTCTCTTTTTGTGTGCCACCAAAATAGACCAAAATTCCCTTGTTTGTTCATGTTGAACCCCCTTCATACCTTCTCACCTTCAATATAAATTTTACCTCCATTTCCCTTGGCTGCTGTACTTGATTTAACATAATCAATGATTGACCTCGCCAATTCAACCTCACCTTTGATCAGTGATAGATCTGGCAAGCTGAAGCCCGTATCATCAGTACGGGTGCAAGATAAATCTGTCTGACTATCTTTGGCTTTTTGAGGGCAAAAATAAGACTTGAGATATGCTCCGAACAAAAGCTTAAATATTGAACACAAGCAAGTCTTCATAAATCTCTATCCTGATATTTGACTACGATGACTACCGAAAAAGAACGCAAGAGGTGAAAGATGAATTTTTTTCAATTATGTATCATTTTCAAAACCCGTTGTTCATAAGTCGGAGGATATAAATATACGAAATGAGATAAACAAAATACAATAAGAATAGAAAAGGTAGGTTTTCCATCGCAATCAAGAAATCAAAATCATGACCAAGAAGAATCTTTTATCGAGAAGAATTTTTTTAGGAAGTGAAAAGAATCAAAAACTATTGCAATAAGAAATCATACAACCACTCGTAAATCAAAGAATGAGTGAGAAACCAATTCCAATAAAACTGGCGCAAAAGGAACTCAGGATGATCGTACGTGAAAGAACTAAAGTTACACCATCTGATTTTGCACGTGAGATTTCTCTCCCTGTGTTATTTGTGATTGAAACGGTTTGATCACTGCTTATCCCTGTGTTATTTGTGATTGAAACGGTTTGATCACTGCTTATAGTTGTTTGTTTTGGCGATGTAGGAGCACTTGGTAGTTCGTTGAACAATGTGGCTGGATCATAAGATTGACAATCTGTCACAGTAGGGATCCAAGGTTTATATGGAATATCACTAAGTCTAAGAAATAAATCAGTTGATTTATCATTCAATCCATTCAGTTTCTTTAAGAAATTTACTTACTTGATTTGTCCAGCAGATTCAGGTGGTTGAGACCAAGTTTTTTGTACTCCATTTTCTATATAAACACCTACTGGTAATTGATTGACACCTTTACATGATTGAAAGGTTCCTTTGATTGCAGCATAATTTGCTGGCATATTATATTCACAACCGATTCGATCATAGATATCTAAATTTCAAGTCAATCGAGTTCATCTTCAATCACTCATCATATCATTTGAAAACTCAAGAGAATTCCTTACGTTCACATAATTTAGCTGCATCAGGTCCGGCTGGATCACATGCTTTGAAACAAAACGTATTTGATCCGACAAAACTTGTCCATTCAATCACTTGGATTGGATCACTACCAGTAGCATTCTTTCCAAAAGCGGTTGAATACACTAAACCTCCCAACGGATTCCCTCTGAGATCTGCACCATGTGGATCTAATTCTCCTCCTGGATCAGTTGACTTGAGATTCAGCACGGTTTGATCGATCTGTCCTACTATTTGAATATATCCGGGGGTTCTGGTCCTACACGAAGAAAAGTGCAAGATATCGATATTTTGAAACCCTCCATTCTTGTTGTTGATAGAGGACTTACAATTGAATCCCTTGGATCGCACCTGCTGGAATCATACGTGCTCCGTATTTCTTCTTGGTACAATATGCAACTGCTTCACCTTCAATATCTCCTACAATTGAATTTGGAGCTTGAGCTCCCCATAAACAAAACCGTAAAATTCGAAAAATGCGAGCGAAGAAAACCAATAGGTTACGAAGAAAGTAGGGCTTCTGACGTTAGGATTGAGCCATTTGAATAAAGTTGAGGAGATGAGTAAGAAGACTTATCATCAATCGAGTCTAACCAAGCTGTTTGACATTTAGAGTCTTGAGTCTGAGTAGTAGCATTACAAATATTGTACCCTTAAAAATCCAGTTAAGAAGAAGAAAAAAGTAAATTCGGTTGAATCATTGCATGCGAGTCATAACATTACCACCAAAGCACGATAACGACGTACCAGATTGAGTTCCTCTCTCGCCATTTCCAGTATCAGCTTGATACGGAATTTTAGGCCAAGGAAATCGTTTAGCAGCCAGAGGAACATCGCCACCAGTGTTTTGACTTTGGATCGAGTACAGAAATAAAACGAAAATCAGGCTGAAAATTGTAAAGGTTTGAGGCCCTTTGATGATAGCAGGTTGAGAGATCATCCTGTGATACCGCAAGTGCTTCAATCAAATGGAAGTTCGAAAAACTTTAATCTTCTACTGTTTTATATCTATTATAAGTACCTCAATCTCAAAACTTCCTGGAGAAGGTATTTGAAGAGTAGTAAGGAAGAAAAAAAGCTTGGATTTATCGAAATTCTGCGTTCCGAGGGAAGAACCAATCAATCTCATCTTTATATCATACTTTTTTTGTCTTTAAACTCATCGTTGTCAATTTCTCAGTTCCTGTACTTGCGCGGTCGCCCAGGGCGCAATCCAAGTCGAGTCAAGGGAAAATGATTATATACACCTCGGTGAAGATCGTGTAGGAGATGGTTGTTACATAAAAATTCGGATTTTCATGCTTTCTAATCCTAATCAACCGAGCGGCACGCAGATTTTCTTTGATCGATGTCTGTTGTACACACGCACAGCAGGTTTCATGAATCACATCTACAGCTATCCCCAGTTCCACGCTCAATGACTTGAGGATTGTGGGCTCGATTGCGCAGTATTTGTCTGAAAGATTGTCCTTGCAAGTTGCATACTCTGAAGCTTACTAAATTCGAATCCAAGCTATAATTTAGAGGTCATTGTTGGGGAAAAGATCTCTCCACATGTGCAGTCCCTCGCCAAAGGCCTTGAGCGACCTCGGGTCTTTGGCGATGGACGTAGTTACGTTTGCATGTGCTTGTGGCTTCAGAAGGTTACGTAACACGTGGTCGGAACTCACTTGTGGTCGTTGGTACATATATTACCTAGCTGAACATGAGCCCCACCAACCGCAGAGACGTCCCCCGGAGCCTGCGGAGGGGGGGCTTGCAACTTATCATCAAATTTGAACTGATACCAATTTCAATCTGGGCGGGACTATCTCCAGCTAGCATTTGCCCCATGTTGCATCAAATTTCAAAGAAACCATTCAAAGTGCTTCAATGAAGGTGTAGCATAGCAATAATTCATCTGCATCTTTTGCTCTCTTCGGATTTTCCATATAAGGGAGGCTCAGGTCAACTTGTTTTGCTGCTTTGACCTTTTTTTTCCCAAATTCATAAAGTTGACGCAAAAGTTTATGAATTTGGGAAAAGTTTTAGGACATCCCAATTTTTTTTACACAAATTTACAGCGATAAAAAACCCAAATGAGTATAAATCCAGAACCACTAAACAACAAATGTGAGGTTAAAAAGTGAAGAAAGGTATTGAGACTGCATAAGTATCAAGCACCCACAAAAGAAAAAGAATTATGGATCAACGGCTTCAAGAATTTGTTGACCGCTGTTGACCGCTGTTGACCATCTTGTTTCACAAAACGGGAAATCTTTTGACAACACAGTGCCATAAAAAGATTTCCCCATTTTTTTAAGAAAACAGTGTAAAGGTCTTGACCTGAGCCCCCATATTGCTCATAACTGCCTAAAGTTGAATGTCTGAATTTATTTATTATCAAAATTTTACATGTGACTTGCTGCAATCACTGTCGTGTCCCCATTTGACTGTACTTTACATATTTATCTGATAAACCATCCACAATTGTATGATTGATATCCTCAAAAAGTTACACATTTTTAGTTAAGCTTGGAGACAAAGTATTGTTTTGGAGTCCTCTCAAGTTTGAGGCAGTATGTGTACAAGATGCCTTGGAAAATCTTGGCCTCTTCAGATTTCTAAGATTGATGATTGTGGCATGGTCACATTGATTTCTGCTAAAAATCTCAAATTTGGGATTGGCATCATGCAAAGTGTTCCAATAAGCTGTAAGCCCCTCTTCTGCAAGCTCCAAAGGATGTGCAGACTTTGAGGAGAGACTTATTTAAGCTAAATATATTGCTTTTTCTAAAAAGCAACATAGCAACAGTTACCTTACTGTACCAGTGCCTCCCTACCATATCTGGGCTGTGCAGTACCATAGCCAGTAGTACTGGTACCTGCAACCACATTCAATACTGAGAAGACCATGAAGGCAATTTTCACCCTATATACTTAGGGGATACAAAGTTAAAACTGGGAGTTTTTTCCCAGTTTCCCAGTTTCCCAAATACCACCAAAAACGCAAACTGGGAAACTGGGAGAACGTGGGAAAGTTCCAAACACAGCCAAAAACGAAAACTGGGAAACTGGGAAAAAAATCCCAGTTTTAACTTTGTATCCCACAACTGTACTCAGTGTTGTACCTGTGCTCTGGGTATGTTATCAGATACTGCTTGGGAGAAAAACACGGCATTTGGTACTATACCATACCGTACTTAATTTGTGGGAAAGGTACTTGACCAGCTCAGCAAGGGTTGAACCCTTGATCAAGCTTCTCTTTTTTCAAGTACGCCACCTTGGACCTTCCAGCAATGAATCTATCCAAAGACAGCATACAAGCCTGGGCAGAATTGTGAGTATTTCCACCTCTTTTTGTCAGATTAATTAAAAATGATAAGGTACCAGATATAGTACAGGTAGTGTCCAAGAAGGACTTAGTAAAGTATATATTTTTAGAGTCTATATTGTTGACTGTACTAACAAACAAACCCATGATCATTGGAGGTACACCTGGCAACACCACTTATGCTCAGCTCAAGAAAGCATAAGTGGTGCAGGAGCGGAGTGAGTTCTCACTCTGCTAGGACCACCACTATGATGAGCAGTGCCCGTGCACCACACTTCCAGGGTAGAATTCCCAAGAGCGGAGTAAACCACTGCACAATGGGTCTGGGCTCGGGTTGCTCCGCTATATAGCGGAGCAATAACCTGTACCCTAGTGAACACTGCCTTCTAACTTGGCCATCCTTCTCAGCATTTGCCATATCAACATATCATCCAATCTAGCTTAAAATGGCCGCCAGGACATGTTTTCTAACAAGTAAATCTACCCCTCAGACAGTTTTTCAGTGCTGGCCAGCTTTTGGTTTATTAATCAGATGTATTCAAGATATTGTTTCAAGGTATGTCCCATATTAATTTCTCATTGATTGCATCACCACCAACATATTTACCTCGGATTACAAAATCCAAGGTATCCTTGGATGCAAAACCTCGGACAGAAGCTTCCTGAGGTTTTGATCCGAGGTAATTCTCAGGGAGAAAAAAGACCTTGGGCAAATACCTCGGACAAGGTTTGTCCAAGGATTTGCCTCCGACAATACCTCGGATTTCTCAACCCAAGGCATCTATGCTGGCAGTGCATCTCAATTGCAATATATGTATCATTCTAATCATTGATATCAGCCTTCTCTACTTGTCTGACTTGCTAAGTTTTCTTTTCTTTTGTCTTATGCTTTATTTTTTCTAAAGACAACTAATCTGCTCTCCTATGATCCAGCCTTATAAGCTTGGATCAGAGTAGACATAGATTTATAACAAATCCAATCTTGGTCAAGTTAAATTCAATCTTTGTTATTATTTCGGCTACATATTACATAGAGCCATGTGTGGCACTATATAGCAACTTAGAGTCCAGCACCGCTTTAGAGCAATTTTGTGGTGATTTCTCCATTACAAACCTTCAAGTGGGCAAAAAGTAAAAATGAGTGATTGCAGAGCGCTGTGAGTTAGAGTGGAGCCTCTGCTCAGCAACCAAAACAGACATAAATCCTGTGTGGTGCATAGCGGTTGTGGTGTTGCACCTGTAACAGATGCTGAAATTTAGCCCTCAGATTCAAGAGAACAGTTTGAGTTCTACAAATGCCCATGAATTTTGCAATTGGCAAGCAAAACACTTAATTCCTAGTTCATTAGACAGCTGAACATTGGCCCCAGAGATAATATATGTGGATTTCTAGAAGAATATTTGGACAATAGCTGCCTTGTGAGATAAACTGAAGCTTTGACTCATCAAAAAGACATTTAGAGACAGTGGCTCTAGTATTCTAATGGCCCCAAAATGAGTTCTTTGACCAAGAATTGCAAAAGTTCTGAGCATTTCTAGAATGCCAATTTGTCAGCCGTGAGTACATATGTATGTACCCAAAAGACTAACTTGTAATATACAAACAACCCTTATAGAATCTAATTACATGTACATACCACCTAGAAAACACATGTAACATGTCACAAAACATATCCACACCCTAATTACATATACATGTACATTGAAAACAACATGTAATATGTAATAAAATATCATTTACACCTCATACCTCAGTGTCAAGAGTTAAAATGCTTACACTACATAACATACCTATCATGTGTATATGTAATCTAGTACCACTAATAATAATCATAACAATCATTAGTAGTAGACCCTGAACCAATGTAGTGATATGAACAAATATCACTACAGTTAGTTTTAGAGAGGAGAGTATATAAACTCTCAGCCCAAAGAAGGATTTCCCCCAAGCAATTTATTACACACCTCTTTTAAAGAACCCTTTAACGTTCAATTGAAGTACATAATCAAAAGTCTTATACCAATAAGACTAGTGATTCACCTCTTATCTTTAAAGCAGCTTCCTGACTAGAAGATCAAGTAATCTCTTTCTTCATCCTCTGGATCCTCTACTTCCCCTAAGTAGATTGTTTCTAGGTTAGTGACCTTGCAATTAACTTCAGGTTAGTTACCTCTTGAACAGCTGCAGGTTAGTGACCTATATCAACTCACAGGTTAGTGTACCTATTGAACAGCTGCAAGTTGGTAACTTTGGAACAACCAGACTAGTGACTCAGACCTATACCTCACTCTTTAATCTGCTACCATACAGATTAAAGTAGAGCCTTGGATCCAGCTCTTTTATTCCATTATAATCAATAATTATATTTCTTATCTCCTTTTAAGGAGTCACCGAACTGTAGTCTGTCTGCATTTATCCAAACAGACTATTTATCCTATTCTTCTCTTTGATTTCTCTTATTTCATATTGTGATACTACATATTGAAATAGATAATAATTTAATAGATTATTAAATAAAACCCAATTTCCATAGTACTCTCTCAGAGAGCCACCTACCCTCACACAAATGTTGTCATGAAACTTAAGAGCCAACTTTCAGCATTTGTTAGAGGTGTACATCTGATGATCATGGAGTTTTTTGTCAGTACATTCAACAATATAGACTCTGAAAATACAAAAAACACTCATATTGAAGTTCTCAACACCAGGAACAATACACATATCTTTTTGTATTCTCTGCCCTCTGCCTGGCCACTCATTATTTTTGTAAATCAATATTTATGTCCTCTTCTCAGAATATTTTATTTTTCTTGTAGTGATATATAGTCAATGTGCCAAATCAATTCAGGGCACATTCAAGAAAGAAATACATCTAAAATTGGATGTATCAAAATAAGATGCATGTATGCATCTCTAGAAATTCAAGGATTCATCTGAGAACCATCAAGATGCCGTAAATAAATTCCTTTTCATGTGTATCTTTTACAGTTGTCCATAAAGAGAATGTGATGAGGAAGAGAGCCCTAAAGTGAAAAATCAAAATACATGAGGAACCAAAACACATCTGTCTTTTTTAAATATCTTATGCAAGATTTGTATTTATTGAAGTCACTGGATTATGCCTAGACCTTCTAAGGCCCCAACTGGGCATTCGAGTTGTGTGTACATTCAATTCATCCATTGAATCTGAATTTTCATAAGGATTCAAGAACCTGTATAATATCCCATGTAGAATCACTGCACAGAATCCTGGAATCCAAAATACCCAATGTACTAGCAAAAAATATATCAGATTCAGTCAGCCTTGTGAATTAATTACTTTGATACTTTTCCTTTGCTTTTTTTGAAACCATTTTTTTCTCTAGACTTCTAAACACAAAAATGATAGTCAAACTCACTGGATTGGAATTTCAAAATTCCAAATGAAAGTCCAAAACATATATTAGGGAATCCATAAGCTCCGATATATCCAGCATGAGGGGCAAACCCAGATGTACAAAAACATCTAGGAAGTTTTGAAGGAGAATATTCTTTCAATTGCTAATTCCATTTTGACTTGCAGGGTTAAAAACACTTACATCAATCCAACTGATAAACCGTATAGGACTGGAGATAGGTAAACACTTTGAGTTCCATTTGGTCTAAGAGAATGCACAGTTCCTGTTGGCGACGGCAATTCATTGGAAAAATCAGTGCTCATAAAACATTACAAAACGCTAGGAACCTCTTCCATGACTCACCCTGAGCAAAAGTCAATAAGACTAAGGCAGCCATAAACTCCAATGCAAAGGCCTGACCAGTTGTAAAACCACTCTTCTCATCGATCGCACATCCACCATTTGCCAGATCTGAAGCATGTTTACCTAGAGCTGCAGCAACTAACCCACCTCCTGTGATAGCACCAAGCATTTGGGCTAGAATGTACGATAGTGATCTGAAAAGGGATGTATTGCCAATGGCGAGCTGGGATAAGGTGATGATCGGGTTGATGTGTGCACCTGTGATTGGTTTCAGAGAGTACATGATGATTGTCACTGCGGTTCCATAAAGGAAAGCAAGTCCAGAAGCTACCCCTATAGGTCCTTCTAGTGTGAAAACCAAAGAAGCTACCCCGATGATCCAAATGAGTATCATACTTCCCAAAGCTTCAAAAATCTATATCCAAAAAAACATCCTCCGAGTTACTTTCAGTCCTAACTCGAAAACCAGGAAGAAAGGAGATCTCCAAATGGATATGGACCAAGGATTATCAATTACTAACCGATGCTTTCCATATGACCAGAATACCCATTTTTTATTTGTTTGTTGAGAAGGACTTGAGAAACTTCGCGATGGAAGAGTCGTAACTTGGATTTTTCAATAAATTTCTCCAACGGCTATCTACGTTTTCTTTTTGATTGACTTGAGGGATTCGTCTTCTTTTTTTTGTGACTCGAATACGTAAAAAAAAAATATGAAAGACTTGGCTTCAATACTGATAGATATGTATATATACAATAAACTCGTGAAGTCTTCAGAAATCGAGTATGGTATGAGAGGTGTTAAAGAGTAGAATTTCCAAGGACGCAAAAGTTTTCAGGGAAGCAAGCGATTTTTATGGGTCTCGAAGGTCTAAAGGTCTGATCGAAGCATAGAAAACATAAACGCTCACACCTTCACAACCAAAGGAGTTGCCAATACTTTGATAAAATTATCTCTATTCTTCTTCGATCAGGTTTGTCTCAATTTTTTGTGCCGCTTTTCCTCTAATACCAACATATCTCAGCACTCGCATCCCTCGGTTGTGAGTTTGAGAGAGAGAGAGACAGAGAGGTGAAAAGAAATGATCGAGTTGAAGATAACCTGTGAACCTCATTCTTCGCCGAAAATGAATGCCGATCAAACAATTCAACTCCTTTGGATCGAGGAGGAGTCATCTGGCTTCTCAAACGGGAGGCCGAGCGAGGCCGGAACTGGTAATTATAAGAAAGGCATCAGCTCCACACCAGTTGTGAAGAAGGATTCCTCAAGGTCTCGGTGGAGACAATTGCGTTCTGGAGTGGCACATTGTATTTAATTTTTCCAGTGAATCTGGAACCCTCGCATAACTTACGAGCTTGGAGAAGGAAGTGAAAATTGAAGGACGTCTGAGAAGAGATAGTGAAGAAAAACTTCAAGGTAAGAAGGAGTAGAGTAGCCATTCAACTCCCATAGACCTCCAAAGCACACGGAATCATGATGTGCTAGCCTCAAGTAATTTCATCAACTCGTTGCTACGATGATTTCTAACGACAACTCGCGCTTCACTTGCGGCGAGAAAATGGGGCAGCGTGCAACAATTATATGACCTGTGAAGACTCAACATTGGAGCTTTCATTATCCGAGTTTTGACTATTGCAGTGAGCTTCAGAGCGGGCTTTGATTTCCATAACTTCGAACCGAAACCGGATCTCAAGAGATTTAAAAGGTGGGTAAAAAGTATCGAAATCCTATTTTACAACTTCAATATACAATTCCTTCAACTTTCGACACGTATAGTAAGGTTATCTTTTTGTTTCTTTCAGTATGAAGAATCCAACTCTATACGTATGGTATCAAAAGATCAAAGTCCCGTATTTAATCCTAGATTGTATTCTCCAAACGCTGAATTACGGTAAGTGAAAAGGTCAACATCAAAACTATATTTTGTGAAGTTCAATTGTGGCAATCTGAGCAGGCTGTTAGGGTTGAAAAAAAACAAAGACACATGTGATCAAGAACCGTTAAGTGAACTTCTTCATGATCACAAAAGATACGACATACAAATCACGGGTCCATCGCCAATCTTCCAGGGGCATTTAAAGTTGCCGCGGGGACTCTCACAGTCTGAATGTATAGGATAAATGATGAGATTATTGTAAACGGTGGACATGAAGGATGTGTATCAAATGAGGAAATGTTTACTCACAGAAATGTTTGTCATCAGCGTAATTGTATTGATGGCAGTGTTCTGTACTTGCCTCTTTCCCATCAGGATCAACCACACAACCGGCCCTTTGAACGTACAATGCTCCTGCCAATCGTCACATTGAAAAACCATCGGGTATAAATCATCATGGGTATCTTAAAATAGAGAAAACTTGAAGGAACTCACCATTGGATTTGCAGCTTGCAGGATTGCAATCATGCTGATGGGCGCCATCAGAAGTCTCACCACAAACTATGCGAGAAGGGGAAAGATTAGGACGACAGATGTGTATGAAACTGGACAGGAAAGAAGGAGATCACCTGCAACATTGTGGTTGATATTGTAATCAGTTTTACACGCAATCGTCTTAGACTTGGCTGAGCACATTTCCATGAATACGGTCAGTGTGATACACATCAGTGCAAGCTTAAGAAGAGTTTGCAAGGTCATCTTGGTATATGGATAATGGCGAGTGAGGAAATGATATTCGTGCGAGCTGGCAAGTCGTCAGTCGGGGGGGAATAGATGTAGACTCTTCATCATATCTCGCAAGAGGTCGGAGAGATATAAAAAACCTCACAGAAGTTTTAAGAAACATTGGGTGGGGGGCTGTGGGGGGATAAATCCAAACAGCGAAATCGATGACCCTAATACATAGCCCTACTGTGGAAGGCGGCCTTCTCAAGAAGGAGCGGAGAACACTTCACCACATTGGCACAAAGGCCAAGCCTTTCAGCTCTTTCCAGTACATGAAACAAACAAGTCACGAACAGTCAAGAACACTTTTACACTTGTTCCCAACCGGCAAAATTATTGTTGTTCTAAATAACCTTTTGTCATTGAACGAAATAGGATGGCACAGGACCCTACGTACCCGACGTTCGGATGACCTGATTTTCCTTGCCCTTTCTTACCCAAACCGAAAGCCTCTCAAGTCAAGTTAATCCAAAGAGTGATTTTCAGGTCAGAAGCATCATCTTAGTAATGGAAATTGAATAGAATGATGGACAAGAGACTGCATCGTCTGTTTAAGTGAAACTGAGTATGGATTTGCCATCAAGACTTTTAACAGAAAGATGAACTCCTTTCAAGGTTCGTTATCGTATCTTGACCTAATAAGACATATATGGATTCGAGTGTAATTGATCTGGGATCACAGAGAAGGCAGTAAACACGCGCTGTTAACGCGTCACGCGGTGATCTCCTTATTTCCTATCCACTTTTATACACCGCTTTCCTAATTCTTTCTTCCGCTCAAACAGTTTGCGGTGAGACTTCCGATGCCAATTACAATGGTGAATTCCTCCAGGGCACTGAGGGAACTTAGTGAAGTTGGTCAAGACCGAGTGAATCAAGTCAAAGATATCAAAAGTGAAGATAACCAACACTTTGTGAGGCGTTTACCAAGACCCACTTAACAAACAGCATACCGCATTCATTGAGCCACATATCAGAGTCATGAAATCACATCTTACAGCATCTTACTTTGAAAGTCAGACTCACTGCACCAAGACATCGGTTGTTTGTCTTCAAGAACATAGCAATAACATTTCTTCAGATATTAGTCATCTTTCAGGTAAAGTCTTTTATAGAACGTGTCTGTGTTTGCAAAAAAAGGAAAGGTTGAATCGTAAAAAGATGATGTAAAAACCATGTAGTGGCTACTGATATATTGTATCCTACAAGTACAAAGTCAATTTACTCATCAAATATCCCTAACCTAAAAAAACAGAAACGATGAAAGTCTAAGAAAACAATTGAAGAAAGTTGCTAAAAAGGTTTAAAAAGTCATTCAATCTCATCATGTAATTTACCAAGTTCGTTTACCTAAATCTTAAAACCAAAAAAAACCGCGAAAGAAAAAAGTAAATTTCGTAACAGTAGAGAGACAACGAGTTTATACATTCAGATAGGGTGATTTGAAGTGAGATAATAAGATGTTTGAAGAATGAAAAGAGTAAAGGGTAATGACATCAATTGAAGGTCTTCGTGTATGTTGACCTATTCCAATTTTTTCATGATATCTTCCCAGATCAACAGCACATATCACAAATAGCTATAAAAAGGTTAAACAAAGGTCAATAAGTGAGTTTCGAATCAAGGTAAAGTAAAAGATTAGAGAGGTCTTGAGATTTACCTTCAAAGATGCAACAACATAACAAACAACGAATCAAGTCATATAGACAATCACAACAGCAACCACCACGTAAACGCATCAATCGATCTTGCTTCGGTTCATCTGATTGATCTTGTCGTTCGAGATCTAAATCATGATTTGTAGAGCTAGGTTTGATATAATTGGTTTGATTGAGAACATAGGCTGTTGGTGGAAACTTAGGTTCTTGGTCCTCTAGTTGATGTTCAGAATTGATCATTGGTGGTGGTGGAATTGAGATCGTGGTCGAATCAGCTTGGTTCATCTTGTCTTGTGGTTTTGGTTTCTTAACTTTGACTTTAGGTTGATTCGTAGAATGAAAGAGGTACGAAGAAGATGTGAATGAAAAGGATACGATATCGTAGATGGAGAGCAAGAGATATGTATAGTTCAAAGGGATGGTAAATATGTTTGAACGATGATGAGAATGAAGTCAAGACAACTTATTGAGTCGAAGTTGATACTAAACACTTGGTCAGGGAAACTCTTCGGAAGGAGAGGGTCTTTTTAAATTTCATTAAAGTTTGTTTAATCTCTACTTTATTTGTAAGCTCCAATGAGGCTGTGCAAACCAAATCGTAACTCAACACAGCTCCACATACTTGTACAGTTGATTCAATTTCAAATTTCAGGAAGCACCATGCACAACTTTTTCAGGCGCTCGTATGAGGCACGCAAGGAGAGCAGCCGCTGTCCATGAACACGCACCTCGGGAACCTAATGATGAATGTCGGGACACCTAGGTTAGTAATAATATATACCAATGCGGAGCCTTGTCGTATTTGTTACGTACAATTAGATGTTCTCTTACTCTAATGTCCCAGGTGACTTAGACATTCCAAATAGCTAACTATATAAGCTAAGAGCATTCATCCTATAGGAGATTGCTCCCTCCCTTGCGCTATTTCTTCACTAACAGTTCCCTGTCCTGACCACTTATAATATCTAATAAGTAGTCGGAATAGACTCTGTTACCCTTTTTCTGTCCATCCCACCCTCCCTTACTAATGTGGACTACCCGGTAAACAGGAATACCTTGGTACGGGGTGTATCACTAACACCACCCTTCCGCTCTTCCCGTTGACCGTGTTGTCTCGTCTAGGTGTCGGGACTTCCCTTTCCTAATATCGTAACTCTGGAAACCCAAACAGTATTCTCAAGACTGGTTAGATATCCGGATTACGCTATAAGGATCAAGGAAGACCCCCCACCCATACACTTGTATAGATTATATAAGTGTACACTTAGATACCACGCTAGTAATAAGTGACAATTAATGAAATAAGGAACCAGACACATCATGTGTTTGATTCCAAGTGGCTTAACCGTCACACCTAAGTTAACCACTCAGAGAAAACACAAATACTAAGTCACTAGGAAAGAATTGTCCTAGTGACGATAATCCCTGTAAAAGTCTATTCCTCCAAGTAAGTGTAAGGAATGGACCCATGCTTGGCCACCCTCGCAAGGCGTCCAGCGAGCAAGCTTAACCAAGTCTCTCGTCAAACCGCGGGCGTCCTCGACTCCTTTGGAACCTGCGCAGGAGGGACTCACAACTTATCGCATCTCCTTGCGTGTGGCGTGATACCAAAGGTACTTTTTGGATTTTTCACACTTTTCACACTAAATTTACACTACAGCATGTCCCATCAACAACTCAGAAATTCTGAATACACTGTCCTTTTCTGACACATCTTGCACATAACACACTTCAATATCTACACGCCTTGATAAGAAAACATTTGCTTGAGGTGACAGTCTTCAATTGATAATATAGCAGCTTCTGGGACAGTTATAGAAATCTTGAGGAGAGCAAAAGGTCATAGAAATATGGCTCTATGAATTGCATACAGGGATGATGATGATTCATTTTGTCTGAGAAGGCCAAAAATGGAGGCTGGAGATAGCTCTGGCCAAAGTGATTTTGGTATCAAGCTAAAGTCTTGGACAAGTCACAAGGCCAGACCCCTCCACAGGCTCCAGCGGATGTCTCTGTGGTTGATGGGACCTGTGTTAAGCTAGTCAATCAAGGGACTTACATCAAATGTGTACGCTCCACAAGCACCAGGTACAATATTTCCAGAATTTTGCGCATTGGAGCACCTCCTACGCAGGTCTGCAAATGCACCACAATTGTGAAAAATTGGACACACATGTAGATGTATCTTATGTTTGCAGACCTGGGGGGAGCAATGGGATTCTGGATTATCTCTGGGAGTTTTCAGGTACAGACCTGGTGATTGACATACATATGGGTATCTTTCATATCCTTGTAGCCGGACAGACCCATTCACATCTGCTGCACATGGGCCAGGTGGCCACAAGCTTGAGACCTCCAGTAACCCATAGGTTTCTGATTCAGGGCTTTGCCTTATCAGGATGATCTCACATTGATCAGAGGGTTTTCCTCAAATGTATTTTTCTGAGAAGCGATTTCTTTGGTTGGTTTGTTCACAAGAGGCTTTTCAGTGGCTGTGTTGGTCATGGGGTGGTGTTCTTCAATTGGAGTATCTTTCTTGGGAGGGTTGTCCTCATCTGGATCAGAATGGCTGGGGTTGATAGGAAAGGAACCAGATTGGTATGCTATGCAGGAGCACTTGCATGGGGGCATTGGCACTTCATCTTCCTTAAGCTTCAGTTTGTGTTTAGTGTTGCTTGATTTGGAGTGAGGGCTTAATCACATTTGAAATTTGTAATTGTTTTCTTCAAAGGACATAAAGATGGTGAGTTGATGTTTGAAGAAATTCAAGGTGAATGGATTTCTCTTCCACTTTGAAAAGGTTCCACCATGTGTCAGAAAAATGTTCCCTCTCTATCAGGATATTTCCCTAAACTCACTCATTACCCAATCACAGCCTGTATCATGGAAATAGACAGTGCAATTGTGCCTTTGGGAGCTGTAGTGTCACTCATGAATTATGAAATAATAACTTATGTCACTACATGGGTATGTTTCAGACTTTGATTATTGCTCATTTTATAAATTTGTCTACTTGATCATTTTCTTTCATTCCTAAAAGACTTGGAGTGCAAATTAAATTAAATTAACTAATTTCTTTGAGTTTTCTCAATGAGTTGAGTTGTTTGTTATGCGTTGTCATGATTTTGTTATAGGTGGTTTGGCTATTGTTCTTAATGACACTGGATTATTTGAAATGAAAGCTATTTTTATCAGGCCATTGTTCTGAATGTGCTCCTCTGGTATACTATTAGTCAATTCCAACCCCATGCTTTTTGCTTCAACTGTTGAGTAATCCTCTTTGTTTCTGATTTGTATTCTTGTGACTTGTCCCAAAGTAGCTGTAGCTCCTCCTCCTTGGTCCAGTTTTGAGGATCCATCTGTAAATATAATTCCACTTCCATTTGTTTTGTGGTATGTTACCTGTTGTTTGATTTTTTCTTTTGCTTCTTTTTTTGTAATCCTAAATTATGTACTTTGGCAACTTCTTCCCAAGGTGCTATTATAAAATGATAAAGATTTTCTGTTTATTGTAACTGATTGGAACAACACCTGAAGCGCTCCGCTGCACCACACTTGTTTGAGAAAAACATGCAGCACAACAATGTCCCACTACAGGTCAAAGGCGCTCTTGCTCAGCTTTCATGTCAGAACCACTGCATAGAGGATGCAGCACAGTGCAGTGCCTACCCTCTCTTGCCCCGCTCCAGTCAAAAGTTTGTGACAACAGCAGAACAAGGCACCACAATATTAGTTTTCTGATTGGTTCTGGCTCTTGGATTCAAATTCCAGAAAGCTTTCCAAATTTGATGTTACCGGAACTTGCAAGCAAGTTGCAAGTACACATTCATCATTGGCACAGTTCAAAGCTACTTTAATTAGAAGATGATTAACCTGCTCTTGCTTGACGTTCCATACAACAAATTTTCTTGTGCTCTGGGGCACATACCTATGAGGATATACCAAGATCAATGAGCTTTGCAAGCTCTTCTTATCCCACTTTGGTATCGGGGACTTTAGAAGCACTGTTTTCCCCATTTATGTTAGGTAAGTCACTGTCTCTTCATAGACAACAAGTTGGCAATGAAACATCAGAATGTGAACAGTTTCAGATCAGATACATGTGGCTTTTGGGGAGGGATCAAGGGTAAATCTTGCCATCTGATCAGTTCCATTCAACACCTGGTTTGGTCCAGTGGTATCTGTTGATTGTTTTGTCAAATGGATGGCTGGGAAAGGGTGTTGTTATAGGATCAGATGTACAGGGAGTAAGTAATACTACAAGGGTTAATGATGTGACAGCGGTTTGCGGGGCAGAACCGCGCACCACACCACTATAATTCTAGACACACTACATGCCAATAAAATGGAGGAGCGACAGCGGAGCAATTTGAGCCACTACAGCAAATTACTAATAGTGGTGGCGGAGCATGCCGCCCTGCAGCCGCCCCGCTGTTGCTTTTTGCAGCAGGGCTCTTCATCTGTTGATTGGAATCAATTTTTACTACCCAGTGCCTTTTTGGTTGCACTTTGATTCCTTTTCAATCCTCCATTTTTTCTAAAGGCTTCCAAAATCATTTCACATATTGGGTTGTTGATTGGTAATGTAACACTTGTATTGCAGATTGATTAGCCTTCACAATTTGTTGCATTAAGTCCAGAAATTTTGTATCATGTCTAAGAAATTGAAGAGGTGCGCTTTCAAAGCTTTCTAGAATTGTTGTATGTGTCATATCTTGTTACTCTGTCATGAATTTCTTGATTTTTGATTGGCTTGTTCAAGTTTCCCAAACTATTGATTCAAATAAAAGTCTAGGTTTAAGTGTCATTGATAGTATGTAAGTGCCAATTTCTATTGTTACCTATCCCCCAAGCCATTTACAGTTTTATCAAAGTTGAGCTATTGTTTGATTTCCTTTCTTGTTTTATTCCGTAAGATGATGGTGATAGGCAATCTTTCAGTCAATTAAAGTCTGAACATCTCATTCTCTTCACTGGGGTTATGTTAGCTTCTCCAAGTGTGATTTGTTCTTGCAGTGTTACTTCATTGTTACTACTCGATGCTTACTTGTGTTTCCTTAAATCAAAGATTGCTTCAAATTTCCTTCCTCATTCTAACGATCTTCTTCCTTTCTCCTCCGACTTTTTCTTGTTCTCTTCCCAACTATCAAACACCACTAAATGTGTTACCTCATCAATAAACCAAATTGAAACTCTGTCTTGTCCTGTGGATATTCTAGTAGAGTTGAAAAGGTCCAAGTAAAGTATGTCTGAAAGCAATGAGACTTGAGGGATTCTGTCAGGTATTCAATGATTATTTAATGTGTAGTCTTCCAGTATTAACTTAGGTTGTCTATGATTCATTTTTTTTCAATTGTTTCCAATGGATATCTTAACTTCATAAATCAATCTTTGTTTCCTTACTGATGGATAAGCCGATAGTAGGTTCAAGAAAAGACCTGTAACAACTTTCCCTTCATCCCATTGATTTTGAATCCAAGTG